TCTGTGATGATTGAAGAAGCTCTAACTCTCTGTATGCTTCAATCATCTTTTGCTGAGAAGATATCTGTCTCAGAGATGTATGATTGAAGAGTTTATCAAAACTCTGTGTTCATTTATATGGAGCTTATTCAGGAGATACACTACATGATCAATGGGATTCTCTCAATGAGTTGGATAGAAGCATTATTTGCAACCAGCTACAGGAGATTATTTCTTCCCTTCAGCAAATTGAGCCAGATCTCAGTGACTCTTTTATCAATATGTAGATAGTTTGCAATGTCTATCAGTGGAGTTGCTTACTGAGGTGTATAATCAATCAACTACATATGTTTGCATGACTATGTCTTCACAACCATTCCTCAATCAGAATCTTTTAAAAATGTGGAAGCATTCAATGACTGGTTTTCTTCTCTGCCTCAAAGATGGCTTCCTGATTCAAAGAGATATCAAGATTATTTACCAGACAATGGGACCATTAAGTTGACTCATGGAGGCCACTCATGTGTACTTGCTGTAGTCGATTGGGCTCATACTGGCTGGTACCCGGAATACTGGGAGTATTGCAAAGCCTTATACACATCAGACTATAAGGGGGAATGGTGTAATGTTTGGAATCCCAAATTCTTAACCACATATGAGACTGAGTTTGCTATTTTCAGTGTATATGTGCTGCAGATTGGAGCAGTATAGGTATGGCACCACTCTACAAGACTTGATTTTGTACTTAGTCTTCCAAAGTACATTTGTCAGGATCATTTCCCGAGTTCTTTTTTCCAAATATCCTTCATACGCTATGTACTCGATTGTCCTTCACTCAGTACTAATGATTGACCAGGGAAACAATTGCTAAATGCCAGAAACCAAAATGGAAATTGGGATTTAGTAATCATCGTCTCGTTGACTTGACCAGTCATCGATTGCCGTTGTGCAATGGTGAGGTACGGCAGGCATACAGATGAGCCTCTTCTCGCCTGAATCCTTGGTAAAAGGGTTAGGCACAAGTGGCCAATTGATGAAAGCCTAGCTTGACCTGAGCACGGAGAACAATCCTTGAATACTACGAGTATTTCCATTTGTGATTGTCTCGTTGACGGAATGCCAACTCTTTGTCAAACACTTCCTCGGACTAGCCGCTGACTTTGAGTGGACATTGGTGGCACCACGGTGCCAGAATTGATGGTGTTTTGTGTTGGATGCTTTCTTACTGCCTGCTTAGCGACACAACTATCTTGTGATTTGCTGCTGGGGAAAACTCCCCGCCAGGTAGTATCCTGTGCGATGTTGTTATTGGCGCCCTGTAAGCGCCTGACATTCAGAGTGCTTTTTTCAGCTATGCTGCGCCTTATGCGTGGTTATTGTTTATGTTGGAGTAGATATGCTAAAGATACTCTCGACCAGAGCGGCCGACCAATGTCGAAACCATTCTCACACCTCGAATACAGCAAGAGCGCGCAAATAACATAACTCTAGCCATAAAACTCTCTCACTCTCTCCACACTCTCTTCCATTTCGCCCTGAATTCTTGGTCTTCGTTCTTCGCTGTTCGACCGCGTGTGCGTGCTTGTCCCTGTTTACTGTTAGAGTGGCTTGTCTATTGTGAAACTTCAAGACATAAATTGTGAACTTGAGACTATGGTAATTAGCGGAAATCTCCTTTTAACCCAGTGGCAAAAGTTCAATTTTATATCTATTCCTATAGTAGAGGTTTGTTTACAGTTGAACGAGGTTCGGATTTTTGTCAAGAAATTTTCAACCACAATGAACTTCGAACCCTGCCAGCCAATGCATGTTCAACTCTTATGGTGATTTCGCTCCATCTAAGTTAGTAGTATTAATACACCCCACACCATTCTCATTACCTCAAGGAGTATAGGATTCAGGGCTATATTGGAGGATTAATCAGGGGGTTAGGATCTGAAGGGAAAAAAAAATCATCTCAAGTGACTTGTATGTTGTTTTAGTGACACTAACAGGGTTCAAAAACAATGTGTGTAATTTTTGAACCCCTGACATCCGTCGTCGCATGGGCCCGAGACACGGCTGTATAATGCCGTTATTTTTCCTCTTCCCACGTCTGCCCAAGCCAGTCAGGCTCATTGTAGTCAACTGTCGCGCACCACGGTTGGTCTTGTGGGGTGTACGGACTCAAAGGCAGGTCGTATGGCATACGCAACCCCACGAACGTAGAAGTAGTAGATGCACCAGAACCATTATCTTCTGGCACTTCAGGCATGTCTTGCTTAAAGCATGGCAACATTACTGCGGCGGGTTTGTTGTAGCCATTATTCTTATTACCATCATCCCGTGGCAGCTCCTTCCCATTCTCCTTCCCGTTCCGCCCGGTTCCACCACCATCCTTTTCCACCTCTCTGTCGATGAATAAGTCAGGCCAAACCAACACACCTATTTCCCAACTACATATCCTTATCTCTTTTTTTCCATTCGCAGCAGCGCCCCATGCTTGCACCGAAAGGTTTGCAGAGGTCACCATTGCCCAGTCGATAGTAGCTAGGTTAGCATCCGAAAACCGAATGTATGTTTTTATGTGCGGTGCTGCTCTGCACCGCCCTGCATTTCGAATTGGCTGGCTGTTTTTACTAGTGGCGACGCATTTTTGAACTGATTCATTGACATTCTTGCTTTCACACCGCTCTTGTCCGGAGTTAATTGAGTGTTTTGCAGATATGTCACTGCCATCGCCTGTGTCGCTAGCCCAACGACATAGGTATGGACGCAAATACTCAAGTTGTTTTCGCTGCGCAGCACTCTGGAGTTTCATATGGATAGACCCGCCGGATGCGTAGCCATTCAATGATCTGCGGATTTCATCTGGGGTAGGGAATATTATTGAAAATTTGGTAGGCGGGTCTGTTTTGGGGTTAAATAAGTTCGAAGCCCTGGGCCGTGATGGTGAGAGAGCGGCGAAAAACGTCTCCTTTAGCCATTTGTCGGTTTGTCCTAGCGTTGCCACTGAAGATATCTGGAATTTGCGTGTGAGTGGTGAGCACTCCCAAGAGCGAAGCCTTCACCCTCCTTCTATGGGACATCGATCTCACCTGGATGATTATTTGAGGCTTCTTCCCCACAGTATTGTTCCCCCCACCAAGTGGGATTTGTTGTATTGTGTCCTTCAGTGCAGGCCAGCCCCACAAGGTTTGTTTTTCCGAATCGAGTTCGTCGATTGCTTGCCTAGTGGGGACGCTGGCTATCAACCCAGCTCGAACGGCGCCAAAATCATATTTTTCTAATTGATCGACTAGCGGGCCGGTCTTTTTATTGCCATATGCCTCGAGATAGGCTAGTAAATCCCTTTTAAATCGATTTCCTCTTCCGACACCGTCCAAGGTCGCAGAAGCATGTCCACTTTCCATTTCGGGTCGCATTGGAAGAAGCGGGGATCGCCATACTGCTTGACACATATTCGCCCAATCCCCAGCAATCATGTTTGCTGTGTGAATGACAACCCTGTAGAAATGTCAGTGTGAAGAAAGATAGCTACATTAGCCAAGTATACTTACTGCGCTTGGTCATCATGCCTGATGAGAATCATCATTTTCGAATGATGTGTCCCAAAAGGCTCTGGCATATAGGCGACTATCGGCTCGACATTGGGATACCGGTGGCAGGCTTCCTGAATACTAGTCAGCAAAGTTAACCACCTGTATTATATGCGCTATGTGTCAAATCTACACTGGAATAAGCTGAGGGGGAAGAGATATTTCTAGCAGAACGTAGGAATCAACTGACATCAACGCGAATTCGATTGGGAGATTCCCGTTTCCAAGAACCATGTATAATTTTCACCTTGACCAAATCCCGCACATCTTCGTCAAACTGGCTCATAAGAAAGTCAACGTCAAACATGTAATTGAACTGCCAGCATTCTTTGATGAGAGGATCCCCGAGAATGTCCCTCAACTTTACAGAATCGGTATTGTAGCCTGACGATGCAGCGAAATCGCGGATATGGGTGAGCTGGATTGGAGACGGGATGATCCTAGAGGATATAGGGGCATTTACTTGCGATATATACGTGACGGATGTGCTAGGTTGACCTGTAGGCTGCTGTAAAGGGGGCGTTATTGATCTCCTCAGGGATGCTAAGGTGTTAGCATCTTTTAAAGTGCTATCATAACCCTCTTGTAAAGTTCCATGGGATGTCTTAATCCTCTTGGAAGGGCGTCTCTTGTCTGCCATAGATACTCCAAAGCATTGAACAAAACTTGAAGTCTTCCAGGGAAGTATCAATCAAGGCTTGATTCTAGGCTTTGAGTTTTTCCTTGATTACCTCAGGCTTGGGAATTTGTGGAGGATCTCCACGAAAAGATCACCGCAGTTAAAACGAAAGGCTGCAAAGAGGATTTTAAAATAATTTGGAATATACTAGGTCGTTTTGGTGTTCATTTTATGTTCATGGCCGAACACTGCTGAAATGATGGATCATGGCAGTCGATGACAAGTTTTCATCTAAATTCACCAGTAGGAGTTTGGAGCGATAAAATGTAATTAATTGCCGCCTCTCCGGATAATCGGCCTAGAGTTAATTTGGACAAAATACAGAATGAGACGAAAGAAGATACAGATTTTGATATTGGGGACAACAAGCCTTGACGTTTAGTCACGTGCATCCGTTTCTTCCTATCCAACAACATCGGCCGAGAAACATTCTTGTTCTACATATCTTATCATCGAGGACCGACCTGTTAATTACGGATCAAACCTTGTATTGATCGTAGTTTGTTCCATCTGACATGAATTTGTCGTGGTGATGACATGCCCCGCCTTTGGATTGTAAGAATCAAATGTGGAGTGCAGTTTTGGATAAGCCGTCAGTAAAATAGTGATCGTTCGTTGGTGTCTACGTGAGTATAAAGCACTAGTATGCCTCGATCTGAATAATATTTGTGAAGTGGAGTGCAACTGACTTTGGTAACCTATTAGACCCGAGGATGAATATTACTCTGCTAGGCTGTCATCAACATTAGGCACAATCGGGAATCATGGCAAGCCCAACGCCAGCCCCAAGTGCTATCCAGCGAAGAGTGTGGGAGGGTCGTATCCCTCTCGAAATAACACTGTCTCCGGCTGAATGCCGGACCTATGACAAGGCAGACCCATATCTTGTAATTTCGATCCCTTTATCTGAACCCCAGACATGTACTTCCATCATCGATGCATTTGTCTGACTCTAGATATTTCAGATATGTTACCCTCGTGTATCATATTTGCCGTTTTTACTCCCGAGGCTACGTGCCTTCTTTGCTACATCCTTGATTGATATCGAAGCCCAGGACTATCAAGGCTGGTTTTCATTTGAAGGGGTTCCCCTGAAGTGGCACTATCCCCTCGGACTCCTGTATGATCTATATTCGGGAGCAGATCCAGTTACTTCCAAGTCTACCGTTGGCGAACACCTTTCGCATACAGCTTCTCCACGACAGCCAAATGATCCTGAATCCCACAATGTGCACGAACCCGGCGACCCAATTCCCTGGCAGTTGCAGGTTCATTTTAGCGATTGGCCGGACCAGGAGCTTGTTCGGCTCGATGCTGACGGAAGAGTTATTCATGATGCATTCATTAATAGTGTCAAAGAAGCCGATTTTGTGCGGAATGGAACCGCAAAGCGTATCATGACATTGTCTAAGGAGGATTCATCTGGATTGTGGCAAGCTGTCCAAGAGCGTACGTGCATGCATGCATAGATTGATCCATTTTTGTAGTTTGCACTAGGAACGAATACTAACGACAAAGGAAACCAGATGACTTCACAAACTTCCAACGGATTTCCAACATCCTCATCCCCGGCGGGCCCAATCAATTCCGAAACATCCCACTGAGGATTTTCCTGCCATCTCCACCGAACTCTGCTACCCCGTCACTTAAAGTAATACAGTCTCTGTTTCCACCCACGATTCCGCCCGCTGCCAATCAAACTGGAGCACCCGGACGACAAACCCAACCGCAGCAACAGACTATAGGATCGAGTCTAAATTCGCTTCTTCCCAGCCTCTTCCCCAGCAAACGGATCCCAGTCCTGGCGAAACCTGTGCTCCAGGGGGCTGTTGTTCCTATGACCGCACCGCTGGAGGAGGTTGTGCGTATAGCCGGGTATGCAGATGGCTGGTTAGCCATTGTGGTGTCCATGGTGGGGTGATATCAAGACTGCAGCCGCATGCAGCGGCATGGCAATGATTTCATGCTCCAGTTTGTGTTTTTGATTGGGTTGTTGGATTCTGGAGGGAGCTACGAGAGGGATTCTTCGGTTTTGTCTTTTGGAATAATTTTTGCATGAGATTCAAGGGAGATTAGTTGTGCGTGGATTCCTGCCGTGGTATGGGCATATATGAATGACATGTAATGACGGCGCAAGCACGGCAGGTAGTAGAAATGTTGATTGGTGATATCCGTGATGGACAAATTTTCTTCTTGTAAGGTTTTGGGAAAAAACGAGAAGCCTAATGATTGATCATGTCTTAGGGCCGTTAAATAGAACGAACGGGGTTTTCTGAAGCGTGCTTTGTTTTATCCTAAGCGTTCTTACTTTTATCAACCGTTTCTATGATGAGATCACTCGCTGATACGGAATGGGGACTCGACTTCGCTATGAAACAACAATACTCGATTTCGTGATTAGAATCAATAACTAATTAAATAACCCAAACCGCCAGTCTGCTCTCCCCTCAGGGCCCACCAACTTCTCAGGTTGCCAATGAATGAGAAAAACAACTAAATTAAACCGGCAACTATCCCAATTCAATCACTGAACCTATATAATATATATATATTCTTTTTTTATCATTCTGTACGAATTAACTAACTACATGACTAACATAAAGCTAGCTAATGAATTGTACCTAGGTATCATCAAGCTGAATACTGGGAGAAGAGTAGTAGATCGTAAATATGAAAAGATAATAAAAGAAACCGCAGGAGAGCGTGGAGGGGAAACAGGGCGGTGGGGTTGGAATTGGGCTCAAGACATTCTGGAGGACGGCGCAAAAAAGGAAAATGAACAAGAACGAACGGGGAAAGAAATGATATGAGCGAGAAACGAAACGAAAACATAAGAGGGGAAAAAAAAGAGATGGGTAAAATAAGGAATCGCCACCCAGAAGACTTGCAAAGAAACTATTCAAGCAAAAAAATGGGGACCTTCAGTTTCTGTCATATAAGTATTTGCCAGTTGGTGACCTCCATCCATTTTAGGCTGGAAAGGAGCCAGGTAGGTTTCTTATACGCAAAAGAGGATTGCTTGTAGGAAGTGAAAGAAAAAAAAGGTGGGGGAGGAAACGTGGGAAGGAGAGGGTATATATGTATGTTTGATAGGGGACGGAAAGTACATGGGGTATCTGCCTATGCACAAATAAGGATATTTACACGGAACTGCAAAAAATGAAATGCTCGCTATAGTGGCTATGAAGACGGAAAAGAAAAAGCAAAGAAGAAGAAAAAATTTGAAAAACGAAAAACAAAATAAAAACATAAGAGCATAAGAGAGAGGGGATAGGGAAAGTGTCTTGAAATCAAGTGTGGGGTGAAGGGATACATGAGCATGAGAAGTGGGAACGGAGGCTTCTTCAAATGACATTTCTGCCATTGATAGTGAGCTCGCCACCTTCCTCTCTGCCTTTCTTCAGGGCTCTGGCCAACATCAGCTCTCGCATCCAGTTAATCCTCTCATCTCGAGTCTTCACCGCGAAGTGGTGGCTTTTGCCCTGGCTTGTGAAGAGGTGTCTGCGCTCGGCGGAGTCGTGGGCGGGGATGAGAGAGAATGCAAACGCAGTCTCGTCGCTGTTCGATGGCAGATTGGCAGCTTTGCGGAGGACGGAGCGCTTGAAGGCCGCGGTGAGCTTCGAGTTTGTGGCCAACGAGGAGCAGGCGACGGCGAAGTCGTCGACGTCGATGAACTCCAAGGCCCGCGAGCGGCGTTGCGCATCGTGCTCGTCCTTGTGCATGGCCAGGACCGTCCCGCGAAGGGTGAAGTGCGCGTCTTGCCACTCGTGGCGTAGGAGGCGGGTTGTTTTCCGCTTCTTCATCCATCCGCTGTGGGTAACGTCGGGATCGGACCTGTGTGACTGGGTCGAAGGAGAGATTCCAGAGGCGCGGGAAGGCCTAAAGTGAGGTTCTGTTGTATGACTCGTATGACTTGGGCGAGGAGTAGTCGGGCGGTCTTCCGGGGTGTCGATTGGTTGCATCGCCTGGAGCTCATCAACTGGAGCCATAGTGGCGAACGAAGGACGACGTCGATGATTGTCAGGTTTAGCCGACGCTGAACGAGAAACTGGGTCGACTGGTGGGCGCAAATGGTTGCCATAAAACATATTTGGTGGGACTGATTGCGATGCCTCCCGATCCAGAGGTCCGGTAGGGAAGGCAGTGAGGGGAACGTCCATTTCTGAAAATGGGGTGTTTGTTTGGCGAGATATATCCAGTGGATATTGGTAAGGGTTGTATTCCTGAGTTGCTGTAGCTGAGCCTGCTAGCCTTGACCCCATTGAAGGAGTAACGGTCCGCTGACCGCCTGAAAGCAAACCATCTGATTCACTATCGCCTGGTATCATGAGTTTTGGAAGATTGCGAAGATTGTTGATCATATGGAAAGCAGGCTGGGAAGATTCAGGAGGGGAGAGGGGAGGGAATATCTCCATCGGTGGACTGGGTTCGTTGTATGCGGCATTATTAAGGTGTTGAAAAGTAAGGAATTGTCGAACATTTTCTTGGGGATCTCTAGGCTGCACTCCATTAAGGTTCTCAGCGTTGAGTTGGAACTCAGGCGTGTGGCCAGGGCCGAGGACATCAGAAGACGCGACGACGGAGGGAGCTGCATCTGATTTGGGACGCACAACACTTCCAGTGACTGATTCCTTTCCAGCATGAGGTATAATGGTGCCGTCGATGCTGGTGAACTGATCGGGGAACTCAGTCGCTATGCGTGCAAGCTTCCGTTGTTGCTTCTGGAATCTAGAGCAATTCTCGCCCTTGGAACACTTGTGCAGTTTCGGGAGGAGTTGTTCAATAGCAACGATGGAAACAGACTCGGCTGGAGAGATTATATCGCCATCCGCGAAGAGACGATTGGCGCGACCCCGTCGACGAGTTGAGGGGTTGGTTGGGGCCTCACAGTCTGGAGAGAAACATTCAGCGCTGTTGTCTCGTCTCGTGGATGTATAACTCCTTAGGCCCTGAGAAGACGAGCTAGGGTCCGAAGTTGTAGCCGGGGCCAGAGCATTTGTTGATTCAGCACGAAAGCCCTGAATCATATTCATCAACCGATGTCGTATACCAAACGAGCTAATGTCTAGCTCCTTGAGATCATCCATCTGGAGATCAAGGAGGACCGAGCCTGAGATATCATTCCGGATGAATCGTTCGACTATGGCATCCTCGAATCCAGATTCGTACATCCATTCTGCTACTTGCGTTGGTGTCCAGGAACGTACATCGTCGACGCCAGCAACGGGGGCGATCTCTGGCACACTTGAAGATCGTGATCGTTCATAATAAGGAAGCTGCCCCGGCGGGATTGTGCTAGATCTTTTTGGCGACCGAGAGCTTATCGAACCTTGAGGTGGTGCTATGGAAGAAAGCGAAAAGTACAATTCTAAATCCTCCGATCTTTCAAAAAACGTCGAATCTAATGAAGCCCGGAATAGATGGGGTCCCGATGGTCCTTCCACCGGTTTGCCTTTATCAAACTGGAAATTGAACGACCCCTGATCTGAGTCTTCGGGAGTGGGAGCCTCATCCTCGGTTGACAACGTTGTGGCACTGTCATTGCCAAACTGTATATTTTTATCAGCTTGCTTTTCTATCTAAGCTATGCGAGGAAAATTGTGACTTACGGATTCAACACTTCTGCGGGCAGAGGTATCTATTGGAGAGTACTCTGCTTCGTAATCGGTGTCAAATATCTCGGTCGCTTCTGACAGAGGCCGAGAGTTATATGATCGCGTGGAGAGAAACGACATATGGTTTTTCGACGGCTTCTGCAGCATCTGTACGCCCCCTAGCGACCGCCGTTGTTGAAATACAATTGGAGCCTCCTGAAAAGTGGGCAAGTCAACGAAAAGCTCTTCCTCCCTCCCCTTTCCTGCCCTTATATTTATTATTTTTTTTGTAGGCGACTGGACAAAGGAAAATAACACTTACCATGACAGGGGAAAAATTAAAATAAATGAGCCTGCGAATCAATATAAACTAGCTGGTAGGAGCAGCGATTGTGAAAATAAATATGGGAAAAATCAATAGATAATAGGAAATGTATATAATGAGATAAACCGTTGCCGGTTCTACGACTTTTCTATATCAGTAGGCAGGAGGGCAACTATCAAAGCGCCTTCCGGTCTCGAGTGATAATATTAGAACAATATATAGTTAATGAAACAAAAAATGGAAATGGGTATCGAAGAGGCGCAAGAAACAAGATCGCATCAAGGGGGGAAGAAACTTTCTAAGAAGGGCGGGTAGGTGGGCGCTTCGAGGTATATGTAGACAGGCGTTGAGAATAAGGCTGTGTGCGTCTGGAGAAACAAAGGGCGAGGGAGCGACTCGGGGAACGGGTGGTATTTTCTTGTCCATACATGTACCACTCCCAGCCAAAAGCTTATGTGCCAGGGAAGGATCGGTACTTCCAAGATCTGGAACTCGAAGTGGGATTCGCAGAATCGGGGCATGTTAGCAATCAGAAAAAATGTTCTCTCCCCATCATGCACGTTCCGCCGGAGGTTTCTGTTCAAGACTCAAGAGACATGGATGTGACCTGCGACCAAGCATGGCTGGGCAAGCGAGTCACGGAGTGACCTCACCACCCGGCGTAACTAGTACTGGTGCATCACTGTGAAGAAGTCACTCTCGAGTCCTACAGGCTGGAGGATACCTCAAGCCCGCACCGGTTAGCCCCATAATCCCTTAGGTGCATCGCCAGAAGAGGAGTTGCACGCCGGCCCCGCCGCCCCCAGCCCACTCCAGGCTAAGAATAGCATCATCTCCTGCCACTGCCAGTTCGCAACTTCGCAGCACAATCATTCATTCGCGGGCCGCGAAGGGAGCGACCGCAGCGACCAACCGACAGATCCTCCAATCACTATGCTCGGTCCTGCAGTTGCACCCCGCTGACTGGCTGAGGGCATTTTACTCGCTCTTCGCACGGGGTGGTTTAGCGACAGGGATGCGGGCGTCTGTAGAGATATCACATTTTCTCTCCCACCTGGGTGTTTCTATTGGCGGGAGAGGGTTTTCTGTCACTCGCTGGTGCGAAGGATTGGCAACTTGGCAACTTGGCACTTGTTGTGCAGACGAGGAGCGAATGGAAGGCCATGCATGAGTCTCGGTTACGCGCCCCTAAAGAAGAAGGGAGAAAAAAAAATCGAGGTTTGCGATTTCAGACGATCGTTGATCCTTTTCGCAGTGAAACTTTTCGTTTCGTTTCTTTTTTTCTTTTTGCGCCTGTTGCTTTCCCCCACTTGGCATTTGGCTGGGGGAACATGATGTTTCATTGCAAGTAAGTATATTTGTTGGATAGGATCGTAGGATACAGTTAACTGAGGGTTTTAAGACATCTGGCCAAGTTGATATTATTGATTTCCCACACTTCCATGATCCATCGATACAGAGTTTTGTGTTTGATATCCTCGACGGGAGAAAGACGGTCTGGTCTGTAAGAGGACTCGGACGTATCACAGCATTGTTCGTGCATTTATTTAGAATCGGCAGATCTACGATTTTATGCCAAGTTGCTCTCAATTGTTTGTCTGTCTGTGTTTATCGCAAAAATAAAGCTGGCCTCGACAACATGTAACCCACTGTTCCCATGCAACGACCCAAATAAATAAGAACCGTAATTGCCAGGAAACGCGCTCTTCTATTTCGAGTAATTGAATCGGAATAAAGAATGCGTCCAGGTGGGACAACGACGGATTGGGTCTGCTGGCGGTCGCATGAGAAGCCTGCAGGACACTCCGTGTTGCGACGGGGGGCGAAGAGAAATCTGGCTTCGAAGCGGAATAGAATACAGGCCAATGCCGGACACGGCCCAATTTGGGGCATTTTCCAACCTCGACGTCTGCAGCTCATGCTGGCAAGGTTTTGGCACGGGTATGTGGACATGTTAGCTCGGCGGACTCCATACTGTCATACTAGGACTTGTCCACTTGGTGGCGTGCTTAACCAGGTTAAGTTTGACAATGCCGGGCTCGTTTGTACGGGTGGCTATTTTTAACAGTCGGTCTTGCTGGGCCTGCCCTTGTTGCCCTTGACCCTCTTTGCGCTGATTGCTGCCCACCAGTCTTGGAATTTGTTGTAGACTCCAGAGCGTATGTGTGAAGGAATCGGGGTAAAGAGACCGCCCAACCAACGCGCTTTTGGCTTTCCTGTTGATCAAGTTATATCCATTATTCTCAATCAGTCCGGCCAGTTCATACTCTCGTTGGCTGTTGAGCAATTCTCCTCTTCTTCGACGTCATTCTCCCGATCATGGGGTTTTGTCAGCCCTTTCCAGCACCAATTATCCAACGCTGCAGGTATCGCTGAGGGCCAGGCGGTGCTCTGTCTTTTGAAGCTACATCCTTAGCCTAGAGCAGCTTGCTCCAATCCTGCAGCTGGTCTGATACTTAATTTCGCCCCTTTGCACTGTGGTTGACATCATTCTGTGATCAGATGAGATGAGTTGTTGCGATCATGGATGCTGTAAGGCGCTGCGGGGTGAACTTTGAGCAAAGGCACATCCTATCTTGATAAGGCCGGCTGATCGCTGCATTCCTCACCGCCCACCCCAGCCAGCACGGGACAGGATCCGGAATGTCAGATTGAAGAAATACGGATGATTTTCACCCGTCTCTCGTTAGTTAGCGGAAGTATGTAAGAATCCTATTGTCACACGCCATCAGCAAGGGTAGTAGTAGTAATCTTGGTTTTCTCTTTGATCCATCCCAAAGTTCAGTCAGACCTTGGATATCACATCACGTCAACGCCTTGTTTCTCCTCCGCTCCATGGATCTCGCAATTGCTCTAGCTAAGTGCTTTCCTCCGCCCCGGCCAGTTTGGCAAGGAGCCCCTTGCATTCCCTGTTTTTACCTCACTTAGGTCCTCCATAAGTCCACGACTTCATATTTTCCCCGCCATCCTCCTCCCCTTCCCTGGATGATGCCCTGGAGTCCTAGCTTCGTCACAGTGAAATAGGATGCCGTGCTCGAGCAGAAGGAAATGCAAAGCGACTGGCTAGAAATGTGGGCCATCGTGAAGTCACCAGCCATTCTTTGTATTGAGTTCGAATCAGAAGCAGTCGACTGAATCCCGCACGCACCACCACAGAGACTAAAAGGATAGGTCCGAACACATCGGTTGTCCACATCACATATTCGGCGATGTTCGTCCTTCCTGTAGTTATCCAGTGCCCCATTTTTCCGCGCTTCATCCCATGAAGCTGAATCGCCAAACCCCAAGTTCAAAAAGGGTCATTCCTGCACAAACCCCTTGGATAACATACGTCTGTGCGCGCTTGCTAAGCAAGCATGGCATTCCGCCTATACAGACTACACACTGTGAAATCGATTGCATACAGTGCGCAGCATGAAGCTTTGGGAAATTCCTGGTTTGGTCTGTCCACAATTGGCGCCCTCCATGTGGGAAATATGCAGGTGGCTTTTTTTTTTTTTTTTTTTTCCTTTTTGCTTCATTTTTGAGCCGGCCCGACCGACTCTATAATGATCCCTACGTGGCTCGCTTCTCCGACCTGGGGAATTTTTACACATTTGTCTGCTTTTGGGGATTTGATTTTAACCTTTTTTCTCCTTGCATCAAGGGGCGCAAGTTCACATACCAGGGAGTGAGCGCTTTCCGTTTCGAGGGACTCTTGCGATGGTTTTATTGTTATTGCTCACTTCACTTTATTTTCCTCTCGTGTTGGGTGCGGATTCTACAATTCTCCATCTTGGAAGGCGGTGCGGTGCGACTTGTGTCGACAATGACGGGCCCATGGGTACTGAGCTGCTGGGCCGACAATGGGAAAAATGAATGCGGTTGAGGATGTTCCTAGTTACTCTCTCTCGATTCAATCAAATTTTTCTAGCCCGGATGGTTACTGGCAGAGCGCCTTCGGCTCCTGCGCACTCTGCATTTATTATTCATGTTAGAACCAACTGTGAAGCAACTTATGCTGAAGCAGCCTGTTTTCATGCATCTCATTTAATTCCTTGCGCAACGAACTCGGAATACTGCGTTTCTGCCTTCGTTTTATTTGGAATGAAGGCGGATACCTACATATCCGTACGTTTTCCAAAGAATCACGTTTTAAGGCCGACGCTTGCTACGCTATAAATGCAAACAAAAATTTGAGAAACTTAAAGGCTAGTCAGAGAGAGGCGGGGGAGGGGGTACTTCAGCCTAGGCAATTTCATTCATTGCATGAATTAATCTTATATCATCACCCACGTGGGTAACCTAGTTAATCTATCACCTTCTCGGACAAATCGCCTACTCAGACAATTCTCCACTTTAAGACGCGTCTCTATCTTGATAATCAAAATGTCAACAACAAAGATATTGTCTCCGACAGAGGTTGACTTAACGGGGAACTAAAGTCGTTTCGAGGGTTCTCTATCCGTAGCCACTGCACTCTGGTTTGTTGAACTTTACCCCCACACTCGGATAATTCATTTTGAATGAAAGCATTATAGTGGATGATGGAAGTGATGTGCAAGTATCATGTTAAAGCACTTGGCGAACAACGGAGAATTTCTTTGAAAATGAACAGACACGTGGACCGAAACCTAAAAAATGCTTGTTATGTTTCAATGGGCAACTAACTACTCCGTATAGCATTGTCAAATAACATAAACAAAGCGCTGATCTCTTTTGAGATCCCCACTTATTGTAAAAACGGCAGTGGCACACAATCGTGAAACATGCCAATAAATCCCATGTAAACAGGCAAAGAACAGCAGCTCCCATTTCTCACGCCGAATGACGCCTTTGAGAGCTAAACAACTTGTCCCACGCCTTGCTGTAGAACCGACGGTAGGATTAATTTTAGAGCAATGTAATATCAATTGGACAAATTAAAAGTTAAAAAACGCAAGATGAACCCTCCCCACATTCGTTGACATCACAAAAGAACATATCAGCATCTAGCGCGTCCGAAACCTCCTCGCAGAAGGACCACAGTGACAACGCGTAACTAGTTGTACCCCTAGACCCACAATGCATGCCTAACGGGATAATCGTTGCCCCTTGTTTTGCAAACACCAAACTACCGGAGTCACCGTCCTCAGCGAAAGGATTCTCATGCGAGTGTGGTTCTCCACTATGCTGCGGTTGGCGGTTGCAGTATATAGGTGGTGGATTGGGTGGCCACGCCCGCTGTGGGCCGAGCCACACCACCACGCCCACGGGTATATATATCACTATGAGCGCAACCATTTAACAAATGGTTACGTTGGCTTTTTGCTATGGATAACCTAGTGGTCATAGTGCTATCTTATCACACGAGTCCCAATGGATTTCAAGCACAAAAAATTCAATATCGCCACCATCGAGATTGCTGACGTAAGATAGGGTGCCACTTGTAAGGGGGGTAACTGCTCCATATTTGTAGACTCTGATAGGCTGGCCCGAGTTGATCATTAAACTGAACTCCGTCATGTCTGCCATCTTCGGATCGCGTTTTCGCAAAGTAGGGTCACCATGCACATCGGCACTGGGAATCAGCAAAGTGCAGTCGAATGGAAGGAAACGAACAGGATAATACGTTCAGTGGGATTTTCGTAGTTTCGAGTAGACATATTTCATCTGCGGATATGATTCCATGAGTGGGCGTCCTGGAAATCCTAAACGACGGCGTTCCTAGGGTTCTTTCGAACTCAGGGACGACCTGCAGGCGATAGCGTCCTTGGTCAGCGTTATCGTGTACAAAAATCGACGATGCATCCTTGACGACATGGCCCGCTGTCGCGAGAACGTGTCGTGTAGGGCCAGAATTAAGATTTTCCACGGTGACTATAAAACCCAATGTGCCTTTGGATTCACAAGCGTCAAGCCTTAGAGAGAACGACTCACGGGATGTAATTTCCGACCCTGATTGCACTGCTTGTAGGTGGATTTTTAGGGGTTCCCGCTCAATCAATAAAAATGTTGGTGTATTCCGTAGTACCTCGGGTACGACCGGTTCAGCACCATCCCAGAAGAGCTCATAAACGAGGCGTTTCGGGTTGCCGGGGAAAGTAAAGGCTTGCTCATAGACACTGAGCGTACTTGTCAGTAATTATTTGCATTAAGGTGAGGGACAAAAGTTACTAGTAGACTTACGAAGGGAAAATTCGAAAAAAGGATTTGCCGACAGCATCATACAAAACATCGACGGCAGTCTTGTAGGGCACGACGGCGCCCTCAAAGACTTTTGGAACATATTGGAAGAGGATCTTATCGGTCCACTGCACGCGGCCTCCCTCATTTTGATTATCGGCTATGAAATCGAGCACATCGCGAAGTTGTTCAGCGCTCAGCTTGATACTTTTCTTCAACCGTCTTTTCCTCTTGTGACGATCGAGACACCCTTTTTCGCTAGTACGATCCTCTGGGGACCAAAACAGATGATTTGGTCCGAGTGGTACTGTATTCTCGAGTATGGTGTCAAGTGTGCTAGGAAATGACGACTTGTCTGAAGGATCTGCACAGGAAACGGTTGTAGCTGTGGACGCGGAGGTATCTGATGGATCGGAGGAATCAGAGGATGAATTCTCGCGTTTGGAAGACATGGTGATCAGAAAATTGTGATTTAACAGGAAAGTAAGTATCTGATGTTGTTGTCAGAAAAATGCTTTGATAGTAGAGCAAAAGTGTGGTTCCCCACTATGCTGCAGCTGGCGGTTGCAGTATATAGGTGGTAGATTGGGTGGCCACGCCCGCTGTGGGCCGAGCCACACCACCACGCCCACAGGTATATATATCACTATGAGCGCAACCATTTAACAAATGGTTACGTTGGCTTTTTGCTATGGATAACCTAGTGGTCATAGTGCTATCTTATCACAAAAGGATGATGAGCGGAGCGAGTTTGAGTCATGGAGAAGGTTGAAGTGTTGCAGTTGAAGCTTCACTAGCGCAGATCTGGCGTGGGCCTTGTGTTGCTGATCGTCAACGCTTTGATGACTAGCTACCTTGGTAACGTGCTTCACCACTTCTTGGGACATCGCCACTTGGAACACTAAATCACATGATATAAAACTCTATGTTGATCTTGGGCTACCCATTACGGACTAGCGCATTGCACTAGATATCGGCTCCATATGACTTGGAGTAAATAGAAGCTTATCTTCTTAATCACAATCAATTCTATTTTCATTATTCATTTATACTCCATCGCTACGCTTATTTATTCCGAAGTTGTATAGTAAGTACTTATTAGATGGAGCAAAGGGAAGTCTCTAGGAATCATACAAAGCTCCGCGGGAGGACACAAGTTGCTTCATTTTATCGCTGAAATGATTGAATATGTGTGCAAAAATTGATTTAGAAGAGATTTTGACATCTCTACTTGATCTAAATACTGAAAAATCTCCACTTTTATTGACGCAGTGAGAGTCTGGAGTTCAACACTAGTTCATAATTGGCTGAGATACTCCCTATTCTTACTTACCCCTGAATTATCTGTTGTTGGCCCTAGACTAGCGCACCGCACATGTATGCCTCAGCTGCGTACATGCTAATACAACCACTTAGACCTCCCACATCTGTTCTTGTGATTCGGGAAACTAGCCAACTGGGGCATTATTGGGCACGATTTGGCAATGCTTTGATTTGATATCCAGAGAATAATCAAATTTAAATTCAGATTCAAATTCAAATGAAATCAAATCAAAAGGGGGTGCACATCTCCGCCACCGCCATGTGTGTTGGGCGTTGTGCGCATTGCGGCGCTTAGTCGATTCTGCGATTAGCAGAACTTACAAAGTACTAGTACAGTGAAAAGCGGCATGGCGGAGATGTCTTTGATCTCCACTTTTTGAAGCTTTGGATGTCCCATTTCTGATAAGTTAGCTTTGGAGAAGTCAAGGAAGAAAAGGGGAGGTGGGCGAAGGATGTTGTTCTGATCCTCGCTCAGCTCATAATTAAAAGCTAGCTGATCCGTCGTGGGGCTGTAGGTAACGGCTTCGTTAAAGTTAGCCTTGAGGGTTAATTCATGCGGTGGAGTCTGTGCGAAGCGAATGCAGAGCCACTTATAGTGTGCAGAGGAACATTTGATTCAACTGATGTTTTCCCTTTGTCCGCTGCTGCTTTCCATGATTGTTTCCTAGATGTTGCTTTCTGTGTAGTTATATCTTCTTATTTTTCTTCCTCTTCTTCTACTACTTTCAAACGGCAAACTTTGCCTAGGGCGAAATTGGAAGCAAGGTAACTCGCACATGCTCAAAAAAAAAGAACAAAAAAAGCGCCATCACCCAAACACCCCCCCTTCTTTTTCTTTCTTTCTTTTTTCCTCGTATATTTAGGGTTTTAGTTGTGATCCGGCCCGGCACGTCCCCTAAAGCAAGTCACTCCGCATGATGATATAGTTTTCGAAACTACATACTCGTAACTAGCAAACTATCACATCTGACAAACCCGCCCGCGGCAGAGCCCTGCTTGCTTGGACATCGGCAACACGGCCCTCCTGTTCCTCCGTATCCCTATCCCAGAAAAAGCTGTTGTGATAGTTGCCACCCCTCATACGTGACCCGCCGCCGGACACTCCGGTTTTTCGATGAATCTATTGGCAGGGGGTGGATGGGAGGTGGAATGATGTATGCATGCAGTAACTAGTTATCCACATCACGATACTGCATAAGTCAATAGCAAGCGAGAGAGAGAGAGAGAAAGAGAGAGAAACATCACTGGATTTTTTAGTATCGTCGCCCATCACAATCGACATGTCCAGCGGAATTCCTTTCTTTTCCGCAACCGCTCTTGTCCTTTCCATCTCTCGCGTGGTTTGGAAACGGTTGTCAGCAGACTTCAGCTTCCTGCGGGTGAGTCAGCTTAGCTACCTTGCCAGTCAGTGGTCGGTCATTCCACGGAGGAATTTTTGAATGTTGATGGGTGGTGGTGGTGACTAGTTAGCTGAGGACAGGATAATACAATCTTTTCCTCTCCATGAGTAACTAGCTAGTTAGTTAAACTTATTCAGTATATATTGTTATAGTCTTCACTGCCATGCCATGCCATGCCATGCAGGGCACGTAACTGCTCCCTCTACTCCTCTATCATACCGCTGCGCATGAGGGTTCTGGGATGTCTTTTCTATATATCCACGACATTCCCCCCCTTTCCTGTCCCTTTTTGCCCTTGCTTTGCATTACGGCTGTGCTCCAGGGTGCTTGAGAATTTGTGGGTTCGTGCGACCTTTTTCCCTTTTCCTTTTTCTTTTTTTTGCTTGGGAAACCTCAGCTGGGTGGATGGTATCAATATATACATATCTTCCGTCCATACTAGTATTTATTCTTTCTCCCTCTCCCTCTCCCTCTTTTTCCCTCCTTTTTTTCTTATCTGGGATGAATGATGTAAAAAAGGGTCATTGGTTTCTTGTTAAATTCAATAAATACTAGCCTTTTTTTGGGTGGGTAATATGGATTTTTCTCTATGGCGACGCTTAGGGTTCTACAGTGGTATAGACAATCTGTAGGGGGAAAAAGTGCATAGTTTACGTCCTAGGCAAATCCGACCGATCGTGGCCTTCGCTGTTCACATACGATCCGGATCCATCTTATACGAATGTAAAGTACATGTACCCATTAACCCAATCACGGAAATCAGGGCCTCCATGTCTCTGATCTCCTTGCTGGCAGGAGAGTTGGGTATACGTATACTAGAGTAACTACAGGGAGGACTGACTACCAAGGAGGAGTAAAACTACCTCAGGCCCTCCACCTCCCGCTTCGCAGGAAGCGCCCATTTCCGCATCCACTCAGACCCCACAACGTCCTGAATGGTAGCCCTGTCGCCGGGCAAGTATCGAAACATCATGCCAAGCATATGCAAGAAGGCCTTCTTCTCCTCTTCCCCCGGTGCTTCCATGTCACATCGTCGTCGAGCCACGTTGACGAACCAGTCGTACCGCTCCTCCAGGCTATCGTGGAAAGGGGCGCCAGTCGTCATGTCGATGGTTGCGTCCTCATTGTAGAACTCGGCTCTGGACTCCCATTGCGCCCACCATGGGTCCGGCAGCGGGCCCAGCACACCGACTTGGTCCTGGAGAATTCCTCCACCTAAGGTGCTGAAAGGGCCCCAGCTGCCCATGATTTCGAATATGGTGCATCCCAGGGTCCAGATTTCACTAGGGAAGGAGAGGATGTCGTCCTCCCTTTGGCTGTCAAGGAAGTAGGTTTCGGGCGGGACGAGATGGGGGAGCGTATGTGCATTGGTCCGTCTGGTTTTGCTGGGGTAGTAGCTTGAGCTGAAGTCAGAGAGCGTGATGGGCAGATGGGGAGGTGTGATTTTGTCAGAGCGAATGCCGATTCTTGCAGGCCGGACGATGTGATTTGGAACTCCTGCCAGGAGAGGCTTGCCGTCAACTCGGACGATGGGCTCCAGAATGGGATCACCGAATTTCTGATACAGTTGCGAAGGGTCCGTTATTCGGCGGACATCTGTAGGGAGTCGAAGAAAAATGTTACCGCTGTGTATATCTATAAGAATTAGTTAGAGGTTGCGTACGTCCAGCGAGGAACGATTATCTACAAGTACTAGACTTACCACCGTGGATAATTCCTTGGCTGTGTAAGAATTGGACGGTTAACACAAGATCCGCAGCAACAGCTCGCGCAAGACGAAGCTCCAGTAGTGCATGGGCGGCCAAGGACTTTGAATGCATCAAGCTACAACTGGCTGGTTCCATGACAAGGCAATCGTGAGCTCCATTGGGGCTATTCTCAACAAAGCTGTCGAGCAGCTTCCTGATCAACCGATGTGAATGAAGGCGTTTTAGAAAGTCTACTTCTTGAGACTCTGATGGCGATGATGCAGAATCTGCAGTTTTTATCTTGATGGCAACTAATTTTCGTTGTTTGTGGTCGGAAGCAAGCCATACTGTAGAACTGCCGCCAAATCCCAGGTTGTGGATAATGGTATAACGTCCATCACAGAGGTGATCTCCAAGGTTTATAGGGCAGAAACCCCCAGGACAGTACCGCTCTAGCCGTTCGCAATTTCCAATGTATTTATACTTAGGAGAAGTCTCGGAAGTCGCAGGCACTTTGTCCATCTCGTGTCTGGGGTGTGAGGTGTGGAATGCGTGGGAAATGATGGGTGTGGGTTTCAGTCGTGAAAGACGCCCTCTTTTTGGTAGTCTCCTTAACAAAACTCTGGAGGGAAGGTGCCAGCTCCATATGATATTTTGAAAACATGAGCTGGAGTGTGTCATTGAATAACAAAAATTCAAAGTGAGTGGCAATGTGGAGAGCAGATAACAACTTGGCAACCTCTCAGTAATGAATGAGGCAGTTTCCACTGTCAAATCTTGTTTTGTTTTGTTTGGTTTCTTTTGTAAATAGCTCGAAACTACCAATTAAATTTATTGAGATGAGGCAGCCAGTATAAAATTTACTAACTACTACTAGTAGTTAATTAACTAGCGAGGCAGCATAAATGAGTTGCCAAGTTTGCAAGCCACGCTCACCCCATCTAAAACACACCCGCACCACCCTCTTCACACTGACTTAATACATTACAAATGCACACCCGCCATTCCAACACGGAGTTAGGCGTTAGCATTGGGATAGTGATTCGGGGGTTAGGCTAAGGGGTTAGAGCCTGAGATATATGGTTAAGTCATATCCCTCTTGGTCCTTTGCCTGTGCTTTGTGTCAACATCAAGCCATTCGCTCAATGACTTGAAATGAATCTCTCATTAGTAACTGCGAAACAGAATTTCCCCAATGGTGTATGCTCACTATGGGAACTAAAGGAAGGATGGAGGATTCCCTGGTATTACATGGAATGGAGTTCATATTTTTGCGACAGGCGTTAGGATGCACCATGTTGAACGCTATTCCTCAGCACCTCCCTAACCGTGACTCCGTGAGAGAGCGTCGACCGGGATTGAGCATGCCCAGGTTACCCCTCTCTTTCCTTCATCGATCCGTTTAAAGAATATTCCACCTTTAACGAACCCTTCCTTTGATCTAGTTTGTCGAATTGAATAAAAGAAACAAGCACCTTCGAAAAGATTTGTATTGGGCCGCAAAGAGAAGATGGCCAATCTAGTCAAATTCTATGTCACAGGCGGCGTCTGAACTCGACGAATCCCTCATTTGATGGCTTTGGCATATCAAACTGCAAACGATCTTCATCTTCACCCGAAAGCTATTCTCATTCGGTATCATCCACCTATACTTTCTCACATGAATATACTAATGGGTAACTGGCTAGGTCTGATATTCACGATACTACCTCGGTTCGTGGCATGTATATGAAAGATCCGAAGGGTCTCCATCTTACCATCTGCTTCAAAAATGCCGAGCAACTCACCAACAACACGCATATCGCTAGTCATGGATACGTCACGGACAGATCAAAAACCTTTATTCATGAAGCAACACACACGCCGGAAAAAGAAGACGAAACTAAGAAAGATAACGGGCTTGATGTTTGGCCTAGCGGCTTACCTTGTGTTGCTGAAGTCGCCTATGGCCAGGTGCCGAAGCCGGAAGAAATTCAAGTGGGGGTAGTTATCTGATACTGTGAAATTTATTTACCCTCTCACCAGGTTAAACACTACACGTATTCAGTTCAATTTTAACACAACGCTCAACATGCTCTACGAACCAGTGAATTGACAGCTTGTAGATATCATGAGCTGAAAATTTAGATAGGAGAGATATGTAGTACTATCGGCAGCTCTGAAGATCGCGTGCGTAGCCAGGGAAACTCGGAAGTACCCTACATTGGACTCTCTAGGCGGCCAACAAATGGAATTCTGAGAAATTCAGCTATCCACTCAAAATTTGAAATGAATACCATAGAGAGTAGTGCAGGTACAAAAGAGAGTATAGAATCATCATATGAGACTGGAATCATTCTTGATTGTTTGGTGATATGTTTGCCTAGCTCCATGAAGAACACCATGTAAAGAAGCTTAGAATACCATTGATACCCCCAAACTAGGCTCAAAGTTATATATGTCAATTGGTATGTATGAAATATGAGAGTATATGCCCCTCTCTGATTTTTAGATGTTACACGCTGGAATTTGCCCACGCCTAAAATGTATTTATGTATAATCTTTTGATAGTTTGAATGATTCACTTGCTCTCTGATGAACCACAGCCGTTGCAAATATACAATACAAGCCCTATTAATGGAAATCAAGACCTTGGGCTCGTAGGAGGTTTAGTTGGCATTTGAAGCAGGGTTTTTTTTTTTTTTTTTTTTTTTTTTTTTTAAGAGATTGTCAACAAGCTTTTGATTTTCATATATTTCTTTCTGAAAAGAGGAGGTACAGAAAAAATCCATAAAACAATAGTAGAAATCAAAACCGCAGAATTTTTTTTCTTTTATGTACAGTACCTTCTTTTCAGGCTACATTAGGCGATGGGCTACTATGTACTGTACATGTACATATTCCAATTGTCACAGTCATGAAACGGGGAAAAAAGAACAGCAAAATCCGCTAGCAAAAAATCGCCTATCACAAATTCAAATCTCTTAAACAACCAGAAGTCCTCATAACCTAGGCTGAAAACATCTCGAAAGGAACGAAAATAGTACTATATAATCATAAGAAATCCTCAGAAGCATCTCCATTCCCTTCGTCCCTTGTTCTGTTCCCTCCACCCACTCCATTCTTCCACTATCCCAGTCTTGCCCTGCAACCGCACCACCACCATTTATCCAACAATCATACATACTATATAGTAGGATCCATCACATCGCAAAACCCGATTTCTACATCATAAACGTGGAAAAAAAAAAAAAAAGGTAAAAAAAAACCACCGAATAAGGTTCAAGTTAACCAAAAATGTAACTGTGATATCCAACGCCGGGCTTACCAAAGCAAAGCAAGCCCTTGTCCAATGTCATCTCACACACACTCGCGCATTCCATAGTTAACTAACTACGCTGGGTAACTAACTAGTTACCAGCAACTTAGCTAATGCGCGGGCGCGGACCAGGGGACAATGGAGGCTTGATATTACCTATCTCCTCCTGTCCATAGTTAAGAATAGTAGTAGCATCATATCACATAAGTTAGTTATCCCCCCTCTCCCACCCCCACCCCTCCCCCGCCCAAGTACGGAGCGGGGAATTTAATTTAGTTTAATTTTTTTTTTGTCTTTTTTGATTTTGCTGCTCCAACAAGTTCGCCGAAGAAGGGAAGATAGATCCCATCACGAAAGCAAGGCAAGGCAAGGCAAAGCAAAGTTAGTCACTTGACGAGGTAAACTAGTCAAAAAACCCATCACAGCAATTTAGTCGAGTCATAGCTACGCTGTAGTACCTTAACATGAGTTTGTTAGTATGGAAGAAAAAAATTGGCCAATGTGCCTTAACTCTTCGATTCTACTCTTCCTCACCTCCCTCCCTACCTTGCCTTCCCGCACTTGTTCGGAAAAATATCGTACGGCCCCCTCCCATACCCATACCAACCAACAATCCATGGCGCGGCGAGGTTTGGTTGGTTGGGAGAGACACAATTCGGCTTATGCAGCAGAAGAGCGGAATTCGTATTCATGTATCGAGATCGAAGGTGTTTTTTTTAACAAGCAAGAGGTCGCAGCGGGGGTTTAGCGGGCTAGCGGGGTTAGCAGCGATGTGTGTTATCTTATCGAGTTTCTCTCGATATCTATCACCGGATAAAACAAGTAAACAGACCCACACACACACAGAAAGAGAGAGAGAGAGCGCGATAGATAGACCGAGGAGGATAGCGGGGGATGTAGGATGTAGGAGGGCAGGGGCAGGGCAGGTAGGCCCGCCCTAGCCCTATCTAGCCTGCCCTATCTAGGGAGGTACTGTACACATACGTGCATATGTAACGGGAAGTGCATCCGGCTGGTAGCTGGTTGGACCGGATGATTGAATGATTGAGCAGGATAACTATCGTATCATATTACGTATGTATCAAAAACGGGAGACGAGGACGACGACGAGGAAGAATTGTTAGCTGACTAAAACTCTGGTCAATAGAAATGGTTTTTTTTTTTTTTTTTTTTTTTTTGTTTTGCTCTGTTCCTTTGATTCATTACTCATCACTCATCACGCCTTCTTGGCTGGTAGGTACTAGAGAGAGCGAGGAAGGTGGCTGGGAGGTTGGATGAAGGATATATATACATGGGGGAGGGCCCCTCATATACGGATGTATGCAGTTCGTGTGACGAGGAGGGGCGAAATCCGAACTGGTACGAGCATGAACGACGGAAGGAAAGGAAAGATGGGAGGAGGATAGAAGATTTATATATATATATAAATATACATATATTACTAACTATGGAGGTACCATTCCATTGAGCAGCTTAAAAAGGGGATTGGTTGCTTTTTGCCGCTGGGACTTTGGTATCACCATTGAATTATTAAATATGGGGCTTCATCGTTCGGGTTCGTAATAATGATAATAATAATGATAGTTAATGATAATCTCTGGTTGGAAGAGGTAGATCTTTGTAGGGCGGGAGAAAGGCGAACACACTGTTGGCCTCGCCCTGGCCCATCCACGAGACAGTTGATCTGATCGGATCAAAAACGTACCTGGGACTGGACCGGAAGAAGCTCCCCACCGCACAAAAGGAGATTGTTGCTAGTTATGTCTTCAATGGCAGATCGGCCAAGGGGATACTCCGAGGGGGAAGGTTCTCCGTGCAAGTACGCATTGTACGCATTGGCCCGGAAAGAGGGGTAAATTTATTAATAGAAAACGAAGCAATCTGGAGATGTTGGGGCTAATTTCGCCAGTGTTGGGAAGATTAGGGAGTGACTGAGTGAGTGAGTGACTGACCACTAATGATTCCCCGAATCCTTTGTCGTACTAGTCGAATCTAGTGAGTAAATCGTGATTGTGATAGAGGAAGATGCAGCATCGCACAATGATTGGCTCAGTGGGGCGTGGAGATGGTGAGATCTACCTGAGGACTGCTACTAGCCTGTCCAGTGTCCAGTTGTGTCCGTCAGGTCATCCCCATCCACGGTTGGGCGGTTAAATCTGCTGCTAAATAGGGAAGCTCCGAACAAATACAGCAATGCTTCCTTTGATTCGCGGCGAGGAGGCATTAGGGTTTGCGGGCCAAAAGTGGAGATGCGGCAACTGTGTCGGAGCCCCACCCGGATCCACCGTGACAAACATCATGTGGGCCAATCAGACAATAAGATCCCTTGCTAGCCCGCCCCACACGCACTGACTTTCCGCTAACCCCGATGTGGACAGGCGTTCGCTGCCAGCAGCGCCAAGTCCCGCCGACGTATGTCGCTCACTGCGAACTTCTGACTGATGCCGGGCTCTGATTCGCCCATGCGGCGTTGCTGGCGCAATTGTGCCAAGGCTGCAGGTTCTCCGCAAGCACCCAATCCCCTTGCCCGCTGGCCCTCCCTGCTGCACAACACGGGATTTGGCTCGAGCTCGCCGATCGAATCGAGCGCCAACGAGGGACGTCCACAATGGCCCCTCAACAGCGAGATGCCAACCACGCCAACCACGCCAACCATGGCCATTCTTTCTCCCCTCACCTGCTCTCCCTGAGTTACCCCGTGGACAGACAGGAAATATTACCCAGGTACGCCGGCTGACTGACGGTACACCTGTGGTTACATTATTCATCGGAAGCAAATGACGCCATCATCAATGTTCCACTCCCCCCGTGATGTATTACTTCTTGTATGACGCCCTACAAACCTCTCACTGGCCTGGGAGGATACATTGGCCATGGCCGTGTTGTGCTCTCGAGTGGCTGGTTGGGAGGTGGAAGCTGCCCTTCGCAATCTCGTTTACACCAGACACACAACTGCCGTTGTTATCCGATGTGTCCTATCTCTCCCACTATTGAAAAACTAGCAGGACTGATGTGCCAATCAGCATGGCAAGCAACTATGGTACTCCTTACAGTACATCTGCTGTTCTCTGCAGGAATTACGGAGCACAGAGTAACTTTCCTATGTGGGCCATTGGGGGAACACGGGGGAAAAATGGTACATCACCATAATACGCATGTTTCCTCTCAGCAGGCACGAGTACAGTGCAATACCTGGATAAGCACAATCAAACAGCAGGGTGCTCATTGTTACTTACAGGTAGTGTCTCCGGGGCTCGAAATAGCAGCAAAACAGTCGTACGCCGCGGGTCCATGGATGATTTCCCCCCTTCTGAGAGAACCATTCTGTGAACAATCGGGAACTTCTGTGGATGTGTGCCCTGTCGTGCCACTGCGCTAGCCGAGTCTGCAGAGATCAATCAATTTTTAGGTGCAGCTAACTGAGTTCCCTTGCCCGGACTGCACGCCATCCAGCCTATCGCCGGCCATGCCCAACCCCCCTCCCTCATCACCCTCACCACTGACCACCCACGGACCACTCAACGGACCAGCAGCGTTCGAGCAACTCCCGCCGACCCTCTGCTTCCTGCCTAAGCGGGTATGGCCTGCATGGTTTTTTTTTTAGAGCAGCCCGCAAAAAAATGGAGGCCAGGCACGATGGTCTGTCCAATGGCCGAGGATTGTTTCTCTCTCGCAGCCTGCCCACTCCCCCAATTAGGCTCCGTCCCGAGGTTTTCCCAGTCCCTCAAGTGAGCCTAGTCCCGTTGTGGCGCCATCGTGCATCTGATCCACCGAGGACGGTCAAAAATAGAAACCGCCCTTTTTGGCTTTTTGGCGGGATCGATCTCCGCCGAGGGATTCTTATGATTCTTATAACGCGGGCCGCCCTGGATGCTGCAAAGAGCTTCAGAGCTTCAGAGCTTCAGAGTGCTTCTTGCGAGACGGCAGCGCGCGGCATCGAATTGCTGGATATTCTTCTCTTCTCTTCCTCGACTATATCTGTCTACCTGTCCATCTTCGGTTCTACCATCCGATCATTCGATCTATCATCCTTCCTCGTCTTCACTCCTCCTCTTACCTAATCCGACAGATACGCCCTCTCTCCTTCACAAAGCCTGCTGGCCAAGCTTTACGCCATTCCTTGCTGTATACAACTCCTAATATATATACATCAGTATTCGAAGCAATCCGATCTCCGTCGCCTGCCGCTGTCGGACTACCTACCCTGGTTTATACAACTGAGCCTCGCCTAATTTGAGATTTGATATCTCGCTGTCTCTCTCTCTCTCTATCTGCCTTACTCAACCACAGCTCCTGCTCAGGTCGGGAACCCAGACAAGCAGGATCTTGTCTCTTGTTGTTTTATTGTTGTTGGTTACTACTAGTAGTGTTTGTTAATAATAATGTCCTACACCACAATCGCCCCCCTGGCAAAGGCACAGGTGCCTACTGCTCCCGCAAACATGGTTTCCTCCGCGTCAACCCCGGCCGGGAAGGTCCTCAAGAACTCACGCAAGGCCACTTCCAAATCCTCGGCCAGGCCTGCGGGAGACTCCTCCTCCTCCTCCTCCTCCTCCTCCTCCTCCTCCTCCCCCCCGAAGATGGCTGAGAAGACCCATCGACGCTCCAGATTAGGTATGTTTGCCCAAATTCACCCTGGAAAGAAATATATAATCCCAATACTTATATACTCTCTTGGATTAGGGTGCTTCACCTGTCGTCTGCGAAGGAAGAAGTGCGACGAGGGAAAGATGATCTGCAAAGCATGCAAGAACCTGAAGCTGAAATGCGAATACAAGCGGCCCGTATGGTGGGGGAACAACGAGCAACGGCGCATCCAAAAGGAATTGATCAAGGACATCATCAAGAAGACCAAGCTCAATGAGAAAGCGTGCGCGAGTGCCAGTGCCCGCGCAAACAGCTGCGCCCATTCCGCCCCCAGCCTGACACATTCCGCCCCAACGATAGACACCTATTCGGATGGCTTGGATGGAACTCGCGCCCCGTCGGCCGAATCGCACTTCTCCCTGGAGCATGAGTTGCACGATTTTCCCTTCCCGTCGCATGATCCGTTTGACCCCTTCGGATCCCAACTCCAGACTCCCCATTTCGAGGCCGCCGCCTTCTACGGAACGGCACCGCCATACGAAATCGACATCAAGACGGAGCGACAGTTATACGTCAATGACATTCCCACCCGGCGAGATTCTTCCATCTCCACGTTCAGCACTTTCCAGCCACCGTTGTCGCATGCCACCCTACCAACGTTCCCGGGTGATGATTGGGTTCAGAAGGAGTATTTCGAAAGTTGCAAGGAATCCTTCAGCTCACCGGAAGCGAGCGATTTCGGCTTCTTCAACCTGCCACCCGAGCCCACCATCGCCGATATGTTCAATCTTGACGATGGCGACCGTCACCTTTTGGAGCATTTCTTCGAGCACATCATTCCACTTGTTTTTCCCGTTCTGGAGACGAGACAGCACGGTATCGTGCAATCACGTATCTTACCCGCCTTGCAGGCCAACAAGCCTTACTTGCACTGTTGCCTGAGTATCGCAGCCATGCATCTCAAGGCTACTGAGTGCGGCAATGGCGATCGGTTTGATAACGCCATCCTCAACCATCGCGGGGAGGCGGTGAAGGAGCTCAACGAGGCTCTGACGCACGACACAGACAATCTCCAGATCCTGGACGCGATACTGGCCATGATCCTATTCCCATGCACCGTTGGCTGCCCGAATGATGTGCTGCTCGATATCCCATGGCACTCGCACTTCCAGCCCGTCACGGAACTGATCGCTAGGCTTGGCCTTCCGCAAATGCTGCTCGACGCGGACAACCACAGTATCCCCGCACCATTCGACATGACTCTGGTTGCTTGGATCGACATCCTGGGTTCAACGATGCTGGGAAAGACACCGCAATGCGCACACCTCTACCGCACCAAGCTCCTGGCCGGCTCCTCTTCCGGGCTATATGATCTGATGGGCTGCGAGGACCGCGTGATGTATCTGATCTCCGAGATCTCCTGCCTCGACGCGCTGAAGATCGAAGGTTGCATCGACGACCTCCAGCTTTGCTCGCACGTCACCGCCCTCGCCCATCAGCTCGACCGCACCGAGCCACCACCAGGATCCCTCGCATATCCAACGAACGACACTGGTGTCCTCCAACCATGCCAGCTCTCACAGAACATGACCGCGCTTTACCGCCTCGCCGCCCGCGTGTACCTCTGCAGCCTTGTCCCGGGCTTCCATCGCACCCAAGTCGGAACCATGCGCCTGATCTCCGACTTTGCGGACCTGGTAAACCTGATCCCCGGCGGTGCGGACGGCTTCGACCGCTCCCTTGTCTGGCCATTCCTCATCTGCGGCGCCTTCTCCACTCAGACCAGCCCATTCCGTTCCATGTTCGAACGCCGCGTCGAGATGCTTGGCCCCGCCGGCGGGAACGGCAGCTTCGGTCGCATGGCCTGTCTGCTGCGCGAGGCCTGGCGCCAGGCCGACGTCGTGGTGGTGGCTGCTGTTTCAGACGTGTCGTTCCTCCCGACTCCGGTGTCTGCCTCGACAACCCCGGGCGGAAGCCTGTCATCTGCTACCACCGCCTCAGGTGATGAGCACAGCCACCAGAAACCCGCCCCCAACCCCCTTGCAAACATCCACTGGCGTGATGTTATGAAGCAAAACAACTGGGATTTCTTGCTGATATAGATAGAATTTTTCCTATCGAAGCACACGGAAGAAGCAAAAAAAAAAAAAAGAAAAAGAAAAAAAAAATACAATACACTCTTTACTTATAAGAATGTGGGAGATCTCGAGTTTATCTCTAGATTATTTGAAAAGGAAGAAAAAAAAAATAATAAAAACCCCGTGTTCGACACATCAACCAACCAATCCCATCTTTTCAGAGCGGAATCTCATTTTTTTCATCTACTTATTTATTTATCTAATATCTATCTATGCTTTGTTTCCAAGATACCCACTACTTTTATTTGTTTTCAGAAAGTTGGCTTTTTTAAGTTTCTTTTCTTTTTCTTTTTCTTTTTTTTTTTTTTTTGCATAAATGTTTCTCTCCGGGCGGTATAATTTTTAAATTTTGCATGGGTAATGGCGCAATGGGCTGGCAGAGTGGGAATGGAATGGGAAATGGATGGGAACGGCGGGCGCTTGATTGGCGTTTTGTTTTGTTTTGTTTTGTTTTATTTTTATTTTTTATTTTTTTCGAAATTTTCTATATATATATATATATATATGCATGTAGATATTAAAATGAATTCTGTAATAGATATGTCATTGATTGATTAAATGCTCTTATAGTTGCAGATTGAACTGTCTATACTGTCTATGCAATTTATATAATCTATCTACAATAGATATTATCAACAGACTAGACACTATTCCTAATAATAGTGTGATTGATTAAAATGTGTCAATAGTAAACTTATACAATCAATCTCTTGTCATCTATTTACCCTCTTAGAGTCTGTTCAGTGACTCTATTCAGAGTTATATAAGTCTAAACAGTGTCAGCTATATGAATATATACAGCTCTATACTAGTGTCATTATTTTCGCGGGTCGGGTTGAAAAAGTGGTGGGAATTGCCTGAAACAACAGGTTCTCAGATTGGAAAAAAAAAAGTTGCAAGAAGAAACTGTGAAGAAATTGATGATGATTAAGTATAGAAAAGAAAAAGAAACTATTGATAAGAATTATATTGCAATGAAATACTCTTTCAATGATACAGTGAAGAAAAAAATTGACTGAGATTGTATATAGTATAAATGAGTTTATAAGTATTATCAATAACTAATCATTAACTTAGTTATCAATTGCACACACATACATTTATAACATAATCTTCAGAACAGAATCAAACTTGAGTCAGAATCATGATCAGTTTCAGATCACATTTTTATTTTTCATAGTCAGTCACTTTACATGGAATATCAAGATTTGTTAGTTTCATTCTGGTTATATTAGGCTCAAATCTGGTTCTTTTATACTCCATTTCTGAAAAATTTTGGTCCTTTTACACTCTCATTTTAATCTCAGTTTCACTGAAAATCACATCAAGAAATGGACTGGGACCAAGCCAAACCAAACCAAATATGTAATTCATGGTCCCACTGGCCAGTCTAACTTAGTATTCATCTTGTTTACTTTAGACTGCTGCTGTAGTTATTGCTAGTCATTCTAGATATCTCTTTACAATATATCTTAACCTGCAATAGTGGCACTACCTCCTGATCCAGTTATCAAGCTCAGAAGCACGGTATAAGCCCCGACCTTACCTTATATTTAGTGAGAGGCTTGCTAGGTTAGAGAATTGGTAGCACATAACCAGTAGCATCAAGTGAAAGTGACTTTCCGGTTCATCAGGCCGCGATACACCGCATCGAGAACATCCCGTTTCCTCTTCCGTTCCTCCATCTCCTCCTCATTCTCCGCGATCTCATGCGCCTCATCCGACGTTCTGGAGACCCAGGCCCTGATCGTCCCATCTCCGTGGGCAGAAAATAGCTCCATGCCCTCGCCCGATGCTCCGTTCCCGCGCCATGCAAGGCCATTTATGGGCGCCGCGCTGAGCGCCGTGGGCCTTCCTCGCATCCTCTGCCGTGAGCCCGGTACGCCGGGCACACGAAGGCGCTTGATGAATGCACCATCCCGAAGCGCGAAAACGAATACTTCCCCTGTGTCGTCCTGGTCGCCGCAGTTGGGCCAAAGAAGCGTTGCATGCCCCGCACCTGTGACATCGCTCGGTAAAACAAGCGGTGCCCTCTCAGCGAGATGCAGTGAGGCGCTGTTGCGGACGCGCGGGCCGAAATGGACCAGCGAATTTGCCCCCGTGGAAGCGTCCCAGACTCGAATGCGCGCGTCGTGTCCGGAAGTGATTATGTGGCTGCCACTGGACGTCCATCGCACGCCCGTCACCGCCCCGTTATGCGCACGGGCGTCGGGCGCATATGGATTCCGGCAGGCGAACGACGGCGGTGCGTCGTGCGGCGCGACCACGCCGACTGCGTCGTCCATGTCCAGCGAAGCTAGAGCAGAGTTGTGGCCCCCGCGGCGGACGTCGAAGAGGATGACCCGGTTGTCATGGGACGCAGACGCGAGCAGATATTCATGATGGGGGGCCCAGGAAACGGAGAGAATAGCGGAGCTATGTCCCGGTAATGCGTGGGTGGCCAGCCCAGAACGAAGGTCGAGCAGTCTCACTGCTTTATCCGAGGTTCCTACAGCGGCCAGAAGGAGCGACGACGGATGCGATGAAAACGAATGTGAGTACGGAGTGGAGTGCAGCGAAAATGTATAAACTGGGATAATCGCAGGAGCTTGAAGCGAAGATAGTTTCAAAGTGGTGTCGTGGGAAGTCGTCAATATAGTCGACGGAGTCGGGTCGAAGGGATAAATTGAAATAGAAGTCAATGCATGTGTATGCGCCGCTGGGCTCATTGATCTAAATGGGCGATGAGATTGTCTGATAAAAAAAAAAGATATGGACGGGATTTAAGACAATGGATTTACTTTGTCACCGAAGCAATGGATTTGTAAAGATAGCTTGACTCAGATCCACGAGTCTCCAAATCCCAGAGATGGACGGACGCATCCGCGCCACCAGATACCATACTGTATTCCTTGTCCTTAGCAAGACCTTTGGCCGTAAAATGATTTTCTGCTGGGTTATACATACAAGCGCTTTTCATATTGATCGATCGTCAGCACATTAACGCCTGCTTTGTGAGCCCGAGACTCGTCTTTCTCCTCATCCTTCCAGCCATCTTCCGTAGACTTTCTTTCTCCCTGGTTTAGCTCTGGCGTTGTGGGGTGGCTGGAGAACTTGATACCAGGCGCAGGCTCAATTGACCGGATGAGGTGGGCATTGTGAGCCACATGGAAAGCAGACGGGCTGATAGATCCTTGGGATCTATTCAGCAGGTACGAATTCATTCATCAGAGATTTTGCAGACATGAATACGCTTTTATCATCTTCGTCGCTGAGAAGTTGAAATTGTTGGTCCTAGGCTGCTCCTTTATGCCCCAGCTAATACAACCACTCAGACGTCCCACAGAATAAACGTCGTTAGTTATGTCATAGGAAGTCAATGGTCGGGGAAAAATCGGCCCGTGAATTATAATTTAAATTGGCGGAGAGCAAAATGCAACAAAGAGCGCACAACATCCATGGTCATGTCGAAGGTTTGATTCAAGAGATATGTCTCTAGCAGATTTCTTGCCATGAGCCACCCTGCTCGAGATGATCTGCTCAAGACGGAATCTCTGCGTGACTTGCTACCCTGCCCAAGGCGACAAGCGAATGTCTATGATGCCGCAGCTGGTATTTAGCAATGTCCCCGAAAAATGTTCGCTATTTCTATCTAATGACGTCCAGGTCGTGTTTCTTCCTCTGGATTCCGTCCTCGAATACTTCTCAACCAGAACCTTGTGGCTTCTATCTCATCCGTTCCTGTTACACCGGAGGAAGTTCTTTTCCGCCGTGTGAATGCGCCAGTGAGATACGCAGAGAATGACATCTACTTCGCCAATGAGCGTCTCGCACCTGACCAACGATTACCGGATTCCGATATTCTGAAAGCTATTCACACTTACGCCTCCGATTTCTATGCAAATGCGACTCTTGATCAAGGGCATGCAGATTGGCAGAGTATGGATGAAACGGCACTGATTGCATTAGGGATACTCCTTGAAGAAGCCGCCAATGAATCACTGGGCGAAACCGGTGATATGGTGTTTGTTGAAGGGGAGGAGATAACTGATCCTGAAGAACACTTTACTCATCCTTCCTCCGCGAGCTGTGGTCGCAAGCGGATTACTGTGGCAAGTCGTAGCGCAATCAGGGGAGAAAAGTTCGCCAGGCCACGAAAAACTAGAACGAAAAGACGCCGCAGAGCTGATTTGGACCGCTCCACGGAACCCGAATAGAAACTGCTTGGTGGACCATTCCATATGCCAGAAAGTACTCGGTATTCTTGGTCACAATTTTCGGGATGGTCAACTTAAACTTTTCACGATGGAGGGCTGATCGAGGGCCTTAATTTTGCGCTGTAAGCTACCATTGCTAAATGGAATATTCTTTGCCATTTTTGCGTGGATTTAAGCTAGCTGCCCCATGGATACTAAGTCCCACCTTTCGTGGACTGTGTCTCTGATCGGTTTTCGTGATGGCACCCTGGGTATCGATTCACTGCGTACACTGGGTCATGTCTGGTATAACTTCAAAAACCACCCGAGTTGTTGGAACCAGCTCAGCTTCTGCTCCCGTTCTTCTGCAGTTACAACAACTTGACATCCTCACGGGTCGTTTGCTTATGGTCTCCGCTACTTCCCGTGCCATATAATTTTCGCCTCTCTCACCCATCTCTCCAATATAACTCCAGTTAAAGGCTCCGACTATATTCATATAGTGACAAAACATGAGGATAACTTGGCTTATTTCTACGACTACTGTGTGTTTGGGTGGAGTTTGAACCACAATCGCCAAATAGCATACGACCAAACTACCCTTGCGAGACCGGGAGTTGCGATTTTAGGTCCTCGACATACCCGAATCCCCGATACTGTTGTGCAGTCAATGGGTACCGGTGCCTTCATCTCTTCAAAGAATATTCTGTAAATTCAGAATCTGCCACAACGGTTACATATGGCTCCCATTCTTTATGCTTTTGGGAACCATTATTATTTCACTAAGAAGGGAAACGTCCGTTTTATTTCGAGGATGTGTTGGGGGTTCAGCTCCCAAGTTCTTGCGAGAATATTCCTTTCGATAAAATGTTCCGTCTCTAGCTTGAGTTGGTTACACCACGACGGTGCTTTTCACTTTTTGATCATTATCTGTATTTGCGTGTCGACTGTTTCAAAAGAACTATGTTGCTATTAGAGGTTCCCGACATCGGGATTGGTTATATTATTTGTAGCAACCAAGTTACAGGATGTTCTGTCGAGAGTTACTTCCTCCGTTTGCGTGCGTGCCTTTCTCTCGTCCTCATCCTCATAATGCTTGTTCAATTCCTGGTGACGCAAACAAGTTCTGGATTTCCTCTCTCTTTTCTTCTTTTTTCGATTCCAGCTTCCACCACATATAGTCTAAAACGGCTATGCCCATGTGTTTCTCGTGATCTTCTTTCTAGGAAACTTAGATACCCATGATGTCGTTTTCTTTTGCACCTGGGCGACGGCGAATATGGTACGAGTATACGAGCTCATGTTTGAATATCGAAAGGAGACCTTCCCCCTTTCAATTCTCTTCGCTTCTTAGACCATTTTCTAATGTTTTGCCGGCCCTTCGAGCTTTTAATGTAATAATGGGTGGCTGTTTTCCTCGTCTCGGGGTGAATGTGAGCGTGGCGCTCCATAGACGAACATGCAGAAGCCCACCTTCACTCCTAAGAGTTTCGCTATGTCTACACAATTGCCTGATATGTAGCTGTATAGCTTTGAAATAATATGAAATGAACGTGGGGGTAATGGGTTCTGTTGATTTAGACACCTGAACATTCAGCGTTCGGTTCTGGGAGACTCGCCGTTTCCGAAAAGGGGAACATCATTCGCTGCCTCTTGAGAGACTGATCAACTATAAGAGTGAAGCAAGGATTCTTTAGATTTGCCTGGTACTACACAATTCTAAGTTTTCACAATAAAAAAGATTTCGACTCTCCAGAGCCTGATACCTGCTTTGAGTCGAAAGGTTTCATCCGTCCCCTACGGTTGTATCTCGCGCTGTCTTGCAAGCAATCATGGTATTAAGCCCCTCAGCCCCTTACAGATCTCAACAAATGCTCTTATATATTGGGTTTTGCATTTCTGTACTTTTTCCCTTTGTATTTCTCCCTGTGTGTACCGGTTATTCTAATCGCTGTCCAGGCGCCTTCAAAATCACTCCCCTCAGCGGCCAAACAACAGTTAATACTTGACTACCTCCGCGCATCGCAGACATGCCACACGCTCAAAGATCTCGAGAAATGTCTCCCCTCTGTCGCGTCCATAAATGGCATGCAGGTCAAGGACTACATCCAAGCCCTGGCGGACGATGGAAAATTGCACGTTGAAAAAATCGGAAGTGGCAATTGGTACTGGGCATGGGCGGGGGAAGAGCAGAAGGAGAGAGAGAAGGTTAAGCGTGGCCTGGTGAAAGAACTCGAGAAACTGGAGAGAGTTGTGGTGGAGCTGGAGGAGAGAAAGAAGGCAGCTCTTGCTGAAATCGGGGACCGTAGAGGGGATGAGGATAGGGATAGGGAGAAGTTGGTGATGAAAAAAGCGGAGCGGGAGGCAGAGATGGCTAGTTTGAGGGCGGAGGAAGAGAGTTACTTAAATGGTGGAGCTGGTGGTGGTGGGATTGAGATGAAGGAGGCAGATATTCAGAAGTGGAAGGAGGAAGCGGAGATGTGGACGGATAATATTTACGTGCTAGAACAGTTTCTTGCGAAGTTGGCAGGGGGAGATAGAGAGATTATAGAGTCTGTGAAGAGGGAGTGCTATGGTCAAGAGTATGTGGAAGGGGAAGGATTAAGGGAATTACAATTTTAATGCACCGTATGTCTGCTTGCGAAGGAGTGCTGCAGGTTTTCAACGATATCGCGCGAATAATAGGGAGAATTATCAAGAGTACAATCAAGATTACTTCGATTTTCAAGTCATTATTTTCATCGAGGATATTGTTTAAACAGACCAGGAAATGAAAATATTCCGGTTCTCCAACCTCTTTGTAAGGCGTGGACCATTCACGTCTGAATGTTCAAAATTTTGAGCAGGCGAAGCGGAAAATAACCTTTCTTCTCCCTATCTATTGCACTTCTAAACCCGGACGGAAGCCAGGAGAACAGCGCATATTCCCACGTTTACCCCAATGGCCAACATGCGACACTCTGGATGCAGGTAGTAGTCAGACCTCCCTTCCCGCGTCGTGGAGATATGCATCTGATCAAAGCCAAAACTAAGAATGATGTCTCGAGCGCAGGCACTGCTGTCACAACGACTTTGATGTAGCTTTATTGAGATATTATATTATGAAATGATGTTGAGAGCGCTTGTATGGAAATCCTGTGCTATGTTGGAGAGATATACAGATTACTCCCTCCCACTCATTCACTCATCTGTCTGCCTGCCCGTCTATGTCTGATATCAAGATCTGACAATAATATCTAGCAATGATACTAGTATGGTTCTCTAGCAATATAAGTGGGTCAGGGGGAGAAGGCAGGATATTATAGACATGATATAAGACTGAGACAGGCAGCATCACTACTAATATAATGATAGATGAAGTTGATCTGAGTGCACTATACTATAGCAATCTCCTTCTTCTGTCCTTAAATCATGTGTCATGATGGTAGCCAATCATTGCTACTGTTTCCAGATTAATGCTTTTTAATTGTTTGTATATTCTTCTATGATATAGCGCCTGGCCTGCAGGCAGTAGTTAGTTAGATGCGTGATATATAGGTTGAATGGGGGTCCAAAAATGACTGCAATTTTTGAAATATGCTCAAGTTTGAACTCTCTGTTCAATTTGGTCACTGAGTATTCGCATGTCATTCTTAGGTGATTATACCATTACGGTTCACACGTGATTTTCTATGAGTCCATTCCCAGATGGGGAGCAACTGGATAACCGGGAACTAATAGTGCGGGAGGGAGAATCGAGGTGTTCTTCGTCAACAACGAAGCGTCGCTAGGAGAGGAAACTCGATGGTGGAGAAAAATAGATTCGAAAGGCCCGCTCGGACCACCCCTTCCATCAATATAATAACAATAAATTACTGGCTATGTATTGATGATTGTTTTGATTCGATTTGACCATTTACTTATGTATCCAGTTGATCATGGGCCTTAGTTGTTCATACGGAGCAATATAATAGGAGTTGAAAGAGGAGAAGAGACAATTATGAGCCCCACCTCGTCCAACCATACACCGATCTTTGCAAAGGCAGCGATATCGTGTTGTTTGTCTGAGATAGCATAGTCCTTGATGTCACCACCAATCCATCCTTTGGTCCCCCGAATGTATTTCAATGGCGTACCAATAAGTTGGCAGCCTCCAAAATCAATCAGAACGGGCATGTCGTCTCAGTTCACCAGAATGTTCGCGGGTGTAAAGTCATCGCAGGCCCATGTAGATGGTGAATAGGTGACTCGAGAGCATTCATGAATAAGCTTTCGTCAATCTTCCCAATCCCCTCGTTGAGATAAGTGCACAAGGTGTAGGCATGTCCTTCCACGATGAGCCCAGTAATGCGGCTACGCACAACCCGACAGCCATAGTAGCGGATGATGTTCGGGTGCTGGTGTCGGGACAATGCTTCCATCACTTGTACCTCTGCTAAGAACATTTTCGGAAGTTGATGCTGTTGGTTGTGGTTATTCAACGTTTCGTAAAGTCCCAGAGCTGGTCGCTTGACGTAAACCTCAACAGTGGTTGGCACCATCGTTTGCGTGAGTTCCATTCCAGAATCTGGCCACTTTGGAAAAACTTCATCAGGGACAGGTTCGAGAGAATGAGCAACTAGGTCAAACGTGATCCTGGGTTTAGGGATTTCAAGCTTGCCGTAGTAAACAGCCTCATTTGAATTAATAGCTATGAAAGAAGTGTACCAGAATTGCCCCGTTTGAGGATTGCATCCCTCTGGTACAAAATCGAGATCGGGCCAACCAGTGATTGGTAGCACCACGATGACAATGGCGTCATGGGTGACGAGATGATATGATGGCGGCCTCAGAGTAGTATTAGCATTGAATTTTCCCTTTCTGTCTTTCGTAGAGGGAGACCCCGTTCATGATTTCCGTTCAAGCTCGACTTAATTTCCACCATTAAAGACGACAATGCCTCTCCGGTTTGGTTGTCCGTCTGTTTCTTCTGGCACCACTCCAGGTACGCAGCAGAGCATTCTCAAATCATGTCGGAACATTCGTGGGCCCAGCAAGCGACCGGCAGGTTCTTTGAGGCCCGTGAATCTCCAACTCAATCAAAATGCGACGACAATGCCCACAAAATCTCTGGTGGCTCGACAGCAGTTACAGTCCCAGACATACTGACAAGCCCTCGCACACAATGACTTTTCCCAAATCAATATCCTAGTCAATGAGAAAACTTTTGAGATCACTGGTATTGCTAATTGGTCCTTAGCTAAAGTACTACCTTTCGGCAAGGAACTGGAGTCGCTTTTTTTGGCAACCGGCTACATGGAGCTCAGCGGTTGGCACAAGTACATTTGTGATGATGTACGCTGGCAGTCAGTATATACAATTGCAATGCAAGCCATGCAAATTGGCGCAGTGCTGCGCCATGCATTCCGGCGAAACACTGATGGCTCCCTTATTGTTATAGTTACATTTAATGGATGAAGAATTTGCACTTTTGTTTCGCGATCGGCAGGGATTGAGCTCGGATTCGACAGGCAGGATTGGCACTGGAGAGGGTCACACTTTCCAGTGACAGTGATCGGGGAAAGTTCTCTGGTCGTCGTTTCACCTAATGACTGGAACGACCTCGTAGTTGTCGATAGCTCCCCGCCATGTGGGCTCTACTTTCGTCACCGCCATCGAACCAGAAGTCGGACAAATTTTACCTCCTTACTGGGACGGGAGGAGAGCATGCCGTCCGGGCGAGGGTTCACGGTATGTCGTGTGTCAAACAATGATACCGCCCTGCAGGCAGAGGTACTCGACATCTAAGACCAACCAGATGATAGGGTATTTGCTTCTCATCCGCAAACGTCAAATCACAGTGAACAAAGTGGGTGACCAAAAGTTGCAAGAGATCAATGGAATTTGCTGTGGCTTTGGGTAATGGAAGCCCTCCAAAGCCCATCTCCCTGCTGATCTAGTTCATGTACTGCCGCTCTGGGATAGGACTTTGTTTGAATCTTATGGGGCAAAAAACACATACATTGATGTAGTCCCTCCTCATGTTAGACTCAATCTCCTTGTAATTCTTGATATAATAGAGTCTCTTCAGGTTCCCCCAAAAGTTGATTAGTGTGTCGTGAGCTTTAATGGAACCCTTGAAACTTTCATTGATCCAGTCAAACTAGGACTTGACATCGTCAGCAGAGATGGCCGGTAGGAGATCATCAGGCTCCGATGAGGACTCTGAACAGTATCTGCTTATCGTAAGCATGTGCTCATTCTGGATCAACAGGAGGTTGCCTCCAAGAATGAAAAATTCCTATTTCATTTGCCCCGCAATGAAGCAGCAGATACATTGGTATTAGGGGCATAATATGATAGCGTCGATCCATTTGCAAGGTGCAACTCTCGACGTTTAGCGTAGGAGAGGTAAAACTTTCGACCATGGGCTTCCCCTGTCATGCATTTTTCTTTCGTTGGAGGTCTAGGTATGCCATGGAATGAAAGGGTGCGGAGAAGAGTAGGGCTAAGGACAAGTTGATTTTTCCGGTGAGAATGGAAAGGACCTGGGAGTCCATGTTGTTATTTATAGTTTCTAACAACGGGACAAGATGATAGATCTTTCCTTCTCTATTCTTTTCGACTTTCTTAGAATCCCTCGGGCATAACTCAGTATATACAAAAGGTCGCTGCGGAGCCCAGCGAGCCCACTGGGGAGAGTAGTCCGTAGCAGTGGTCTGGCTGGGAATGTGACGCCGCCGCTGTAATTCGTTCAAGTGAAAACGGCATGGAATGATCTTCAGTTCAGGTTTAGCGGGGCCCAAGCCGCCCATCCCGATTCGGTAACCGTTTTGGGCGACTCCGGCCCCTTGAGGCACATTCTATATGTAATTGTGCAGTATACCATCCACAGTGGACGAAATCTAGACGAGGTTATGTGTTTGAGTATTCCATGGAATAACAAATTTGAGATAATATAATCTCCATCCAGGATTGTTTTTTTTAGCCCTCAAGCTCAAAAAGTAGACCGTCGAATGCTTCAAATAATGCAGTGGGCGCCTCCGGTACCTAAATTCAAGTTGGCCTGCCCTGCAATATGAGAACCGTTTTTCATTTTAAAGAGCTAACCCATTTTCGGGTGGCCATGACCTCGCCGGTTCAAAGGTCAGAAACACATGATGACGTCCTATATGCTGAAGCTCTGGTCCGTAAGGAGTAAAACTGACCCATTACAAAAAGCCGGCCTAGAAAGCAAGCGTTCAAATGATTATATTGCACCAACAACGTAGATTCAACACTAGAAAGCAAGTTATCAAGCTGATGCCAGGGGTGTATATTCGGTATGTTTTCGCCCGGGGCTAGATTCACAAGTCAAAATCAATGACAGCAAGTCGATTCTCAATAACATCGACGATCTCTTTCCAATCTCGCATAGCTCCCTGCCCAGTGTCACCACATGCCAATGTTTTTGTCTGCGGTGGAAGGACCTCAAACCACTTCCACTCATCGTTGAGGATAGCCAGTTGCTTCGCCGTCAACGGATGGGTCCACATCATAGTATTCATTGACGGCGCGACGATAATTAACCGCCTCGTAGGATTTCGAGGGTCAATCTCCCAGGCCCGAATGACGTTCGTAAGGAGATCGTCGCAGATTCCCCCCGTCACCTTGGCCAATAGATTGGCCGACATAGGAGCGACTACCAACATATGCGCCCAACGGCGCAGCTCTATATGAAGTATATTGGCGTTCCGAGTCCAAGGCTCAAGCCATTCGTCCTCATCCTGGTGGACCGAATCGACATTCGGGAGCAGGGCTAGAGAAGCCACTGTTGGCTGTTCCGCAGACTGGCCACCGAGGAAGTGAGTTGCCGATTTGGTAAGGATGACGCGGATCGAGAGGTCGGGGTAGTTCGTCAACGCGGTGATAATATGTGGTAATTTGATGGTGGCGACCGAGCCGCTTGCGGCCAGGAGAAGGTGTGTTTTGCCATCCTGAAGGGCGGCGGCGATATCTGACGCGGGTGACTGATGCATTGCTGCGCTTGCCTTGATGTTAAGCGACATTCGTCGTCTCCTTAATTCGATAGAGGTTATCAAGTGTTGGGGAAGGGGTTACAAGGTTCGGACCTCTGCCAAGAAATTCGGAAGCAGATTAAACCTTGCCAAGCCAATCTCCTGCTTTCTAAAACACACTCACTGTCAACATTATTGATACATTTGCAACCAACTCTGGAGGAATTAGATTGGAGGGTTGGTGTTTGAGAAACATAGTATTTAATGAACAACGCCCTAAGAGCACACGACTAAACGGGGAGAATGCTATGAGAGTTTGAATGACGCTGAAAGTTTTTCTGGCCGAAAATCTGAACACTGATGCTCTCAAATGACGTCATTCACCCAATATAGCTTCAGGGGGTAAATCACCGGTAATCGCCCATGGATGGATATCTGGGGTATGCGCACTTGCCACGCCCCATTTCACAGCACAGGTATGATATATGGGATACCAGCTTCTCTGGCGGCCGGGTTTAACTCTAATTGGTGCTTCATTTGGATCCGTAACGTAAACTGGACTCCCTTCCTTTAAAACCAATGGTCAACCTCAGAATCATTATTATGTAGTTGAATCTGAATTCTGAATCCGTACTTCTGTGCTTAAAGAGAGGAGGAATGAATCTAATGCAGATATCAACTACATGGTTGAAATTGTAGAAAGGGGGGAAATATTCACTTCTGGAGGCATTAGAAGTCTGTCAACGCAATCGGGCCCCCATTTCTCCCATGGTTTCATCAATATAGCTACCCTCAAAAGCCTGGAAGCTTAACCGTTTTAAAATCGATAATGACGACAGCTTCGAAAAAAGAAATATCACCAGCAACATGTTCGGTTCTAAATGAGTAGAGAGGCGGCTTCTGTTGACTCTGATGATGTCGGTGACAAGTCAATTTCAATTTGGACACATCCGCAGTATAGAGCTCAAAATCGTACCCGATTGTTGTTGAACTCAAATTGGTAACGACGGGTAGTGAGTGCTAGATACGGCGTAGCTGATGTTTTGAAGGTTTTGACAACTCCACCAACTGGTGACTTTTTTATCTTGCTCAATTGAGACGAGATGATACCATGCCATTCTTTAGGTATAGCAGTAGCTCGACCCTAGAACCAACCAACAGCAGCAACGACAACACAACAAAAAAAAAAAGAAGAAAGAGAGGTAGAGAGGAGAGAGAAAAGGTGTTTTCGTCGTCATAAGGACGCCTACTTGGTTTCATGGATGAAAATAACGTTATTGAGTTTATTTCACCCGCGACAAAATCTGGATTCCTGCAATAACAGGAGCTATCAAGCACCTTAAAAATAGCAACTCGATCATGTTAGGGTGAGAGCTGAACGCTGTTCGACCTTTCTGAGCATGGTCCAGCATCTTCCAGCGTCTCGTCAAACAGGGTTGGAGAGTTCAACAGGGGCCGAAATAACTTTTTTTTTTCTCTTAACATCATCCAGCTTTTGCCCAAAGATGATACTCGACCGCTGTAACTATCATTGCGTTTTACTCAGCCCTCTGCAGACGTCAATTTATCTATGCCTTGACAGTATATGTGCATTTACCTTCCTCGACTTCTCAAACATAAATGAGCACAAACTCGTCACTGTACCTGACTGAGCATGGCACTGGTCAGTTTCAATCAGGCCCCACCAGCGTTCAAAGTTCAGAATAAAATGTTGGCTGAAACCACGCTCAGAAATTTTGACCCGGATTCAAGTCCCCTGTCCATCCGCTCGCCCCGCTTGGCTGATAGCTGAAAAAAATGCTTGTTGTCGTCGCCAAGAATGCATGTTCCGCGAAGCTTGTGACGGCGCTTCGGTGTCCGAAGCTTAAATTGGCCACTGCACTTGATTGAGAAAGTCCAGTCGCGCTCACTTACTATGGTAATTATTATGAGTGATCAAGGGAGCGCGTTATCCCTGTTATAACATGAACCCCTTGGATAGCTCAGTTATCCGTACGGGCCTTTCGGCGAAACCCATCGGTGTAACTCGGTTATTTTGGGGGATTCTGCTTGGCATATTATCTTGGGAGTTAGCGGAGGACTCCGTAAGGAACAAATCTCCTGATAGAATGATCAAAAATAGTTCGATTTCTCTGTAGATAACGGTCAATAATATACAAAGACTTCTCTATAGCATGGCCGAAATAAGGATTCAACGTGGTCAAAAAAATGAGTAAAAATGGTCAAATTCTCTTTGTTGAGACACATAACAATGCGCAATCTATTAGGCCACTCGGGCAAAAGAGCTCAATCACCACCAGCGCCATGGTGGAATTGAGGGTACGAATCACCCAATCCAATCCCTCCAACAGAATCTGACTGGATGACTAAGTAAAATCTTATCATGATTCAGCAGTTCTGATTGGTAGAGAAATGATAACTAAAGCACATGATTAAGCTTAACACTACGTATGATTGGCTGTCCATGTAATTTGTGGTTAACGCACGGCTTGAGCCAGCATACCTAGTAACATGGGTTATAACGCCACCCAGAACCCTCCCCAAATAACCCCAAATAACCCCTAGTTAGTTCGTTAGTTAGTTCAAATCCTCGCATGGTTGCGATCCTGTGAGCCCGTAAAGTTCTCAGATGCTCTCGTGAGACAAGGGCGTTCGGCTATCTTTGGGGTTCGAACATTACTCGTGTAGCCAGTGGTAGCCCGGTGGGGGGTCATGGTTTCAAGGGTTGGGCTTCTTCCTGGCCGTCAGGCGGCAGCTAACACGAGCGAAGGAGAAATCGTTGGATAAACTGGTGATTCGGCATGCCTTCTTTTTCTCATTCTCACCCCTGGGTGAGAATGGAGACAGGCAGATGCATTTCGTTAAATAATTGGTGTCTCCAAATTCTCTTGGGATACTTACTCTTTATTCAAATAAACATGTTATATATCACACACATTTGAGGGACTAGACTCACTGGGAGAGCCCGATTGTCGATCTGATCAACAAGACTCCCAAGCTTTTCACATTGGCAAAAGCTTGACTTGAACCGCCGCCTCGGAAACCTTTGTCTGGCCAGATATCCGCTCCATCGCCGGGTTGCGCAGCTGCTGAACAATGCATGTGCGCCTGCCTCTCGGAGTCCGACGGGCTGCTGCTCCCTAGACTGTTGGCGTCTCGGTGGCTGCGGGAAGACGAAAAGGAGAGAGTACATGGTAGTGCATAACAAACGAAAGCAAATTAACATGGAGTATCCCGTTGAAAGTAGTGGGTAAACAGTACATAGGAGAGTCTAGAAGAGACCGAAGTGTAGCACAGCTGAAGCAACAATGGATAGCCCCCAGCCGTGGTAACGGTGCAGTGGAATACAGAGTAAATTGAAGAATGATTAGCTTTGGATAATCCCCTCCTCCAGACCTGGACCCAAGTGTTACGCTTTAGCCCGCAAGACTTGTTGTTGGATACCGTCCCTGAGCCACCACCAACCACCACCACCACCACCACTCTCCCCCTCCTTCGCCCACCACAATCACCACGACTGGTCCTTTTCCCTGCAACATGCAAAGCGGCCGGTCCCATGAGATGCCTTTTGTTCTTTCTGAGTGAGCCATCCTCGGGGCCTCTGCAAATGCTCTGTTTTCCCGGGACCATGACTGTTGTTACCCGACATCGCCTTCTCTCCTGTCGCTCCTCCGACGCCTGACAAGTGAACCACGATCACCGCCCGCTTTCACGTCCACTCACTTTGCTCTCACTAGCGGGAGTCTCGCCCTCCTCAACCCTCCCGCTTTCGGCGTCGTCAGAATTGACGACGGCACCCGCTCAGCCTCTCCTTGTACCGCGCAATCCGAAAGCGTGGAAGCGTGGCGCGTGCCAGCGACTGCCCCCGGAAAACCCTCATTACAACAAGACGTCGAGCCCTCCCCTCTGCATCCTCCCTTTTTCCTTCTGTGACGTCCGTCGTCGAATACTAATGCGAGCCACTGTGTGTATGGAGACGATATCCAGTTGATCTGCCATGTCGTTTGATCCCGTTCCCCGATCCTCCTCTCCTCCGTCGGCTCGAAACCGCTCCCTGGTATCCAAGTTTACCGATCGCTTCAGCAACAGAACTCGGAACGTTTCTGAATTCTATATACAGTTGGATGAACCATACAAGACATACTTTTCTGGCGAGTTAGTGAAGGGTTGCGTGGTCTTGAAAGTCGTGAAGCCGATCCGCATCACTCATCTGGTGCTTTGCCTGCATGGCTATGTGAAGGTCTACAAAACTACAGTTGCGCCGGGCGATGTGTCGGATGCGTCTGGCTTTCTTGGTCCGGGCCGTGGGAAAAGGAATGGCGAATACTTGGGCAACGGATTTGCTACGCTCTTCGAGGACGAAGTTGTCCTGTGTGGAGATGGTCGCCTAGTTGAGGGAATATACAAGTTCCAGTTTGAAATGGTATTTCCAGCTTGTCGATTGCCCAGCAGCATTACGGTATGTAAACGTACATTGACTGTTCTTTAGAAAATATTGCGCATTTCCTTTTGGAGGGTCGTTGTGAGCTCTGCGCATGGATATACTGACGCGGCCTTTAGTTTGAACGTGGCACCATATCTTATATGCTAACATCCACTCTAACACGACCTACAACTATATCTCCAACCATTTCCTGCGACAAACGAATTATGCTCCTAGAAACCATTGACGTTGCACCGTTGCCTGTTCCCAAAGCCCGCATTATCTCTCTTGAACCAATAATAAGAAGATCCAAGGCGCGGTCGAAGACGAAATCCGCGTCTCGGGAGCAGATTACGCACAGCTCGACTGTTGCTGAGCCCGTGGCCAATGGAATTGAAAATAAACCGCCGCTCAGTCCCGTACCCAGCGAACTGAGCAATTCGAGCTGCATGAGCAACAGCACGCAGAGCTTCCAAATAATCAGCGAACCCAATTCCGCTAAAAGTGTGAGCCTCGCGAACGATGACTCTCTGAGCTCGAATACTCCCTCCGCAGAAAGGACCATTACAGCCACAACGGAGCTGTCGCGGCCGGGAGGCGTTCCCGGTGACGTCCTGCCAGTGAAGATCACAATACAGCATACGAAACCTATCCGAAGCCCTAATGGCATTATTATCACCCTCTATAGACAAGGGAGGATAGATTACCACCCTGCAATTCCAGTGGGTTATACTGAAAAAGGCAAGAAGCCGGTATTCGAAGACTATTATCCAAAGTCTCGTACCGGGTTGGGTGGCCTATCCTTCGGGGCCACAAGGTCAAGTAGCGTCTTCAGGAAAGACCTGACCCAAATCTTTGCCCCTTTGATCGTGGACCCAGTCACCCTGACGGCGACCGTAAAAACGTCTATCAGGATCCCAGAGGATACTTTCCCAACTATAACGCATGTGCCTGGTGGCATGATTAGTTTCCGATACTATCTCGAAGTGGTAATGGACTTGCGTGGGAAGTTAGCGGGCCAAGACCGTTTTATTCCGCGTTTGAATATGGTGACGGGCTCAAGCAGCTATAACTATAGCCCAAATGGCCAAATACTAACTCTGTCGGAAAAAGGGCGTAACCCGATGTCTCCTTGTGGAAACAATATACTTGACACGGATACAGTACGACGAGAAAAGAGTGTGGTTGCCTGCGTTTTCGAAGTTGTGATAGGTACGAAGGATTCCGGCAAAGGCCACCACCCGCAAACATCGGAAACGAACCCCGTTGTGGACTCCCATCCCTTTACCCCTCAAGTTGTCCAACCTGATACCGTTACTGAAATTGATCACCATCACCCTTATGCACACCGATATGATGAGCACGATTATACTTATGAAAACGGTTACGACCACAACGAAGTAAGCTTGTGGCAAGGTCATCCACAAGATAACTTCTCACCATATCCTCCTCCTCAATTCATCCCTCCTGCGCTTCCCCAAGAAGCGGTTGATGAGAAAACCCGACTACGGAGAGCTGAGGAAACTCTTCTCCCCAGCAGTCCAGCGGATGACGACGGTGTGGAAAATGAACCGTCCGCGGCAACCACAGCCTTTGCTCCATCTGCCCCTACTTTTTTTGAAGTCGACAATAGTTATAGAATCCCTACCAGCCGCTTCGCATCGCAATATCCTGACTGTGTCTCTCCAGCCTCGGCCCCATCAATAGATACCATAACGCCTAGCCCTCGACCCAATGTTGATATGGGCTTTCCTTCCCCTAAGACTCCCCAGGATGATAAACAAGAGCTCGAAAGGCAACGCCTTCTCGCCCAAGCTAGTGCTCCAGAACTTGAACGAGGCCATTCAACAGCCGGAAACGTTGCATCCGGTCCCTCAATTAGCGAAGAAGATCGGCCTGCGCCGTCGGCACCGATGCTCACTGAGGAAGATTTGGCACAGCCACTGGCATCTCCAGAGCTACTACCCAGGTATCAACGATGACATTTCCGTTCCACCCTTCCATCTATCGGCCACCTCCAAACCCATTTTCCCCCCTCTCCCTCCCTCCCCAACTCTCAGCCTCCTTACCCCACTACTAGCTCGCTACGGCCTACTACCCCGAGCCGCGAAACGATTTCACATACACCTTCCTGCCCGTGATCCAACCACAAATACCTTGAGCCGAGTGGAATTATATTTTGTCCAATTTTTGTCTCTCTTGTTGTATAGCGGTTTTTGGCTGTAAGGGAAAACGTTTTATATGAGGCCATTTACTTCTTCATCTCCATTCCATTTATTCTATCCAGTTTCCTATCCATTCCCCTCCAATTATCTTGTTTACTACCTACTTATGTACGCTCAATTCTAATGATTACGTTTCTCTGTCTTAAACCCATTTTGCTTTCCTCTTAATTTCCTCTACTGTTTTCTACCTATTTTTTCTTCAAAAGGCCTTTAGTTAAGCGTTAGCTTTATCTATTATTTTATTGATATACACTTACTATAATTTTTTCTCGTTTCCTTTAAGCGTTGTTTTTTTTAAAAAAAAAAAAAAAAATTCTTTTTTTCATCTCTTTTATTTTTATTTCGTTTTGTTTCTTTTGTTGGAAACTTTCTAATGTTCTAGGGAGTGTGGATGGCGAGTCGAAAACAAAAAAGAAGGAAACCTAGGACTATGTGGCAGGGAGTAAGGTGAAAGAGTTTGGTTTTGAATCTCTCATTTTATTTTTTATTTTTTTTATGGCAGGTAGATAATTTTCCTGCTACTTAACTTACTGCTAACTACCTCTTACTTGTCCTCCTTCACTTCTATTGTTAACCTCTCCCTTTTCCATTTTTCCATTTATCCTGATTCTTGTTTTATTGTTGTTATTTCTATTGTTTTCCCGCCTCCGTTCTTTCGGAATATTAGCCAGCATCAAAGACTGAGAGAGGTGTATGCCATACGGGTCCCGTGTAACCAGGAAGCTAGCCAAAACCATTTTTTATGATCATTCTTATTTTAAGCTGACTTATTTCCCCCCAACCGTGAAATTCGAATTTTTCTAGGAAATCCGCTCAAAGGAATCAGTTCAATGATTCTAATTTTATAATCTCCTCCATCCCCCTTTCAGTAGACCATTATGGGGACTCTTTTCGGGAGACTTATGTAGAAGAATGACGGGTTTTCTGCAACCTTCATTGGAAATCCGTGGAGTGTTCATCGATTCAATGATAACTACATATTACGGAATATACGCTGTAGTTTGGCTCAGTTCACTTGAATGAGTGAGTATGTGTGGAAAATTAAGTCCCTGCACATGCTAGAAATTTATAGCTGACTAGTTAACTATGGTAAGCTTGTAACCAGTTGGCAAGCCCAAAACTGTTGGTATGGGTTTAGGGGGTTACGGTCTAAAGTTTGGCTGTTCCAGCTAGGCAACAAGGCCCCATAACACCCACCATGAGGAGTGTATCTTTCAACGTCTGGAGTTGTGACAGCAGATACATTGTATTTGGTTCGTGGAGTATCCCATTGACTGATGAATGAGACATCATTGTCGATATCTTCAGGAGCATCAAATAAATATACTATGTTCCCGCCAGGTCCTAACCTCATTCCATCTTCAGAGTGAAACCAGGAGTCAAAGAGCTCTGGGAAGCATAGTGAAGTTCGAAAGAGAGATCGTCGGAAGGGAGCACCGGGAGGCAAAAATGTTGTAATATCCGCATTTTATTTTCCATGAATAATTCTTTTCTCTCATGTGGTACACTGAACAAAAACATTCTTGGAAGTATTGGTTTTTCCGAAACATTCAGCTTTCCACTCTTTGAATCCTGGTCTGCGATAACCTGCTTCATTCAAAAGATTGGGGGTCATAACTGAATTTGAATGTAGAGGCATCTTGCTGTAGGACAGATGTTCTATCACACAAACTTCAATTTTGTCGTTGCTTGTTGGGGGCTCGAATCTCTTTAGCCTGATTTAGACTAGTGGAAATCAAACAATAACCTTATTTTCTTGGGATGCTTGTTCAATTCTGCCACAGATTATATCTCAATAACATACAATAGGTGGGTCAAAGTAAAAATCAGACAAAATATGCATCATACTACAACTTGTGAGCATTTCCCCTCTGAAATGCAATAGTGGAACTTGGCCAAAACAAACTGATACTAGTATGCACTCTGGAACTGGATTCCGTGCGGGTTGCCAGTATTTCGTCCAATTTTTGTCATTTACTAGTATATTCCGGAAGGGATTTGGAACTTTAATGAAAATATATGCATGGTGTCCACAGCTTAGTTGAAAACTCTGGATATTGAAACAAAGCAAAAAGGAGGGGATATAACTCGTTTGGATCAAAAGTGAACTCGAGATGAAGTTTGCTTCCTTCTCCACGATTGGCAACCTTCACAATAACTTATCAAATTATCTAAATCAAGGTGAAAAGCAACTGCTATCGGGTCAAACAATGAACTAGATAAGCAGGAAGATCGAAGGGCAAAAGTGAGCGTTGAGCCGATACGCTTCATAACAATGTAAACAAAGTGATCACCGATTTTATTCTTTTTGCATTTTTTTTTTTTTTTTTTTTTTTAGTTTTCTCAAAAAAGAGTAGATATAAGATCGTTAAGTGGTCCTTAGGAGTGAACTCGAAATAGGTGATCTGCTGTTGCATCTTCAATGTGCATCTGCTGTATGGTATGGAGAGGTTTCTCACGCCCTGAACCCTAGATTCATAAATGTGATTAGGTAAAAGATGGCCTCAAGCACAGTGGGTTCATGTGAGCATTTGCCAACTTAAAGGTCCTTGCCCGAAGTTGTCGCTTCATTCTTTAACATTGATACGCAGATCAGATAGGTCGATAAGTATTATTCAGATGAAAATCCAGACAGGGTTGACATGTGGGCAGTCCAAGCGAGCCAATTTTGATGCAATAAATGCTGTGAAAATATCGAGGGACCAAGTTGTCGATGAATTCGGCTGTTTTCCAGGTGGCGTCCGGTGGAGCTTTCTGAATATGGACCACCTTAATTTGGGTATGCATATGCATGCAGAATAGTGACCTGAGGAAAAAACCGTGAACAGACTGAAGGTTCCTTGCGTTTTGCGAGACGTATCAGAGCAGGGAAATCGCAGGGTATGTTGGAACAATGACATCTGAGCCAATTCAGGCATAATGGTCGATTCGAAATTGCCAAACGAGTAGTATATCAGTGGGCGAGCTGATAATGAAAGGGCTGGCTAGGGTCCAAATTTGAAATATAGGAAAATATGGGTGTGGAGAATTGGAGCTTACTTCTTCAGCTCCTCGCCGTCAACCACAATCTCAATGACACAAGGGGGGGAGAGATGTGATCGATCCATGAATCCACGATGTGAGATAGTTACCTGGTTGCGGACAGTCCTCGCTTGCTCGTCTCATCGTCATTCTTGCAGAGGATCGGCAGGAGCAGCCCCACAAGTTGTATTCCGTAAAATATCAAAGTGAACCTCAATATCAGCGGGACGGACCGACGGGATTTCCAACTCTCTGGCGGGGAAAGAATTGTGCGGAAAATTCTCCCCGTTCATGGCGTCCTAAGTCTCATATCTCCTGCTCAATCACAGCTGAATCCTGCAGGTTTCTCATTCTGGACCTGGATACATTGGATTGTCAAGCAGGTTCTAGGTCCAAAGCAGTTAGACGGTGAAGCTCATCTACTCAATCTAGTTAGAATTGATGATCATGGCTCTTTTCACCAAGCGGGCTAAATTTTAGACGATGACCCGAGGTTCAGACCGAAATTTGGGCCTAGCTTAGGGGAGATGCAGCGCGAGCTCCACTTCCAGACGACATTCAAATCGCCCAACAAACCAATTTTGGTTTTCAACTTCGCCGGAGAAACCGCGTGCAAAAGCATGGGTACGAAGCATTTGGCCGAACACAATTGGTGACTTGGGTCTGTCTAGCCAGCCACAGAATCCACGGAGCTTTTCGACTGGAGCAAGGGATGCATCCCATGCTCCCTCAATTTGCTTGAAGAAATGGAGCTAGTAACTCTACTCAAAATAGCACATTGAATATCACTTGTGTTGCGTTGGCTCTGAATGATGTGATGGGACTATATTCAGGCATCCTTCCAAGCCACCAAAGCGAGCTTCAGAATGCCGCCATCATCGTTCTCCTTGAAGCGGGGATCTCTCATCAAAGATGAGTATTGATTGCGCATCCCGGCACGACCCCGCAACTCTCTTTGGACGTCTAGTCGTTCATCATAATTGGCTGCTTCCATTCTGTGTCCAAAATTGAGAAAAACATGATGGCCAGGCCATGGGACGAGATACAAAAGAGTGATTCTTTTTTTTTCGGGTCCCATATCTATCATGCTCTCATTTACCATCGGAAAGCTATATATTCTCCAGTTTCCTAAGTTCTAAATGCCCTGTTAAAATCTCCTCTATGCTTCGCCAAATATTCGGAGGTCCCTCCAAAAGCCCATCAGTTCAAAACCATTCGTCACACACATCCAGAGAGAAAAACGCTCCGTCAACCAAGATGGCCGGAACCAATTATAAACCACCCGAATACCTCAGCAAACGTCCCTATGAGTACTACGCAATTACCGGCATCAAAGCAGGGACGGTGCCTGACCAGAAGAAAGCTCCAATCCGTCAAGAAATTGACGAATGGAGCAACAACAAGGCAAATGCCGATCAGGTAGACTTGTTTGTGATGGCATGGCGTAATTTGATGAATACGTCTCCGAGAGAGAGAGGCTCCTTTTTCCAAGTTGCTGGTAAGTGTTTAATATCAACACTATAAGTGAACGATGTAATGTAATTATTAACCATTTTCTCAGGGATCCACGGCCAACCATACGTTCCATACGATGAGCCAGACACCGACTTGGCAGATATCAAAGACAAGGGGTATTGCACTCATAACAATATCCTTTTCCCAATATGGCATCGTCCGTATCTTGCACTGTTGGAGGTATGTCTTTGCCTGAAACTCCTTGCTTAAAGGTTTCCAACCGTGAGATTTAACCTGACAAGCACAGCAACTCCTTTACGAAAACATGATCTCGGATATCATCCCTAAGTTCCCAAAGGATAAGCAAGCCGGACTCAAGGAAGCTGCGGATTCCTGGAGACTTCCATTCTGGGATTGGGCCATCAACCATAGAGTTCCCACACTCGCCAAATACCCGACAACTACTATCCCAACCCCCAATGGAAAACGAGAGAGAGTGGAAAACCCTCTCTACCAATTTAAAATGTCAACAAACGAGCCATTTCTATCCGAAGGAGTCGGTCAAGTCTTCGACCCTTGGGCAGGGGAAGGTGGGAAGGGGATGTATTTTAATGCATGTAATCTGCATGTTCTCTGTTGCTGAGGATTATAGGCTAATAGTGCGTACAGTTCGGACCTTGTATCGGAACCAGTAGAAGCCCTGATATTGAAGATAGCCAAAATCCTGAATCCGAAACTTGGAAAAACGGTGTGGTAAACAACAACCAGGTCGGGATTGCGCTCAAAAGCCCAGGTTGGATGGGAGATGGAAAATACGGAGCCGCTTCCGAAATGGTGTACCGTTTGCTCACACACCCCTTGGATTACCCTTCCTTCGCTACCACTTTCCGTGCTAAAGGACAAGATGACATCAGCAAAGATATCAATCTCGAATATATCCATAACAACGTCCATGGCTGGGTGGGAGGTAATTATACTGGGCATATGTCAGAAATTCCCGTGGCAACATTTGACCCTCTTTTCTGGCTTCACCATTGGTAAGATTTTTTTTTTTTTTTTTTTGGTTTCCCAGTTCGATAGCGTGCCAATTAGTAACTAACAGCATCTGAAGCAACATTGATCGGATGTGGGCTATCTGGCAGGCTTTGAATCCAGACAAATGGTTCGAAACTGCAGACAAGAACACTTTCTTTCAAGAGGCCATTGGACTTGCAGATACCATCACGCCGCAGACGAAACTTCGTCCCTTCCATACGGACACAAAGGGCACTTGCTGGACCCCTGAGGGCGCTAGAGACGTTTTGAACTTTGGCTATACGTATCCCGAATTACAAACATGGGACGCGAAATACAATGCCGGAGGGGCGTATAACAGGGACCTACATGTGACTGATATCAGGAAAATAATCAACGAAAAGTATGGAGCTTCACGAACTGAATTGCTGAAGAACCCTGCCCTCGGCGACAAGACAGATGATGGAGTTAAATCAAACGACTTTGCATTTAGCGTCCGATACAAGAAGTAAGTACACACTACCTTAGCCTATCCCTTGGTTGATCTTAAGCTAATGGTATACAGGTATGCATTGGGTGGAAATCCCTTCACTATCAAAATCTATCTAGCTCCAGGCGATGGGAAGCCCAGAACCCCAGAAAGTGACTATGTTACTGAGGTTTACAATTTCAGCTTCCCGTCGATTGTCGATGGGAAGGAAGTCTGCAGTAACTGTACTTCCGTAGAAGCAACTGATTCGAAGGCCACCTCCTACCTCTCGATTACATATGTTCTTGTGCAATGTGTTAAGAGGGGGATCCTGGCATCTTTGGACGAAGCTACTGTTACCAAATTTCTCCAGAAAAATTTGTACTGGAGACTTTACCAGGTATGTCCCTTCAATCCCCACACTTTCGAAGCAAACACTAACCAGCGAACAGCGTGGAAGGGAACTGGGCAGGTTCGAGATGGAAAAAATTGAGCTTGAAGTTCTTGGCTCCTTCAATACCGCCCAGCACCACAAAGATGCAACCATACTGTCCGGATTTAAAGGCTTCCGCGATATTCCATCACTTGCAGGTGGCCCTGATGGGGCTCTCGATCCAAAGCTGAAGAAGAAACCAGCGCCGCCACCAACCAACCCGTAAGCTTCCCACTCGAAGCTGATTCTCATGAACGCTTTTCACTAACTCTCTTTTTAGTCCTGCTCCTCCATCAGCAGGGCTCCATCTGAATAGCTCGCTCGACCTTAAATCCGACCTCACGGCTGACGGTGTGATAATTCTCGACTCTACCTCAGTGGACTTGAACCAGATTCAGACAGACACCATCGACAACACCCAGGTGACCTTCAAGAATGGAAACGATACCTTGTTCTTGATCTCCTTCCGTCGTGCAGAGGGCCAGATCGTATTTAACACCAACTTGGGAGGCAAATGGGGTCCAGAGGAGAGAGTCAGCCTCGATGGCAAATTGAAACACCCTCAGGCCGCAATCATGGTGCATGATCAAGGTGAAGGATTCGAGGTCAGCATTGATTTCGTTCACGTGGCTTGGTTCAAAAAGAGAGATCCCAGGCCTATCAAGACCTTGCGGTACGGGACGAATAAGAATCAGAAGCCGGTGCTGGCTGATGTCTTGAAGGTGTCAGTGTATCCCTCGATGCAGAAGGTTTTCACTCGTTAAGCCTGAATGTTTGAGGCTGCCTGCACTGATGAGTAAAGTCACTTCCTTTTCTTCAAAGTCAATTGTACAGAGTGTATGTGCTTGTATCCTATGCTCAACTCTTTGAAGCGTAATAACCAACAACATCCCTATGTTTTCAGCAATAATAACTCTCAATTAGAGTTTGGTTTTTAACTTTAAATTTAAGCTTGTTTTCCAAGTTTCATGCACAGACCGTACTCTGATCCATACGGTGCGATATCTTCTCTTCGGCAAAACAGCTTGATTTTGATTTGCGGGTAATGGTGTCATGAATTATCCTCGCAGAATGTTAGTTAACTAGATGCGCATTTTGTCATCAAAATGCGAAATGCAAACAGGTAGTGGTAGGCAGAGTAGCAATATTACGGTTCTGCACCAGGACTGAATGGCCAACTTGTTTATGTTCCTTGGCTACCTGATGGATTTCTGTCTTCATTGCGCCAATTTGCTGAATAGGTCCGTGTCTTAATGTTTGCCCTGAAGGGGCGTAAACGTCTCAATTTTCCCTTTGAAAACATTCTATTTCTTAATTTTTCTTCACGCCTGGACTCCTCCTTAGAGCGAACGCCGCATCGCGCGAAGAGCTTGTTCCTGTCAAAGGGTTTGGATTGCATGTGGTCGTATACCCTGCTGGAGCTCTTTTGAGTCGCCGCGCCAAGACCTAAGGGTTTACTTAATATAATAGTAATCAATCCTTAAACTAGTTAGTCAACTAGTCAACTAACTAACCCAATTGAAGATGATCTGAGGTCGCAACGCTAGAGATTTGTCGGAAATAACGTCTACGAATATCAACGTCTTCAAGAGACTTCAGATTGATGAGCGACTATACTGACCACGTATCCTGGATGCTGCCTCAATATTTCCATGGGCAACATTCTGCTTGGCGACTAATTGCAGCCTACATATCATCTAATCATCCCGAGCATACGAAGGGTGACGATTCCGCAACGGCATTAGTCGCAAACTAACCAACCAACGTACATCGGTAAGCTGCCTTGTTCTTGCACCGTGAATAGCCTCGTCTCAAATTATGCTTCAAGGAAAATACTACATGGTGCATTCACTCAAGAACAGAATCCTAACTTTCGTCTTTGTTAGAACTTTGATTTAACGTCCGTACATGCGTCCTCTACCAGGGAATAATATTCAGTGCAGCCTAGAAATCCAATTGAGTCAGCTTTGACCTCCACGCGCACCGATTTGAGATAACACATGTATCTATTGCCCTGACCTAATACAAACATGACTTCGAATGCTGGGTCCTTCGTGACCTTCCTTATTGTTTGCCGTAAGTCCCGGGAAACCCACTCATCTCAGTTTGGATCAGCGCACATTGTGAGCGTGGCTCGCAAGCTGCAATCGGCATCACAAATCAGGTGCAGCCGAGTTGCACCTGAATGATTATAAGAATTAACATCAAACAAATGAATCATCTCACGATCACTGATTAATTTTATCATCGTTATTATTATTATTACAAAACAGCCACCTCCTTCTTCCTCGGGATAATATTCTCCATGTTTCCCTATGACTACCCGATCTTATGGTCGACCAAACCCACGCCCAGCGATTACTACGCATTCCTAGAAAGCCACCTGAAATTCATGCACGCCTCCCCGCCTCTCATCCCGCGCATCCTGCACATCGTCATGTTCCTCGGCCTAGCCGCTCTCATCAGGAAACTCTACAAACCCTCTGAATCCAACATGCTCTTCGACGGCGCGAGCCTCGTCCTCTACATGTGCGGCGTCATCGTTTATATCGCCAATGTCGTCAAGGGCCTGCGTATTGTCTCGTCGGGTAACTATGGTGTCCCGGACCCGGAGGATGAGTCGGATCAGGTACTCGGTCGTGAAGATAGCTTGAAGGTCATGGCGGCGAGTAACACCATTCTGGCGCTGGTTTTGATAGGTGTTTTGGTCTTACAAGCTGGGCAATGGTATGCGGAGCGCAAGGAGCAGCAGGAAGCGGACGCCCTGAGCAAGGAGAACGAGGCGAAGAAGGACGCTCCCAAGGTCGCGAGGCAAAATAGCAGTGCGTCGTCAAAGAAGAAGCAGTGATTTTGCTCGTTATTTATTCAACGGAGGCGAAGTGGTGGTTAGTTGCTGGTTAACTGCGAGTAGCTCTGTTTTCCTCTCCTTTTTCTTTTCTTTTTTTTTTTTTTTATCTCTCAATTATGTTCAATTGACTTTTTTTTCCTTTTTTCTTTCAGGAAATCATTGAAATTTCTGTGAACGGTTATTACGTTATTATTTTGGATTCCCTTATGGATATTCTTTACCAGAGCGATTTTTTTTTTTTTACATATGGATTAAGATAAGCCAAAAAGCTGAACTTGGGGCTCTTTTGCAAACCTTCCATATTTTCCCTACTGCTGCCCTACTGCCATACTCATCGATTCGGGCCATAGCAATTATCTAATGTTTAGGAAAAGGAACGGATTTCCTTCAAGTAACGAATATGTATGCGTGATCCAATTGAAATACCCGTGGACTCGACATTGGGCCATTCCTCAACCCAGCAATCGAAGAATTAGAATATAAAATGAATTGATAGAGTGTTGATGGACATATATTGTAGATGGGTTAATGATTTATACCCGATATATTCCAAAAGAAAGAAAAAAAACTTGAAAGCGCATCGCGGCGATTGGTTGAATAGCTAAAAACAAAAATAACTCAATGAATAGCCCTCCCAGTAATTTCAACAGGCACATGCCGAAGGCGAAAACAAGAGATATATCGATAGCGTTGAAAGCTGATAGCTGAGGTAATAATGATGATGATAAATTAAATAAGAGGTGAACGTGCCATTCGGGAAAAGGGTAAGTCTTAAGACGTAAGGGTTTCATCTATGTAGTCAGGAAAAAGGTTAGGCGAACGGCTGCAAGCAGTAAAGGAGGGCTTGTACATGTGTGTGGATGTATGGTTGCCAATTTTCCCCAGCTTTTCGGATCTTGAAAAAAATTGTTAATCGCTTTTACTTGCTATTCCATTTAGGATAGAAGTACTGTGGGAAGTACGTAGGAGTACTGAGACATCCCATTTTGTTTTATTTTGTTTTGTTATGTTTTGCTTTGTTGTAAAATCGAACAAACACTTAATTTTCATAATTCGTTTAGTTTATTCCTCGCGTAGGGAATGGTTTCTTCAGGGGAGAATGAAAATGGGCTTCGTGGGATATCTGGAGAACGTGGACTGAGAGCTTTCGCGAATAATCCGTCATCCGTGTTCTGATCAATTTTTGGGGATGTTAGTCTGGTAAATCCCCCTTCTGATATATGTTGTTCCTGCTGCGCTTTTATAGAAGCAGGGGGGAGGTGGGCTATGGCGTTTCGAATGGGATATTTCGTGGGATCCGAGATGGGTGTATGACGAAATGAGTTGAACGACGATATCGCCACATCCGGTCCTTCTGGAGACAGAGGATGGGACGCTGAATATTCAGCTTGGTTTGCTAAATAAAAATTGGAAGGAGTCAGCATGTCAAGGAGATCTCGACGCCGAAGCATCCAGAGAAGACGACTGGCGTTACCTGGTGGAGGTTTCCGGGTAAGATCCTTCTCACTCGTTCCCAATTTTAAGCCCTTCAACTTTTCAGTGAGCTTTCTCCCACCGCCAGGAGATAGAGGGGTAGTAGGACTAAGAGGTACAGAATTCAGGGACGACACATTTGTTGTTTGGAGGGGCGGTAGACGTGACCCAACGCCAAAGTTTGTTTCTATCCACTCTTTTTCTTGAAGGGCCATCTCCAGAGCCACGCCCTCGAGGTTATACTTTGATTCCTCTTTGATCTCCTTCTCTAGAGCCTGCAGCCTCTTCTTAGCCCATATTGTGTGAAGCACTCCTTTCTTACCCGCAGCTCTCGCCGTAGCTCCTAGCTCAGGTGGGAAAATGGCAGGTAGCGGGTTCACCTGGACGGAATCGGGTTTTTTCACCGTTGCAGCAGAGCTTGGCGGCGGCTCGTAGGCCAAAGTGACGACAGGAGGTATGGTGGTGCCGGGAGAAAGTAAGAAATAGCATCGCCGGATATGATCCGACGTTTGTTCATCTGCAGGTAGGACCGTTTGCTTGCCATCCCAGGACACATGCCAGGTTCCTGTAGACCTTGTGAGGTCATCATCCTCCCATTCCACCATCAAAATCTTGGTTCCCTCATTACCCTTGCCGGCCTCAAATTCGAACCGTGCCAGCGCAGTTATGGAGAGCAATCGAGATGGCACGCGGGGAGTCTCCAACGCGGCAGAATCGCTGGGCGGAGCAAATGGCTGAGCCATGATTTTACCCCTCCAACCAAGCAGGCAAAAAAAAAGAAAAGGGAGGGACAGGAAGGGCAAAGAAAGGGGACAAGAATCAAGCGAGTAACTAAGCAGAAAACAGAACGCGCGAAACCTCCACGTCCTTTGGACAAAAATGCTAATTGCTCCTCACAGCCCGCTGGTCTGCCGAAGCGGAAGAAAAGGAAAATCACGGGACAGAGCCTTCCTTCACAGCCTCAAACAAATACCTGGCGACAGCGAGGATTTCCACGACGGACAACAGTGACAAGCCCACGCTAATCCTGCTCATTGATGTTTCCCCTCCCTCGCGGCCGCTAGTCGTTAGTGGCTCCATTGCTATTGTTGTCTGAAACAACTTCCATTCAGCGCTTCTGGAAGCCTGCATGCTTCGGACTGTGTTTCAGCCAATGCGATTGGAACTCCAGAAACTGGATACCGTGGCATCGTCACCGAAAATTAGACCGACACCCCACACTGCGCGAGCAGCCGCGGGTTTCCAAGATTCCAGCAAACTTACTGTCTTGAACTTACCATCCTCATCTCCATACTGTTGTGCTGAACATCATGAGGTTCTCTTTGGATATATTTGCCGCTGAGCTTGGGAAAATGATTCAATCGAGGAACACCCTGTGCTAATAATACCCGTCGGATTTCGGTGACCGTCTCGTCGTTCCAACAGGTCCGATGTATGACATCGTTGGAATGGCAACTTGTGAGCTGACAAACCCGGAAATTTTGCTTAGATTTATTTCTTCTGTCCGATGTTGGGATACCTCTGCGAAACAAACGCCGCAGCCAGCTAATAATATAGCCCTTACGGTATAGAAATGGCGATAAAACGCTGATAACATTGAGAGTTTGGGAACTCGAAAATATGAAGATCCTGCGATGCCCTCCCGATATAACCAATTTCTATTCGCCCAGGTTGATGTCGTTTAGCAGGAAAACCATCGATATGGTGACAGGACTCTGAAATGTGTTTGTTACCTTCAGAATCAACATCATCTTACGCTTTGATAATTTATGCTTACCCAGCAACTTACACTAACTATGGGATGTTATGAAGGCTACATTTAAATTACGGACGTCTTTTCAACAAGTTGTTTTAAAAAGGGTTAGCTCAGGTGCTCGGTTAAATTGCAATGTCTATGCATACGCAGTACATGGCAGGGAGAGCTGCCCTGTTTCTTCCTAGTGTTTGCAAGGACTTACATATTCCGCACGTCAGCACATACAATTATTAAATGATGATAAGATCAATATCGGCTGCTCTACTTTAGATTCAGTGATGTTGTATGTATGCTAGCCAGTGGTTATGGGGATTGGGGATTGGGGATTGGGGACGGGTTCGACCAGGACCGTGATCCAGAATAGCCAACACTTGTGAATATGAAGCCCCTGTGTGGGCTGGTTTTAATTTTTGCAATACTGTTCCCCCTAGCTGCTTCTTATTTCTGGCCCACTCTGCGTCCGTTGGGAGGAAAGACGTAAAGGAGGGAATATGTCAAAAAACAGAAGAGTGTATGCCTATACAATCCCCCAATCGCTCACTATCTTCTTTCGCCCCTCCCTCCCCACCAAACACAGAGGAAAAAAGAGAAAAAATATCACGAGGCGAGTGATAAATGTCATTATCCAAGTAACCCACAGTTGAGAACAAAAGCATCTTCCCCCATCATTGTTCAAGGCCGAATCGTTTGACATGTAATGAACCCTCTTCAATCACAGTTTATATAGCTACCAGCAATAACCAATAATAATAACGCATGGTAGAGGGGCAGTGTTGGAGCAACTGTTACACATGCAACGAAAGCCCAAAAAAGACAGTAGCTGCTCTGTGGAATAATAACCTTTCTTCTCTGAAGGGCGGGGAAAAAAAGGAAAAAAAAAAAACAAGGAACTTGAATTGAAAAAATCCGCAGATCAAAATGGGCTGTCGATTTTTGATTTTTCTAATGGATGCTATTTTAAGCGCCGACCAAAATGCATTGCTTGCTCCTGTACTACCCCCCCTCCCCCTCACCTCACCTCACTTGACCGACCAAGTGAGAAACACCAACGACACAGCGAATCCGGTTCCGTGCCCACAAGCCAACGAAATGCAGATCTCACGCTACGGAGAGATGAACCGGTTCGCCCATTCGTCATGGCCTCGACGTGTGCATGAAAGATACTTTTCCAACATCCGCAGTACGTTGTGCGTAACGCAGAAATTAGGGCTAAAACCCAGCGTCTGGCGAATAAGAATGGATTACAAACTCTAGCAGGTGGAGATTGCCTTTTTTTTTTTTTTTTGTTTGCGGGTGGCCATACTAGCGAATCAATCATTGGGGGAAATCGATAGCATGATATGGACCATTCTCACCGTTGGTTGTGGACGCTTGCGCCTGTGTGGCTGACAGGTGTTTTGTGGGTGACACAGATATAGGCTTCCTATTTTTGTATGAGGAATAGTTGTTTATCGGTTTGAATGTTTTCATGCCTGCCTTTGCTGCGGTTTCGTGTTACCGGGTTCTATAAAGCAAATATGGTTTGATCATTATCATTATAAAGTAGAGAAGCAGATACATTCTCCAGTAGATACATTATTGCAGGCCAGCAGTGGTGCCTTCCACGCCAGAAAACAGGAGTTGTATTTATATACGGTGTAAATTGATAAAAGCAAAGGAAAACAAGAAAACAAGAAAACCTAGGTATATGTACGTAAATATGCAAAGCTATATCCCCCCGGCTAATGAGGTCATGGCATGACGGTAGCAGGCAAAAATTCAATACAAAAGGAAACTAGAGTGGTGCAGGACAGACGAACAAAAGTAGCGTCGTGGAGAGAGATCAAAATATCACATAGATACAAGCACGTCCCTCTGCTGTGGCTGCATCTTAGAATATGGTAATAATGGTAGAAATCCAACAACCTGGGGCCCAACCCAACACCTCATCGTAAAGAAATCATATCATATCCCACACCAAAACCAGAACACCGGGCCATATATGTATATAGATATATATATTTATATATATATATAATCCAAAACTCCCGGCGTTAGTGCAGAAAACAGCAAAGAAAAGTAAAGGTAAAGAAGGATGGTTATGCAAGTCCAGGATAAATCCTGCCTGGAATATAGAGAGCACTGGTGGAGGAGGGAAAGCTCGTCATATTGGGACGAAAACATCCGGAGTGAGGGGGATGGGGATGCGCATGGCTGTCGGGTAGTTTCTGATCGGATCAATGTCGGTGTGTGATAGGCGTGAGACACTCCTTTGTGCCTCTGGTGTAGTGTGATTAATACACTGAGGACGCGCGACAATAGCGTTATTGCATAGCAAAAATATGCCGACTTCAAGGAGAACCGGTCGGGGGTATGATGGCGAGGTAGAATGATAGGTTGGGAGGGGATATGTGGGTGGTTTGGTGTTCGAGTAATGTTTATAGAGGGATGTTAAGTGCTGTCGAGCAAGAATATGGTATGAGTATACAATAATTCTGTTTCGCTCCGAGTCATTTATTCACTTGTTTTCCTTCGCTTGCCTTTTGGCGCTGGATCCAGTGGGGTGCGTTTGTAGGTTACTGTGCGGGTGATAACATGTCGAACGCAAACAGATCGTCCAGATGCGCTTCGCGGAGGATCGAAGTAGCGAGCGCCTGGCGAGCCGCACCAGTCTGACGGAGAAAACTGCGACCGTGCTGATGTGCACGATGCACTCTTGGGAGATGTTGCACTCATGGGTGAGCGTATGCTGGGGGATGGTGGTATCCTAAGCGCGCGCAACGATTTGGGAGTCCTGGCGGATCTTGGGTGTGCAAAAGGGGATGGTGGGGGAATTGAAGCAGCGGGTGATTTGTGCGGCTTATGGCTATCGCAGGAACAGAAGAATGTGCTGCTAGCAGTTGAAGGCTGAGTGGTTGGGGAGGTATGTCCCGAGCTCCTCTCGGATAGGACGGACGAACCAGTTCTCATCGGGCTGGTCAAGACAGGAGTGACTGACTTGAGGAAGTCTGCATATGCCACAGGGGGTGTGATGGGTGTTTTCTGCAGAGAATCCTCCTGCTTGATACCTTCCAACTTCCCCATAAGTAGCACGGGACTCTGGTGAAGTTCAGAGGGGAAAGTTGGAGACTTTGAAGTAGAGATGGGAGGCAGTGTGGGCTTCGAAGAAGGAGGCATGGTGACGGCAATGATTGTAACTGACTATCCGCAATGAAGAGAGTAGACGGCCGATACAACAAGTGAATGTCTCGGGCACGAAGAGAGTACAAATCAAGGGCCACACCAGAGGGTTGGGAGGTCAAGAAGCCTTGGGGAGCGAGACCGCAGAAGGGAAGAGGTAAAGCAGGTGGGCGGCAGCGAGCTTTAATAACAGACTGCTGGAGGGAGGCCGAGTGTAGCAAACACACATAAACTCGCTGCATGCGACGGCTTTAGGAATGGAAGAGAAAAATGACTTTCCAACCAAAGCCGAACAGGGTACTCCGCCCTTGCGTGCCGCTCTCCTCCCTTTGGACGATGGAGGGGGGACGGGCGTGAAGGTGATAAGACGCTTGCTTGATGCAACTGGGGGTCGGCGCGTAAATCTGGCCAGTGCGAGGCCGAGCAGCAACTCGGCGGTTTCAGTAGCACGCTTCAGGGGCCAAGTTTAGCAACCGCTAACATGCAAAGAGCCTAGTCACGGCGGTGGTGCAAACCCTAGCTTCGCCCAGGGTCGACGGCGGCGGACTGGCGATGCGGCGCAGCGATTGGATGTAGACGCCTGCAAATCGACCACGGAGCCAGTGATCACACTTGCGGTCGTGCAGTTGGGGCGACTACGGTGATGGCACTGATGGGTGACGGCTGCTGCCCCCAAGCTGCAGCAGGTTCTGCTGGAATCGGGTTGGCCTGATAGGAGAGTTAGGCACTACGCAGAAAATCACCAATTATCAGCGCCCAAAAGGGTTCACAGACGGGGCTAGGATCGGAGTCGCATCCATGCTCGTGGAGACGTACCAATTGCAAAGAACAATAGGAGGAGGCTAAACAACAGACAGACAGCACGGGAAGAAACTCTGTCGATTGTGGGGCCGCCCTGAGATGTCTAGAATTGCCTTCACAACAATGGGACAAGTCACAGAGGTTCGGTGCGCTGGAACGAGGGTGATGCACAGAAGCTTGACACAAACTTGTTCGGCTCAAATTTTGGATAGTTAAGTGGGCTCGGGATAGGAATAAGGAATTCGGTCGCCAGATGCAATGATCAAGCATTTGAACTCCCATAGTTCTCTGGACGGCAGAGCTTTTATAACTTGCTCAGGCTCGATTCCACAGCCCTTCATCCACCATTATAGACGCCTGCCATATGTCTGTCTTGATGTTTTCCCCACCGCAGAGCTTGGGCATATACTGGCCCTTTTTTGATAAAAACGGGATAAATATCTGCTCGACAGGCTCGTAATGGCCAATTGACGAGTCGGCCGGATCCTCTCGTGCCACGGGTATGTCGAGGATAAGCAACAGCGACTCCAAGCCTCGCTCTCTGGTTCGTGCTTGGAGACTCACCCAGCGCGTGCTTGGGACGGGTTGTTCCATCTCGGCGGTTGGACCAGCACCAAGTAAGTGGTTGACAACACGCCAACGCCGTCTGTCTCTGCCTGTACTCGGGAATCTCAACGCTGCGTCGCTTTTGTCTCCCCCCATAAACGACATATGGGCATGATGCCCTTCCTCCTAGCTCAAGTTTGTCGCGCTCTTCCCCATAGCTAGTGATTCGGGAACTTTTATCAGCCAGTAATGTTGCCCGCACTTGGAGATCTCAGACTGGCATTGGCCTTCAACAACATCCCACGGCGCCAGCAGCCGGTATGTGTATTCTACCCCGGCTCTCTGAAAATCCTACGATGATCTCCTCACTGGCCGACTCCTCTTTCGCGCTTCAGCTATGCACATTGAGCTGTATGACATGAAAAAAAAATATCCGCCCAGCCACCTTCAATGCATGAATAGCTCATCTCCCCCCATCCGCTGGGATTTGATATCTCCCATCTAGGACGGCGAGAAGGTTATTACTATTCTTGGGGTTTTGTCTATGCTCGAATGAAAGAATCCCATCCAGCTTCACCGCCATGCAATGGTCAATGCGAAGCTTCCTCCTGTTCGAAGGCCGAACACCTTGGCTGGCCATAGCTCCATGATCCCCGTACAGCCACAGCGGACTAGCCGGTTAGTTTCAGGCTCAAGAGTTGTTTCTAATTTTGGGCCCTGAAGCATGAAACTAGCCCATTCTTCCCATGGACCAGTGACAATTCGAAACATTGCCATCCCTTGCAGAATAATTCTGCAAGTTGCTCCCCCCCTCGTTTCAAGTGCTCGAAATAGAAACCTGAAACCGTTCTCAAATCCGTTTCGCCTGTTTCCTCTGTGCCGAAACACTCCTGAATCCACCAATATGATGTTTAGAGGAACTATTTCTTGGTTTCTATTTTGGGGATGAAAGGTCCTTTCCTTCACAAAATGACATGAATGGAGCATTGCCTTCTATCCCAAATCTCGTATCATCAGCGATACGCAGCACTGCTGGCGTGCATTGTTGTGATCAGTGCAGATTGCCCTGGCGTCAAAATGCCCTCCCTTTTATCCTCAACTTCAGAGCAGCAAATGCACTACCTGTCAAGGGAACGTCCAGAGTTTTTTGTTTTTCGCGCCATTGCCCTCTCGCTCCTCTAGTAGTGACAGGCTGTGGACGAGATGAAGTGACGAAGTCGCTGTGTCCTGCGAACCACAATGAGCAAAACATGGGAATAGGCCTGGCCCATGATCACAATGAGCCAAAAGCGATGCGCCGATGAGATCGTCCGTCCACATTATTCTCTCAGTTACCCTCAAAAAATCACTCAGCTCGCCACGCCAGATGAATCATTGCCCGAGTCCCATCCCCCGCCCCCTCCACGCCCATCTACGTTGATTGATTTCGCTGTATTCATTTTGGCCAAGCTGGAAAGAATCCATGCAATAAACTTTGCATTTTCCCCTCCACAGCTCAATCACTACAAACACAACATGGTGCCATTTCCAATCTTTCTATACTCCTCGTCGTTCGTTGCTCTCATCATCGTCATTCAACGACGCTGTTGTTCCCATCCGCCACCACCAACACAGGCATACCGGTTTGTGAATAACAATGGCACTGAAGAGTCCTTTCCAGGCTAGGGACAGCAGTGATGATGATGATGATGATGATGATGATGATGATGATGATGCAGCTGGCGCATTATTTGTCCCGCACATGAGGCTGAAGAAGGCTAATTGTCTGGAAATGAAGCCAGATTGTGAATAACAATGGAAAGAGCAGGTTGCAAGAGCCTTTTGAACATAAAATAGTTCCATGGAGGAAAAGTACAACTACCAGTCAAAAGAACATAATAATAATTGTCTCAGTGTCCTTCTCTCCATCCTCATTTAACATCATGTGCAGCTCTGTCGCTGTTTCCTCAACCATGACCCTTCTCCTAGGCTCTGGGAAATGAATTTCTGTTTGCTTTCTCACACTAGAGGCCCTGTTTGCAAGTCCAGTGTCTGTTGTTGGCTGTAAAGACAATGATATCTGCTAGAAGATGGGGATGCAAGGTGGACAATACCTCAGCTTTCAAGGAGGTATTCCAATCAATAAGTTCTGCATTGGTTATTTCCAAGTCTTTCACTGTCTTTACCAAAGATGCATTGATCTTTTTTCAACTGCTTAATCTTAAAGATTCTTAGCTGCAATTACAGCAATCTTCTTCTTGAGTTCCTTCTGTTGTGACAGTATCTTGGTTTACTAGCTGAAAGTATTGAGCCAACTTCAGTGAATTTGAAGAGTATGTTTTTTGAAAGATTGATCATGGATCTTTCTTGATATGTAAAGGTTCTGATCAAATATTTTTGGTGTCTGTGAAGAACAAGACTTTCTCTACAGTAATTGTGGTCATTTTTGCATCAACACCATCAACAACATGGGAGACACCACGGTCAAGCATGTTAAGAATCATGAGTGCGGTTTTTTTTTTTTTTAGAATCACACTAGACAGTGTGTTAGGCCAGAAAGGAACCCGTGTGACATTCTAGATAGGGTGACCCACCAACAGGCCATTTGCATCGGCTTGCGTTAGGGCATGTGGAATGATGTGAGCTACCTCAAGATACACAAATGATTGCCCTCTGCTAGTTGCCTTCATCATCTCGAGCATTATCACCCTGTTGAGTCAATCGAATTATTGCTTCTCTCTGGTCAAATTGACGCGAGACTACACAGCGATGGTGGTCGCGGATGTGGCAGATGCCTCGAAAAACTGATATCCGATCTGGTGTTAGAAGAAATTCATGATGCCTTCCATGAACGCTTTGGAATATAGAGCGATGTGCTGGGGGACGGTTGAATAGTGCGCAGGCCAGAAGCCTCGACTATAAAAAGACAAGCACGCCAGTAAATCGAGCTCACGGACGCGGTATGAAAAGCCTATTATCGAGTAAGAAGTCTGCGAAGCTAGCTAAGCTCTCACCCAGCTAGTCTTCCTCGTGCTCAAAATCAGGATCATGCTCTGTAGAGACATCTAGGCCCATAAAATCATAGAAGGTGCGTAGGGGTGTGTCCTGAGATAGCTCCGACAGGCAGTATTCATACATATAGCAAATGAGCAAAGGCGACTATACACATTGTCGGATGTTTCTGCTGCTCTGAAATGGTTGACAATGCTGTAGAAATTGTCCTTCATCCGTGCGCGTTGATCCGCTGCTAATGGTTCAGGGCCGGAAACATTGATGAAGTCCTCGAGTGACGTTTGACAGTGATGCTGCGCCATATCTCCAGGCTCGTTTAGTTTCCCATCTCTTTAATTTGATCGTGCATTCATTCATGCAAACAAACCAGCTTGAGCGGTAGTTGGTAAGAGTGACTGACTGAACCTAGGTAACGTAATCCTCATAAAGAATATATCAGGCACATCATTTTCTCTTTGACAGTTAACTAGTTATTTTCTTTCCAATTTATCCTTACTTGACTTAGTATTACATTTTATATATTTTGTACAATCTGCTCATATACTCAAAATATTCAATCCTATATTTGCCTCAGCAGACTTTGTAGGCAGTAAGGGCTACCTTCACCTCTAGGCACACAAAAATCAGACACGGTTGGCGGTGGCGATGACTGCTCAACCACAAGCCAGGGGGGACAAAGATACACATGGCTCTGCCGAGCATGAAAATCGCATCTTCACTCCAGACCATACAAAACAAATAGTCAGACATGGTATTGTGATCATCAAACACGCACAACGTTTTTCCCACTAAGCTCCGATATCAATGCCAACGCCAACGCATTGCCGATTCCAACCCCGTCACCCAGCTCTTTTCACCATGAAAGAGAACGGGGACAAAAAGGGGTATTCTGTCCATGTAACTTGATTTTATGTATCCCATCATCGACATTCCCTTCCCATCGCCCTCAATGAAGAGGACCCGTAGTATCAACGGGAAAGAAACTTCCTATCAAGGATTGTACGATATTCATTCTCCAGAACCACTGAGACCCAAGGAAGGGCCTCATGGCAACACATCGCTGTGGGGTTATTCGAGAACGACGGTCGTGGCTGGTTCTGTTCACTTTTTGATGAAGAGAAAAAAGGAGAAAAAAAAAAAGGAAACAAAAAAGTTGAACTCGGAGCGGTTTTGTAGCACACTTGTGGATCATGTGATTTAATTGTTATCGGGAAGGATGTATATTTATCCGATACTCATGTGATTGGATACTAACGTGCCGAATACATCCGGATAAGAACCGATGCTTTTCACGATCTTTCTTTTCTTTCTTTCGCTTGTGTATCATTATTCATGTGTGAATCAGTTTCAACTTGGTTTTGGTACCATTGCTGTGTTTACAATGAGGACTGTCCGTTGCTTTGAGAAGACTGACAACTTCCATGAACGCCAGGAATGCATGTATGAGGAACAACCCATTTTGGGAAATGTAGTCAGTTGCTCGCTTCCCATTAACATACAGAAGAACTGAGGCAAAAAAAGAACGGAAAGAAAAACGAAAAGATGAAGATAACGCCCGTGTATCCCAAATATCACTTCCCAATTAACACTTCGCAGCCGATGACCATTCCTAGTCAAATCGCTCTGCCAATCCTTGCCTACAAATGAATAAGAAGCAGCCGCTTTATTGAATCCGAGCTTCTTTGGCAGGACAACAAGGCGTACTTTATGATATCCGCGCCGCAGCACGGGGACCCCGAATGAGTGTGACTGGAAGCGAATGACGGCGCATGCATCGCGAATGAAGACGCATCAAAAATATCCCAAAAGAAAAGAAGTTAAAATAACATGCAGCATGACTTTTCCCTTTCAAATTTGTCAGCTAACCCATCTGGGAAAACGGCGTCCAGCCAATAGTTCAGTCGCGCATTATATCCATACCTCTATGAATCCGACATCCCCAATCATCCTGGCTTTGGAATCTCCGCTTGCTGGTTTTTGGATTTCCAAACCCCCCCACCGAGAGAAATTGAAATACCCAATCCTATTCCGACCATAGCTCCAGCGATAAATAACGCAATCAGCACCTTGACGACGAGTCTCTGTTTCCGGCTAAGCCTTCCTAGCCATTTGGACTTCTTCTGTGCGTTGTTTGGGCCAACCCTCCACAGCCCTCTATCACTTCCCTGGCAATCCATTGATGGCTTAATGGGCGCCTGATAGCCATTCTCTGCGTCGTGCAGTTTGTATCCTTGGCAACATGCCTGCGCCTCACTTCTCACTTGTTCGAGAGATGTACGGGTCGTTGGGTGTGTGTAAAACGGAGAAAATGGCTTTGCTCCACGCGAAGGATCGAAATCACTACCTGCTGGGCTGCCAGGGGGAAGAAGACATGGGTTCGGCGAAGGTGGGAGGGTGTCTTGCGTCTCCCAGTGTGATAAACTTTTTGGGGTGGGAGAGTCGCATTCGTCAAAAGGGCTGAGTTGTCGTTGTGTAGGGGAATACGGATCGAAGTTGGCTTCAACAGCCTTTACATCGTGGCTGATTGAAGCCATTGAAGAGGTGGTTGGGAGTTGCACCGTTAATGCACACTCTGCTGGCGGAAAGAGAAGTAATATCTTTTCGTTGTTTTGAAAGGGGTTGGATTGAAATGCTCCTGGCCGTTTGTAATCTATAGCTGTGACAACGGTGTGAAACAGGTTTCAATTTCTGGGTTTCGATTGTTCGATTCCTTTATGCCACGACAGGCATCACCGTGTTGGTTTTATCCTGGAAATATCGGGTAAGCTTGTATGAAGAAAGTATAAGCGACCACTTTTCTGAGGGTGTCAATTGACACAAAAGGAAAAATTCGGAGGAGCTAAGACATGCGGCGTGCGTCACCGAGGATAACGAGGCTCTAGAGAGATAAGAAATGTTCGACAAGCTTGTCCGGACAAGGTGGTATGTATGTATAATGTTGCGAAAGAGAACGGTCGATTGACGGAGCCAATTGATGTTTGGAATAGAGGGGGTGAGAGGCAAAGGCCCACGCCTTCCTTGGGAGCAGTCCAATTGCTGGCTGTTCAGAAGGCTCTACCCTTCTGTCTGCGGGAGCTTTACTGGGCAGGACCGATGGCTTTGGCCATCATTATTATGATCCCCTGGGAGTGTGTGGCTGTCGTATGTTGGAATTGAGCTCGAAAAGCACACGCGGGAGTTGAACAAGATGCCAAGATGTGGAATTGGCACCCGTTCGGTTGGTAAAGATTTCACGGGTCGCCCGTTTGGTTGGCTGAAAGCCTCTGATCTTTCGGAAATGAAAAATAAAATCAGAGTAAAACAGAACAAATACTATCCATCGGTTGGCTTGTCTGGGGAGAAAAGGAAGAGGAGAGAAAGGGTTTACAGAAAAAGTCCGCTTTCATTTGAGATTCCAGGAACGCAGAACAATCCCAAACGCATTCTCTGAAAGCTACACACACGATTAAGGGGTCTTCGAAGTGCGCATGTGCTGCTGTTCTGGTACGTCTGCAGTGGGGTGGTGGCCACTCGCGTCAATCGCCAAAGTGCCAAAAAGGCCTTAAGCTCTGGGGCTAACCAAAGCCTCGACAGCATCAGAACTTGTGGGATCATAACTAAAACAGGCGAAGGCCCGTCAATAGTCAGCGCACATTGCCCGCTAAGGCGGATTGGGTGTCAGGCGGCCAACCGCAGCGGCTAGACTGCAGCGTTTTAGTTGGGCGATTGCAGGGATCACTGTATTTTAAAATTGGACACCGCCCAGGCCCAGGAGTCTGCCGCCAAGGGAAGCCAAATTCTTGGGGCGTTTTTGAGAGAGAGTCCTCGCTCCATTATTTGCTGAGCGTCTCACCACTCTCCCAAGATTAAAAATTCCAGGGAAAGGCTAAACAATGGCCGTAAGGAACATAGTCGTATTGCAGAGTGTCGTTGGCACTAGGAAGAGCTAGAAATAATCAAAGAATTGGTGAGATTGACGATTCTGGAATCAGTCAAAATGTGTTGGACATTCCTGTCAAGCTGTCTGTATGCTGTTGTGTAACTCCCAAACTGGTATCAAGACCCACATGTTGCATCGTTGATAAGACTCCAATCAGAACCAACAAGATCTCCTGCGACCAAAGCAAAACGCAAATTAATAGCCAATAGCATATGTCAAGACAAACTATTTACTCAGGTACCCTCTCAATGACGAGAACACTCCTTTCGTCTGATTTCTCTCACTAGCCTCCAGCCGCCTCTTCTCTCTCTCCGTCGCATCTTTACTTCTCGCCAGGTACCGATACATGAATTCCTCATCCCTCTTCTTCAATTCCTCTGCATTCATCAATCCTTTTCCGCCATCAATCGAGGTGTCCGGGTCCTTGCTTCCATTGTACTTGAGTTGCAGTCCATTGTCCGAAATGGTTTCCTCCACACCAACAATTTGAGTTAGTGCCTCACACTTCCCCGCTATCCAGGCGACATGTTGCATACCGTCGCGCCACTGTGGCGGCAGGGAATTATATCCAAACCAACAACCTAGCAGAGCCCCTGCAACGCAGGCGTTTGTGTCAGCATCTCCGCCTTCAAACGTAAGCTCTGTGATTACTTTCTCGAAAATAACAGAATGTGGTAGTTTGGCGGTACTGTTGGTTCTGCATTTCTGCTCGTACCCTGTTTGTCGTATCCCTAGCCTTAGGGCCAGAATCGCTGCTCCAAATGTCTTATAGACATATCCCATTTTCTGAGAATCGTCTAGTTCAAGCTCTTTGAAGCTGGTTGCTCTTGCGTGCCTGGTATATTCTTCAATTTCAAGCAAAGCCCCGTGTTCTTGTAACTCATTCTCTTCCGGAGTACAACCTGATCCTGATGCACCGCTAGCTCGCCTTCGTACCCATTCATCTACCCACACAAAAGCCTTCTCGATTATCTCATCTACATTGCCCTCATTCAATACTTGTCCACGCAAAATGCCTCGGATAAGCCCTGTCACAGTGCAACAAGATACGATGCACCGGGGATCTGCGTGTGTGATGGCTGAGTAATCTGCGGCAATCTGGAAGGTCTCTGGAAGTGTAGCAGAGATGCACATCACGCCCAACGGGTGTGTGCGCATCAATGATCCGTTTGGTGCTATGTTTCTATTTGATTTAACCCAGCAATCATAGGCGACTTGGACAGGGTTGTCAAGGTAGTTCTTACTGAGAACTACCTGAAAATCGTGTTTTGCGGCGTAGCAGAAGCGTCGTTAGCTTGTGTATATCCGTGCAACCCAGACAAACAAAATGAACAGAGAAGGAAACATGCACTCGAAAAGGAGTATCGAATACCATGCATGCATTACCCAACATGGAGGACTAGCCAGCCACGTGTATTTACCTAGGCACTTGTCAAACCGGAGAATGGGGACATCTTACAGTTCCTACTGTCCTCCCCAGTCCACACGGGGGTCTATCCAAGCATCTTAAACCCTGTTCGACCCAGATCTGCAGGCGCTTAGCTACGTCCTTTGGCGAAAGTTCTTTTCCGTTATGATGCAAATATGACAGCACAATGAGCAGTGCGTGATCTGTATCATCGGTCCATGCTGCCTAAAACCTGTCAGTAGTGATCTGTATGCTACACTTTGAATACTTTTTAGAGGGCCAAATCGGATCTACATACGACCTGGAATTTATCTTCCGAGGTTGAATGTCAGGTTTCCTTTTGGTCAGCTGCAATGTCAAATAGCCTTTTATAAATAATAACGATAATAAACAATGGTGGAAATAAAGGGGTTACATGGCATATGTCTACAGCCTCATCGACAAAGAAAACCAAACCAATAAGGAAAATGAGTCAACTCTCACTTCTATGCCCATCATTCCTAAACTCCGTCGGCGGATCGATGAGTTGAAACTTCCCCTCTGGGTACGCGCTTTGAGATAGTGATTTGGATAGGAATTCTATTTCCGACAAGAATTTTCTGGCCGCATCAGCAAAATTTCAACCAAGTCCTTTGCTTTCCTGCATTCACTTTTTTCTGTTATACGCTTGCAAACTAGGCTTCGCAAGGACGAGCTTTTCGGATTGGAAATTCGTTGTACAACCCAACTTGAGTGCGAGAGTTGAAAACCTAAAGGGTTATCAATGGAGACAATGTAGGGCGAATATAGATAGTGACCCATATGAATCACTGCTATTACCAGCATTTCAATAGTCGGCAGATGTGGAATGCATTACCAGAAGGGGGAAAATCATCGACATGAAAACAAAGGATATTCTTTCTTCTTTCTTTCTTTCTTTCTTTCTTTTTTCTTTTTTTTGGTTTGTTGAAATTCGCCCCTGTGCTCGTTGCATGCACAGCCTTGCATTGACAAAGGATATAAGAAAGAATATCAAAACAAAAAAGGCATGAAAATGACGAGCACCTAGAAGCAACATCCATCGAAAAAAATGCAACACATCTTTCAGAATACACCAAGAGACGAGGCAGCGTACATACCCGTATACAACCCGATACAGTCACCCAAAGCAGATCCGATAATGGCCCCCTTGATTCTATCCTGCACCGTTGCGCGTACAAAGGGGTGAAGGGCGAGGAATTCCAATCCAGACGAGGCCGACTCCATACTTTTTCTTTCTTCCCTTCTGCTGCTATGGACTGGTTCTAAATGGTACACACGTACTAGTAATATTCCGCGCTATCTGGTTGTCAATTGTAGGATGTGAAAGTGGAGAATAATGGAAATGCTCCCTCGTCTTCTGAGGGTATGCGGATGAAGAGTGATGATTTTATATCTGCCTGGACTTGGGGGGGTTGGGTAGCGTAGTGGTTAGGCGCAATGCTGCAACTAATGGGTTCAAATCCCAATGCTCAAAACCCCAGAAAGTGGCTGAACTTTCCAAGTAGGCTGGCCAGTGAGGTGGAAACTGAAAACTCTTGATACTTTAATTTAGTCTTGGAAACAAGATGAAGCAAAACACAAAACGTGATTGCCTGCTGCTACCTCAGCGACTTCCACTGAGATGTCACTACGGAGTAGATTTCACACATTGGCACAGGATCTCCAAAAGAGCTCTCAACACCACTTATCTTCAATGTATAATATCTCAACAGATATGCAGCATCAAAGTTTCTGCCATAGCACAAAATGAAGCTGGAGAGATGAAAAATTCAAAAGTAGAATATTTGTGATGATTGAATGAATATTTGAAATAGATGGATGATGTTGAAAATAGTCATACACTTTTTACCCACGAGGTTTTGGTAGTAGTGTAAATTGGACCTTTAAGTTAATCACTCGCTAGGAGGAAATTCCGCAGCACTTCATTTACCAACGTATCCTATCGTACTAAAACAGTGGGATGGTACTAAACCACGTACAGTGCTCGACTACCTCCATACATAGTAGATGGTTGGCGAAGTTAAAGAATCCTGGGATAAAGGTGGATCGGTGGAATCGCCCCACCAATATGAGAAACTTATAACTACATTATGTTTGTCATGCCTCATAGCCTCATAAGTGCGGTGATATAACGAGCGGAACAGATCTGTTTCTCCTTGTGCATTTATGGCATCCTTGGCCAGGCCTAAGCATTCCTGACAATAGAGACCGCCACAAGATGCAAACTACATAAATTCCTCGTTGGGATTTTATAACATATGTCTATATGTCCTGGATCTCTATATAAATGTGGGATAGCTATTCTTGATCATTCGTCAAACCCAACCAAAAAATCCTCCCCCAGAATCCCACTCCGATCGCACATGCCTCGAAACACCCCACCAGGCTTCTCCCACAACTTCAGCGGCTCGTCAAATTCAACAATGCGTCCCTGGTCCATCACACAAATGCGATCGTAGTTGATGACCGTCCGCAATCGATGCGCGATACACAGCAATGTCTTCCCTTTGAACCCCTGCGACATCGTCTTCTGAATCTTCCGATCCGTTTCAAAATCAACTGAGGAAGTTGCTTCGTCACAGACAATGATGCGCGAGTCACGAACAAGAGCGCGTGCTAACGCCATGAGTTGCCGTTGGCCCAGTGAGAAATTCAATCCTTCCTCTTCGACCACGGTATCGAGGTTGATGCGCTGTTGGGGTTGTCTGGCCGTTGGTGATGAGTTGATTTGGTCAGTTGAAGAGTCTGACGGTGTATCTTGACCGACTAAGTCGGCTTTTCTAAGTGCGGACCATAACTTCAAATCGGTGTGCTCGTTAAAGGGATCAAGATTAGATCGGATAGTACCGTGGAATAATGCAGGATCCTGCGGGATGATGGCGAGTCGAGACCGCAGGTCATGTAGACCGACAGTGGCTATGTCTATGTCGTCAATTTTGATAGTCCCCCCAGAGAGCTCTGTCATTCGGAACAGGGTTGACGTGATAGTTGATTTGCCGGCCCCTGTCCGACCAACGATCCCGATATGCTCGCCGCCTCGGATATCCATAGTCAGTCCCTGCAAAACCAATGGAAGGCCTGGCCGATATCGCATTTCCACATTGGAAAATGAAATTCTGCCTTGTTGCGGCCATTGGCTATCCAATTCGAGCAGATGTTGTGGCGCTTCCTCCTCCAGCTTTGTTCCATAGTGGTGAATGCGCTCAGTGGCATTCATGCTGTTTTCAACATCAGCTAGACAACGAATGGTGAACTGTAACATCTGTGATATGGCGAGAATATGAGACAGCACAAGTCCTGATATGCTTGGTGAAACATTGAATCTCGACGTTACTACTAAGATACCGGTGACAAAAACCATGAAAATGCCGATAGCATCTAATCTGACGCTTAGCCATCTTTGGTTCGCGAATGTAAGAAAATACGCGCTGTCCATATCATCAAGTGCTGCACGGAGCCGACGAAGGAAGTGGGCCTGTACGCCGTACGCTCTAATCGATGAAATTCCCGAGATACCCTCGCTGAACTGGGCGAAAACAGTGGAACGGAGGACGGCCTCATGTCGTTTCATTTCTCGGGCCGATGCTCGATAATAGTTTGCTGCTATCAGGAATAATATGAAAAGAGGGCCAAGAGCCACAGCAAACTATAGGAGAAACGGTGAGCTCAATCCAAGATAAGGAAAAAGGAAAAGAAATATCCGCATGACTTACATAGTGAAAGAACACGATGATCAAAATCAGAATGGATATAATCAGGGAGAGGGTGAGATAGTAAATCCGCATTGTTTCTGTCAGGTCGTTGTCCATGGTGTGAACGTCGTGGGAAAATCGGTTGACAATACGACCCATGGGGGTGGTGTCGAAAAACGCCATGGGAGCCCTTAAAACTCGCGTCATCGCCTTTTGAAACATTACCCTGCTCGCATTCGTTCCGCTCACTGACAGAGTCGTAGAGAATGCAAATATGAGGCACAGCTGGATGCCGGCCAGTCCAGCGTATACACCGATATACTGGCCAGTTGACAGGCCGAACTCGTCTGAGGTCCAGAATGAAAGCCACAAGCTCGTTACTATATTTCCTGCGCTGCAGAGAATCAGTGTCAAAACGATGAACGGACCATTTATTATCAGGCCAAACGACGCGATATATGCCCTCCACACTTCCCAGTCAACTGAACTAACTGCTCGGTCTTCCTGCTGCATCAGAGCCAACGGTTTCGATGTTTTGGATTTATTTTTCGGCATTTCCACACTTGCAGCTTCAATGCCATCCTCCCTGTCGCTTCCATTCTTTGAAGTATCCTCCTCCTGGGACGTAGTCGCTAACAGCTGACGAAACGCCTCATTGTCACGCATAAGGTTGTCGAAAGTATCGATGGAAGATATACGACCGCCATCCATCAATATAATACGATCGCATCGGCTGAGGACATGAAGTTGGTGTGTTGCAAGTATTCGACATTTGTCTTTAAGCAGCCCGCATATAGCGTTATCCATGATATGGCGGCCAACATGGGCATCCACGGCTGATAATGGATCGTCCATGAGGATGACATCCGCATCAAAATAAATACCCCGAGCGATATTAAGCCTCTGCTTCTGTCCTCCCGACACTGTTATTCCACGTTCGCCAATTTCCGTCGCATCGTAGGCTGGTAGCATGTCGAAATCAGTTCTCAGAGCGCAGGCATCTACAACTTTATTATACCATACGTCGTCATATCTTTTACCAAAAAGTATATTATCTTTCGCAGTGGCGTTCTGAATCCAAGCGTACTGGGGGCAGAAAGCCCGTGTAGCATTCATGGTAACGTTGCCCCTTGTCAATCGCATTTCTCCGGCCAAGGCTGATAAAAGCGAGCTTTTACCACAGCCAACTGTTCCGATGACCGCAATAAGTTCATTACGGCCGATCTCAAAAGTAAAATCTTTGAGTTCGAAAGGTTCGATTGGAAGATCACACGTAGAGTTTCCCTGGGCAGGCGAGGTTGACTCGTTCACTTCCTTGCACCTCCTCATTCTTTTCTCGTCTTTCCTGTCGGCCTCCCTTGCTGCATCGGTAGGTAAACGCTCCCAGGCAAATGACGCATCCTCAACTTTAATGGCAGGAGCCAAGGACGTGTCTTGTTGTATGTCCGCTTGTTGCTCCTCCGCAAGGAGGAACTCTTGAATTCGTCCAAGGGCCGTCCACGCATCCGTTACCTGACCGAGCACAAGAGGAAGCATGTTCAACGGCATGCGGAGAGCATTAAAGAGTGCGAGCGATGAGAATATCGGGGCAGGAGACAGTACGTGGTTCGATAGAGAGTAGGTTATAAAGGCCAACATAGATGCGAACCCAGGAAGTGACAGAGATACACAGAGAATAGCGTTTCGTATGGACAAAATGACTTGGATGGCGTGAATTTCGCGTTGCCGAATGTCATTCAGTCGCCTCAGAAAGCTGCTCTCCCAGCCGAAAAGCTTAACGAATCTGACAGCCGTCAGGATTTCCTGGGTAAGAGAAACGCGTTCATCCGTCATTTTGTTTATCTTCTTTCGTCGTCTGATAAGGGAACGGACAGAGTAGGTGACAAACGGTAACCCGGTCAGTAACAGCGCATATCCAGAAAGAGCGCTATAGCCTATATTAACCACAAGGACGATTAGAGCGACTACGACCAGTATGGGAGAGGTCCAAAGTAGATGAAACAACTCAAGAGCTCTATCAATGCGATCCACGTCCACGCTCATTAGGGTGATGATCCTGCCGTTACTCCATCCAACGCCATCACCGGCAATGCCCGTAGCAGCGTCCGGTGTTACCTTGGGGCCGTTAGCCTTCCCCGGTTTCTTTTGGAATCTACCCTTGAGAATCCCATCACGGGCTGCGCGAAGAGATTCCGATTCCTCGGCTGTGCCCTTTGAACCTTGATTTTCTGAGCTTTCCGCCGTAGCTTTACCACCCGCTTTCGCACGGCCGGAAAGTTTCAAAGCTTTGGAAAATATCATATTGATAAGGACAGCACGGCTTTGGGCTCCGACGATCATTCCTCGATAGAAGAACTGCGCTGCACCAAGACTCTGGCAGGTTTGCATAAAGCAGATCCCAATGACGATTCCAATGCCACGTCCCAGCTGTGGGCCAGGCTTGCCAGCGTGTTTCGCGAGATATGCATCTGCTGCAAATTGGATGAGATACCGTGAAGTGAAGGGTGTCATGACCTGGAGCAGATTCGAGAACAATGCACAGATGCCGCCCACCCAAAATTCGACTTTGAAGTTTTCGTATATTGCCCATAAGAGTGGATAGCGATCGCCCCTGCGAACACAATTCTGGAATGACCGTTCAAGTTTGACTACAAGAACATCCACCGACCTATCCGGATTCACCAACCAGATATCCTGGACTTCTAAGGGTCGCAGATATCCTGTCTAAGAAAGGTTAGCGGAAAGCATCCTGCAAAGGTCCCGGTGATGACAGATCCAAGAGCGCAAGGTGTTTTTTTCTTATTGCTATCTGGGTTGCTTCTATATCTATAGAGGGGAAATTACTTGCCGTCATTAACGAAGATATCCAGTGAAATGTCACCAAGCTCAGATATCCAGCTCCATACTCTTTGGATACAGTCCTTTCTGTAGGCACGGGGGGTATCTGACGCCATCGGAATGGATTTAACCTTTGGGACCATCTTCTCGGCGGCTTGGCCGATTCGGCAGCTTGCCTCTGTTCGGAAAGCTTGCTGCCTTCGGAGTGTGAAGAGCTTGGGGGAACGTCTAGCTCTTTGCTGTTCCGAAGCTCGACTGTGGCATCGGATCCTGTTTTTTGTCTCGCAGTCGCTGGATCCGTCGGTTCTACGAATGGAGAAGATTTATCCCATGTTCCCATACCATCATCCCGCTTTTCTTCTCCATCGACAGTCATCTTGGGGCAGAAGCACTTTGTCTCGCTGCATATGAACCCCCACAGGACAAAATTCGGAAAAAGAAAGAGACCATGGCAGAGGAGAGATGTAAAAGAAGGAGTCCAAGGTCTGTTATCTCCGAGTCATCTAGGCTGCCTTTTTGTTATTAATAATGAAGGGGGACATGTGAGCACAAAACATCTGGGGTAAACGGAACCGCAGGCATTGCCTTTTACACTAGTGTTCATACCGGGAGAGGAGGAAAAGAAATCGCGACCGACGGAGATGCCTAGGTTCATAGGCAGTAACATCTCCACTCAACGCCCAGTTGAGAGACGGGACGGACATCCTCACTAGACGGTCAACAGCGAAATCCAATGGCGGAAACGGGCCATTTGTTTCACTATGGCTCAATGGCCATTTATTTGCCTTGAGCGCGGAAAAGCACTTTTCTTCAAACCCGCTTGCCCTCCCTTTCTCGCTTGAGGACATTGTTTGACATTGGAGGCGTTCGAGGCCTCCACTTGGGAGTTGCAAAAGCTCGTAAAATGCACCAAGCATTGCTAGTCCGAAGACTAATCCGTCGGTCGGAGGTTTTGGACCCTCAGCAGCCGCCTGCCATCCATGGTTGCATGGTTGCATGGTTGGAGCCCGTTCTCCTGCATTACTTGCTCCGAGATTCCCGCGGATTGGGTTTATGCACCGGAGTCGGGGTGGACATTGTTCCGAGGCGGTGCCGTGAGCCACGAATTTGTCAGCGATGGAGCATCTTTTGTTGGGCACAGAGGGCGTACAGTTGAATGTGGTTAATAAAAAGTTGAACATGGTTAATTTTTTGGGCTGGAATAATCTTCAGTGTGGTTTTGACCATAAACCATGTCAACCCCTCATTAAAACTACATGCGCTAGCCATATCTCCCACACATCTCTCACACCTCTTCAAATGTGTTGAGCACAGTGATTTTATCATATTTCTCAGAGCTCTAATTCCTAGCTAACCTGGATTCTAACTCTAGATCACTAATTCTAATTCATAACTGCTTTTCATATGTTGAAAAGCCTCAGATATTGAAGTAGAAGAACTAAATAAGAGCTAATTAGTAATATAAAGTGAGAGTGTGTAAAAGATGTTTAGTGTGTGTATATTTTAGTGAGAAGTGAAGAGCTGAGCATGGTTTATTTTTCAGACCCACTTTTTTTAAACCATGTTCAACTTTTAATAAACCACGTTCAACTGTAACCCGCACTCGGCCTTGGGACGTGGCATGTTTCATAGATTAGTAATGTCATGTCTATTTTCTAATTGACAGATAGGGTTATGTGTTTGGCAGGTAGCCATCGTCGGTCGGCTCCTCCGTGCTTACATGGTTTCGTGCTGGTCATAACCGACGGACGAGTTGTCTCGATACTCACTATCGAAAACCTTCCTGATCTAGAGAATTATGGGTAACTTTATCTATTCTTTCAATTATGACGAGGGAAAGATACTGCTCCTCTTGGTGGACGTGGCAAGCATTGCCACTGTTCCACCTATATGGAAGATTTTACAATTGAAAAAAGGATGTAGAGAAACCAGTTAAGCAAAAGAACTTGATCCAATCTTTTTATTGTCATGTCCAGCCAGGGACTCGGCCCAAATAGCAAAGGACGTCAGGGCAACCTCTGGTCGCCTTCTTCCGGCCAATATATCGGGGTATTTTACAATTCGACTTGAAAGAAATTGCCGTACTCATTTCCGGCTCGACGTCTCCCGCAGAACGGGTTTGTTGGAAAAGATAAGCGTCCATAATATTTGCTGACGCGCAAGAATTTCCCTATTTGTCTTAAATCCAAGTAACAGGTGTTGTATGAGTTAACCAACGCCAAGACAATGGAATACCGACACCATTCGGACAACAGGGATAAAGCAATACTGTGTTTCCTTTGGGATATTGGATGAGGGAAACAAGAGTACGATCGATCGCCCATTAAAAATCGTGTTGGTCTTCGAAGCAAACGGGCGGCGAAAGTAAGCGAGGGGAGGAGAGGGTAAGGGGATATTTCATTTGAGAGACGCACGCAACACGCTCCAACCTCGACTGAGGAAAAATCCCCACAAACAGTTGCCGAACTCTAACAATTTATGTTCAGTGAGGAGTTGGTATGTTTCGCGAAGTGAAGGCAATGTCGGGCTGGGTACTCCATGTTAACCCCCGCCCGCCCCACAGGATATTTGCCGAGCCAAATACGATTTATGGAAACCTCCAAAACACGATTCCTAAAGGCGATGAGGTGATACTATCCCCTCGTCTGGCCGCGAGGACACAATTAGTGCAATACAATTAGTGTAACAACTAAGCTGTTAGTTCTGATGTACCAACCAATAATTCTTCATACTAAATTCTATATAATCTGATTTGTTGATACTGCTTCACTATTTTAGTAATCTGCTATCTTCTTATCTTGATTCATTCATATTCATGATCTTCTTATCACTCTGATCACTCTGCTTTGAGAAAGAAATATGACTTCTATAGATAATCTTCAATTTCTTAATGCTTCTTTTAATCAGATTGACTAATTTTTTTTATTAGATAGTACAAAAATAGATGCAAAGTGAAAGCAATCTGTCAGTGTATAGATAGATGGTGGGTTGAGTGGCCACACCACCACACCCACAGATACTATGAGCACAACCATTTAACAAATGATTATGTTAGCTTTTTGGATAATCTAATGGTTATAGTGCTATCTTATTGCAAAGATATAGTTGTGCAGCATGTAGTAATATTGCTCTCTGCTTGAAGAGAGGATATTGAAAGAAGTTCCATTCTGATCATATTAATTAGGACTAGTTAGTTGACTAGATCAAATAGATTACATAAATTACACTAAAACACATCAATACAGCTGATCTCTCATATGGCCCAGTAACCTTCATATATTTAATACACTAATGTACACACTAAAAAATACACTAATTGTGTCCTCGCGGCCAGACGAGGGGATACAGGACATCAACACTCTTACTATTTCTCAAACTATCCATAGATGCAAAGCAGGGACCAGAGCTTACTGAAGACAATCAGACTTTTCAGCATCATGCATCGTGATGCTAAATTTGCCGAGACCTGGAACTCTTGCCCTAGCCGAAACACAAACCTTCACTCTCCTTTCCTCCAATACACACCGGAAGCCGCTTGCGGGCTGCATATGTGATAGTTTGGGAATCACGCCTACCAGTGAACAGGCACCAGTTCCATTTCTATCTTATCTTCAAGGGAGCGATTTACGGGCAAAACTTGAAACAAATCGTCATGGAGATGAATATCTCCACACAACTCCCTAGGCATCCATACTTGAAGATACAACACGAAAACTGATCAGAACAATTGCGTTGGCTCCTTGAGGAATTTGATTTTGAAAGCCACTCTCGTATATGTGCCTGGCCGAATACCTATCATTGGTTTCCTAGGTTCGATGGGAAGGCGATGCGGAATCAAATGTACTGTAATGTACATGTACAACCACTTCACTTGCCATCATACAAACGCACACAAAATACTACATCCAAAAGAACCCTGGCCGCGGACTCACCATATGGTTTTTTAAGCCTCCAAGCAAGGAGCCCTGCTATATAACAATCCATATGAAGAAAACTTAGCGTTCATTTCCGCTGTTTACTTTCTTTTCTTCCCTTTTCCGTGCCTTATCGAAGCGGGGGCACGAAATATGTCCCACGTACCTGATGCGTGAAAATCGAATGTCAAATACACAAGAATCTTCTATGCTTGTTCGTGGGCCCCTGGGCTCTATTTCACGTCCTTCCCAGCAGCTTCAGCTGGCAAGGCACCAATCCTGGCCTCCCGTGCTGTTCTCCGCAGCATATTTTGACTTCCGGGATTTATCAAATACTTTGGGCTTCAGAGGTTATAAAATTTGATTCTTTCCCTTTGCGTATTTCCTTCCAGACAACTTGAATCTCATATCTTCGCTGAACGCGGAAGAAAGAATTTCCCTCACTCAACCGTTGCCCTTCGCTTCATGCTTACTTCGCGTTTACGTCATAAGAAAAGCCTTCTACAGATTCTTTTCTACCATGTCAAGTGAACTTAACCTTATTGATATCTATTACTTGAGGATTGGCAACATGCACAACGCCGAGAGAGTTTCTTGCCGTGCTGTGTCGCGGATTTCGGAAGGAACTATAATTTACATTCATTTGGATGTGTTGTCGTTCCACACTACGAGGCTGCCATAACTCGCGATTGGGGACTTGCTCTGGATGTTGGAGGTATTGCAGCTCTCATTCTTCCTTCCTGAAAGAAAGCCCTGCGTTAGAGAGTACCAGATAAGTTATCTGTCCATCTGGGAATTCGTTTCTCTTTCCTCGAATCTCAGCAATACTCTGGTGGATTTTCCCTACGCATCGGAAATATCGTCTCGCTTACCTCTCGAACCACACAAGCAGTCGTTACGGGGTATTCAACCTCTTCTTCGCAGGTATAAGAAAGCGAAAGACCATCCATCCTATTAAAAACGGGGCGGAAAAGGGATTAATAAATTCATAAGAGACACAAACCGCAGACAAGAAGGGAGAGTATTGTGAAACAAGGAGTAAGTTAACGAAAAAAAAAATTAAATAAATAAATAAATAAAATAAAATAAAATAAAATAAAATAAAAAATAAGAAATATTAAAAGACCTATAAGAAAAGAATGAATGCTAAATCACCAGATACGCAGCGTCTTCAAAATCGGATCAAGTAACTTCAAGAACAATAACATCAACCACCACCACCACCACTGCCTCCAATGCAAAAGGACATTGTCATAGTCCTAATCATCTTTCTACTCCTCGCATTCATGTCCGTGTTTGCCTACTTGATCCATTATTTCGGCTCTTGCTTCGTTAGGCACTCACTGCGACGCACTACACCGTCTCCAGCATCAGAAGCAGCAAGCAGTAGCAGCAGCAGTAGCGGGAGTAGGAGGAGGCAGAGGAGGCGGAGGAGGAGGAAGTGCGGGCGTAGGTCGTGGGGTAGCGGTGGGAAGGAGGACGAGGAGACGGAGGTGGTTGTCAGGGGTTCGCACTAGAGAGAGAAATGAAAGAAGTACACATTAGAGAACGCCTATCTGCTGGAAGCTCATTGGTCGAGAAGGGGATATTTCGACCAGCATATTGTGTAAAGTGGATGCATTGGGTGGTTAAGAAAGGGGGGAGCGAAAAACAGTGGGCATTGAGGATAGGGGATAGGTGAATGATTAGGTTTGTATGTATGCCAGACGTTATCATGTAGCATATCCTACCTATTGCAGTGCTAGGAGAAGGGCTGGGGGGATTGTAAGGTGTCGGTGCTAGGGAAAAACTAAGAAACCGTACATTACAAGGCGCATTTTTCATCTGAACCCCTTGCACTCTCGGCATCATTGCCGTTCTCAAAAATATCATATTCACTAGGTATGTATACCCCCACATCTCCAACTCCCTTTCGCATCAAGTAATAGATATGCCGCTCGTAAAAACGAAGGAAAAGACAACCAAAGAAAAAAAAAAAAAAAAAAAAAAAAAAAAAAAAAAAACAAATGGCTATACCAAGAAAACCCTCTCCGGCCACCATGAGTATATATAATAACTACTAACCCATGTTGTACAGCAAAACAGGCGGATTGCCGCATGTTCACGCAAAACCATCATAATAAATAAACAATGAAAATAATAGCAATAACCAGCGGGGCTCATACCGCAGCCACGGCATATCAGAGTAGAGTAGCCGTTACGTAGCGAAACAAGGCACGATAAAAGTCAATAAAATCTGTCACCACTGGGATGGAAACGCAACAGGAAAATAAACCACCGAGCAAAGTCGCCAACCCAAGGCTGCAGGCCAGAGCAGAGAGTCCACCCGTGTAAAAAAAAGGAAAGAGCGAGCGTTCGCCAATATTTCTTATTGGGGCAGTATGTATACACCATAGACACTAGATTGAAAGCTCTTTATGATGATAATTTGCAAGATGGAATGTGAGAGGGGATGAGGAAACAAACAAAGAGACAAAACAAAAACGAAGGCCAGGCACAAATAAGAATGGAATCCCGTCAATAACTCGTCATAGAATGTTCGTTGCATGCAAACAAACCTGCAGGCGCTCCGTTTCATTAATTCATTGATTTTCGGATTTTCGGATCTTTTTTCGGCTATTTTTCCGGCTTCTTTTGGGGTTATTGAGAGCGGAGAGATTCGCTCACTCAACTCACGCACTCTTCATCGTTGGCAGTTCCTTGACGGCCTGATCGATGATGTTCAGTGCCTTTTTAAGCTCTTCTTCCGTGATGACCAGTGGTGGTGCGAAGCGTATAATGTTTTGGTGTGTTGGTTTTGCCTATAGAAGAACAAGGGCAAAAGGTTAGTCGTTTAACAAAAGCTATTTTTGGAGAATAGGGAAGGAAAAAAAGACAAAAAAGACGTACCAATAACCCTTTTTCCTTCATCAATATGCAAAGATCCCACGCGGTGTGCCCGCCAGTCTTAGACTCGTCGATGACGACGGCATTTAACAGCCCCTTACCTCGAATTACCTGGATCATAGGACTATCTATGGCAGCCAACCCAGCACGGAATTGGTGGCCAAGCTTCTCCGCTCGTTCGACCATTTTCTCGTCGCGGATGATTTCTAGCGCGCGAATGGCGACGGCGCAACCGAGCGGATTGCCACCATACGTGGAGCCATGCGTGCCCGGCTCGATTGTGAGCATAACGTCCCTGCTCCCCAAGACACAGGATACAGGGTACATGCCGCCGGATATCGCTTTGCCTAGGAGGACGAGGTCTGGCTTGATACCACTCCACTCGTGGCAGAGTAGTTTGCCAGTTCGGGCGATGCCGGTCTGGATCTCGTCACAAATGAGGAGGGCGCGGTGTTTGTCGCAGAGAGCTCTGGCTTCCCTAAGGTAGTCATCATCAGGGACGACGATGCCAGCCTCACCCTGGATCGGTTCGACTAAGAAGGCGGCAATATTGGGCCCTGCCTTCTCGAACGATTCACGCAGCGCGGCTTTGTCATTGAACGGGATGGGTTTGTTCGTGCCTGGAATCGTGCTGCCGATTAGCGGCAAATAAGGGCCATAGTTATCTCTTGATTCTGGATCAGATGACATTGATATTGCCGCAAACTGTAATCCTCCCCTGTTAGTTAAAAGGAAATATATACATAGATAGGGACATAAAGCGGTTGACAGCAAGAAGCGCCCTTGGTTATTTTAGTTCACTAACAGTGCGTCCATGGAAGTTGTTCTCCACGCTCAAGACTATAGCCTCGTTGTGAGGAATTCCTTTGGTTTTGTAGCCCCATTTCCGGGCGATTTTGATCGCGGTTTCCACAGCTTCTGCACCTGTGTTCATGGGCAACACCATATCGAAACCGAAGAACTTCGTCACGAATTCCGCAAACTTGGGGAACACATCATTGTAGAAAGCACGAGAGCTCAGCGTGAGGGTAGACGCCTGATCAACCAACACCCTGACCAACTCCGGATGGCAGTGGCCCTGATTAACGGCTGAGTAGGCGGAGAGAAAATCGAGATAGGAGTGCCCCTCAGGATCCCATACGGTAGTGCCGGCAGCGCGGGCAAAGACGACAGGAAGCGGGTGGTAGTTGTGAGCTGCATACTGATGCTCTGCGTTGATAGCGGCGGAGGATGAGGAGGCGTGGAAGCGGGAGCGGTCGAAAGACGCAGCTGGGCCGGCGGCCGACTTCAGGCTTGTCTTTGCAGTCTGAGCAGAGGCTGCGGCGGCTTTGTCAGTGGCGATTGGAGACATGGTGACGATGGTGGTGATGATTGAGTGGTAACTGAGCGTGGTATATAGTGAGGACGGCTGTGAGTGATGTAACTAGAGTGAGGACTCGCGGCGGTTTTATATAGCTTTTAGCTTTCTGAACGGACCACACTTGTGAACCTTAGTTAGCTCTTCTAGCGTTTAGATATCAGACGATGCTCTTCGGCGGAGGGAATCAATCGGAGTTTAAATGCGGCGGAAACTGTGGCATGGCCGACGATATCCATTGAGATCTTGCTTTGTCCCAGCCATCCAGGATGCAATCCAGGATGCCGTCCCCGCTAGACGCTCACGCTGGCCGGGGAGTGCAGTAGCGTGCGACGTTGAAGTTTATCCGCAACCAATCCAACCGCCGCAGTTTGCAAAACAAAAGTCCTTTTCACAGGGTCCGCTAGCAGCATTCACAGCAACTTCTTGACACGCGACCATTGCTCCATCCCCGAACTCCCCACGATTGGCGTGTCCAGAGCCGGGTCCCGAGATGGTGATAAGGGACGACCATGCCTTCGACGTCGACACGGCCACGAAAGGCTCGCTCTACTACGGCCGACAGTAAAACGGAATCCGGCTCCATAGCCTCTTCACCCAGGCAGAAAGACTCGGGCACCCCGCAGAACATCCTCCTCTTCCTAATTGCATTTCGTGCATTAAACGCACTTTGCGTCAGGACCTTTTTCCAACCAGACGAATTCTTCCAGTCGTTGGAACCTGCATGGCAGATTGCGTTCGGTGGGGACAGCGGTGCTTGGATAACTTGGGTGCGGATTTATCAAGCAGAGTATAGCTCTATATTCTTTTGTGAAGCTAATGGCATCGCGCTAGGAATGGAGGCATCACTTGCGGTCTTCGATACATCCGTATATCTTCGCGGCTGTTTATTACGTTTCTAACCTGGTATCTGGATATCTTTCGATATCGCCTCTTTATCGCGCAAACTTGCTCCTTGCCGCCCCAAAACTCACACAGGCACTGTTCGCCGCTGTGGGGGATTTTTATACGTGGAAGCTGGCCGGGAAGGTTTATGGGAACAGCAGCTATGAAGCCTGGGGCGCTGTAAGTGATGCGATTGCACCAACATCGGCATAGATATTGGATAACAGACACTGAATTACTTCTCCTGCAGCTCGCGTTGACCGTCCTAAGTCCCTGGCAGTGGTTCTGTTCGACAAGGACATTATCCAATTGCCTTGAGACGAGTCTCACAGTTGTCGCATTGTATTTATGGCCGTGGGGATGGCCGTCGGAATTATCTTATCCGCAAAGGGCGAGCTCCAGGAATGACAGCACAAGAAACAAGCCGGCCACCCAGAGGTATGGGCGGAGCGGAGTGTCCAGGTATACTAAGTTGATAACTTTAGGCTTGATCAAGTCTGACCGAAGTACAGTTTGCGGCCATGTCTCCTTCTTGCAGCTTTTGCTTGCGTTCTCCGCCCAACCAATCTTTTGATCTGGATGTGTCTAGCAACCTTTGCGATGTTTAAAAAACCCGCATCATTCCGTCAAGCATGGACGGTTTCCTTCATTAGGCCTACGATCAAGGAATTTATGACGTTTAGCTATGAAGCTATATTTTCCGGGTACGTTTATTCAAAATTCAATTATCCCAATGGAAAACGTTTCTGATAATTCGGTAGATCCCTTGTGCTCGGTATATCGACGCTTTTGGACCGTGTCTACTACGGTTCCTGGACATTTCCTCCTTTTAAATTTCTCTACTTTAACATCGCCCAGTCACTCGCCATATTTTATGGACGCAATGACTGGCATTACTACCTCTCTCAGGGCTACCCACTCCTCCTCATGACTACTCTTCCTTTTTCCCTGATAGGACTTTTCCAGGCGATGTTCGCGAAGCAGAGAAGCCTCACTAGCCAACAGAATTCCATTAAGTGTCGGCTTGCAGTTGTTTGCACATTTATGCCGGCCGTCCTTTCACTGGTCTCCCACAAAGAAGTTCGCTTCATCTACCCGCTTCTTCCCGCCCTTATAATCCTTGCCTCTCAGCCTGCAGTGAAGTTCTTCCTTCCCCCCATCTCCTCTCGCTCCCGCTCAAACGGCTCCCGACGACTCCTTTTGATATTTCTCTCCCTTGTAAACATTTATATTGCCTACTATACTACATTCTCCCACGCATCAGGTGTCCTCAACGTCATGGACTATTTCCGCACCCAATATGTCGGCCACTACCTAGGAGACACCCCACCCAAGCTGGGATACCCTGCAGGTCTTTCTTCTTTTTCTTCTTCGTCTTCATCCTCCGTGATGCCCACAGTTATGACAATTGGCTTCCTTATGCCTTGCCATAGCACACCCTGGCGCTCCCACCTCATCTTTCCGAGAATCCACGCTTGGGCCCTATCCTGCGAGCCACCGGTAAACCTCAACTCAACTGAAAAATCCACTTACCTAGATGAAGCAGACCTATTCTACGAAGACCCAGCCACCTTCCTCCAAAAAAACATGCAAGGTGGACTACGCCACTTCCCTTCAAAACCCTCCTACCAACTCAACAGCAATCAACTTACCCACCATCGCCCATCATCCAACACTTCCCAGGATCCTACAATGCCTCACCACCATTTGTGGCCGGATTACCTCGCCTTCTTTGGCCAACTCGAACCAACCCTCCGCACCTCCCTTCATAGCTCCCCATACGCCGAATGCTACCGCACCTGGAACACAGCCTGGCACGACGACTGGCGTCGCAAAGGCGACATCGTCGTCTGGTGTCTAGATCAGACTATCCAGCGGGAATGGCGCGAGCATACACAGCTGCTGAACCAGGCCGGCTGGCAGCGACACATGCAGCAACGCGAGAGACAGTTCGATAAGATCATTGATGGATTTCGGAAGGAGGCGGCGAGGGGATCGTCGTTTTTCCGGACAATGTCGGGCGTGAGGGGTAGCTTGGGTTTGGGTTCGTCGTTTTTGCCCGCCTCCTGGTCGTGGTCGTCATCGCCATCATCATCATCATCATCATCATCATCCTACCTCCCGACGACGTGGCCATTTTCCCTCTCTCCGCCAACATCTAGGAAATGGTACCAGGTTTCTTGGTCGTGGTCGTGGCCGTCGCTCTCGGCGCTGCAGCGGAATGCGAGGCGGTGGCAGTTGACGTGGTCATGGCCGTGGTCGTGGGTGGGGCGGAGAAAGCACACGAGGTGGCCAGAGTGGATGACCGAGTCGCCGTGGGTACCAGATTGGGATGCGTTGGTGAAAAAGTCAAAGTCCAGGGGGAAGTCAGAGAGGATGTTGTGGTCTTGAGCTTTGCACTGGGCCTTTTTTTTTTTTTTTTTTCCCTCGCCTTTTCTTCTTTAATACATCGGAGACGGATAGGATGTTGAGGATAAATCACCCTTTTAGATAGTTTGCTTTGATTTGGCCTACACCTATGCCTGGGTGAGAGACGATATATATTCTTCTTTGTTATTCATGTATAACTTTTTTTTTTTTTTTTTTTTTTTTTCATTTTCTCGGTTCACTGATATCACATGCTGTTCTATTTGGGAATATCCAGCCAGGTTTATTGTATGGTCTTTCAACGACGAATATCTGCCATCATGAATCCTTTCGATATTGATATTGAAGAAAAATTAAATATAATTAAAGAAAGAAAGAAAGAATCTGCTCGCTTAAATTCAGCACCCGAATCTCTCACATCTTCATCACGTAAATATATAAAAATCCGCACAGCAAAATCGCACTTTGCGGAGGACACATCATCATAAACCGTGGAATAACCAAAGTCATTTCGCGTAACCTGCAGAGATATTGGGATAACCACAAGAATAGAGTTATATATATAAGAGACGTGGAGTTGAGTTTTTATAAATTATTGGCGCGATGAATATATATATATATATATATATATAAATATGAAAAGCGTTAAACCGTGGGAAACGTCCAAAACAATCCATGAGGTGGTCCACCATGTGATGATCTAAGTAAAGGAAACAATACCGTCGAATTTAGCAGAAGGGGATGATGAGTTGAACTGTTATGGATTCCCTAACCCACAATGGCGTGGAGAACGGGTTGAATTGTTAAAAACGTATCGAAAGTATGCTGCAAAAGATGGAGAAAAGGAAGAAAGAATGCGCTGAAATACGGCGTGTAGTATGTATAAGAGTTAGCAACAGGATATTAAAAAGTCATCCGAACCCGGGGGTAAATGGAGAATGCCAAAAAATGCTCTCTCAGCAAGACGAGTTTCGAAAGAAAATGATGAGAATTGATGATGTTCATGCTGGTGAATAAGGAGCAGGGATGAAATTTCTCATCCCGAAACAAGAATGATAGGTTTGACAGCACAAAAGCTCCAGGTCCAGTGTTGAAAAAAAGACGACTGGAGATAGAGCGGAACAAAAAACATGCAGAGAAAAAAATATGTACCCGTCAACAAACGACAATCCGATCCAATCCTAACCAAGCAAACATAAATATCGCGTGGCGTAATATTCAACAGTCCCGACCATTCCCTCAATCAACTGCAACCCCCACCCCCACAAACTCTATTCCCTCTCCCCGTTTTCCCGCGGGGCCCCGGCTCCTCCCCTCTCCACCGCTCTTCTCCCCCGCCCTTTTTCCGCCGAAAAAAAATACAACTACCGCACATACCTCGAGCTCAAGCTCGCAAATACATCCGGACTATGGCGACCATTCTGCATCCCGCCAATATCCACACTAGCCTGGCTCATATGTGTTCTTGGGAACGGATTTCCTACGCCACCGCCACCGCTGCCTGCGCCTCCTCCTACTCCAGCAGGCGCAAATCCCATTTGTGACCTAGAGTCCACCAAGGTTGAGGTGAGTGCGGCGCCTGGGGTGCTCATTGCGTTGGGAGGCGCGGTGTGGTATGGGTTCCTGCTGTTAGAGTTGGAGAGGCTGAATGGTGCGGCCGAATTTTGGTGCTGCTGCTGCTGCTGTGGCTGCTGTGGCTGCTGTTGAGGTTGTGTGGTGAAATTGGGCGCTGATTGCTGCGCAGGCTGTTCGGGAATCGTGGGTGGGGGCTGGGAAAAATTATATAAGGCAAGGATGCTGGATTTGTCTATTTTGCCAGTATGTTGGGACATGAGGGTCTGATGCGTGGGCTGGAGATCAAATTGAGGCTGGTAGGAAGGGTTTGATGGCGGGATAGTTGGTAGGGTGAAGGGATTGAAAGATGACTGTTGATCTTGAGGGACGTATTGTTGCGGTTGTGGCTGTTGCTGTTGGGGGAATGCAGAGGAAGAAGAAAATGCCGGCATGGTGCTGTAGCGCTGAAATTGATTAGCATTTCCAGCGCCATTTCCTGGTGCTAGAGTCTGCGACTGAGAGCGTTGAGCTTGGCCAGAGACATTGAAAAACGGGTTGGTTGGTGAGAAGCCTGGAGGCTGATCAAAATAGGGGTTATTGTTTGTATTTCCCGGCACGGGCTGTACATTTTGGAAGAAAGGGTTGTAGGCGCCGTTCATAGGCGCGGGAGATGCGGTAAGGCCGTTTTGAGAGGACATAGTAACTGGAGGCGTCATGGATTGCTGAGATCTTTGGAATGGTATCTGGCCTTGCTGGCTGGGATATCCGCCTGTAATGTTTGGAAATAAAGGCTGTGACACTTGGAGTTGCTGGAATGACTGATCTAGTGATTGCGTGGGTTGTGTTAGGGCTGTCTGCGCTCCTAAAAAGTCGAATGGATTATAGGATTTAGCGCCATTGGTGATGGCAGGTTGCTGTTCGGCCTGGCTCACCGCAGAGCCAGATGGTGCACGCGACGGGGCGGAATCCAGGTTATCAAACGGATTATTCGAATCTGTCGATTTCGGGCTTCTGACGGGTTCGGGAAACTGAGAAGCCGTAGGAGTCACCTTTGGGACTGGAGTCTGGGATCTAGACCGCGGTGCAGGACCTTCTCCTAGCCTAACCAACGATTCTATAGTCTTATCCATGTTTCCATTCAGGCCTCTCAGAATAGTTGCATTACGCTTGTGATTTGGGAACCCCATATCTCGCAGTGCTTCTAATTTTGATCCAAATGTCCCATCTGAATCCACAACGCTAGCTCCAAAGTTTCTCGATTGTCTATTCGTCGAAAACGCGTAGTCCTCTCCCGGAGGCGACTTCTCCGAACTAGAAACGGCATTGCTGTAAGACGCGGATCGCAGTCCGAAACCTAAGCGTCTTCCCGTTTTCGGCGGTAGAGGTGGGGGCGACCTGTCGGAACCTTGTGTAGCGGTATAACTCGGATCATGTCTGCTTGGGGGCTTCGGCCGTCCATCTTCCAATACCTTCAACTCATACTTTTGTCTGATAAATCTTTCCATTGCAGAGTCCACCTCATCGACATCAATGGGAATAGGTGGTTTGACGTTTCTCGGGTTGTATAATTTGTTGACAACCGCGTTGCCATTCCGTTTCATGTTCTTTTGAAAATATTAGCAATTCCGAAAGTACGGAAGCTGGGTACCGGTATCCTCGTTATCAGGATCGACTCACATCCACCTGATCTGACGACCAGCTATCCATAGTCAGCGACTTAACCTTCGATATATGCGTGCCCAACTTGCGATGTAATGTAGCGCAGCGCACACAGAGGAATACGCCCAGCTATCAAAATGAATATTGATTAGACTTCGCTTTTAAACATAACTGAACAACTCAGGCATTCATTCATATTCTAGTCTTGGACACGAGGGATGACTGGGCGGCTCGGGGAACCGAAACTGCACGATGGAAGAGAACAGAGGCTATGGTGGGAGGGGAAAGGGACTCACATTCCAGCTGGCCCATCCTATATGAAAAACAAGCAGTTAGTATCCGAAGGCAAGTCTCTTGACAAAAGATAGGAGCAGAGGGAATGGGACGTACCTGGATTTCTCGCCTGACAATCCACGCACCGGTCATTGCCAGGGACAGACTTGATCAATTCCTGCAGAGCTCTCTCATTGCGCGCCTGTTGGCGTTTGCTCAGAGCAGATGCCATAATTGGCACGGGGTTGGCTGGCACTGGGTTGGTTGACTAAGGGGAACAAGGAGGCAAGTTCTTCAGTGACACAAAATCGGTGTTCGCCTGAAGTTGGCTAAGGGGCGGAGATAGGGGTGGAGACCACGATGGAGGTTCTTCCGTTTCTCCAGGTGCGTGTTAGTCTGCAGCCGGGGTGGGCAATTCCTGGCTGGCTTGATTAGCGATGTATTCAATACCGCCTCGTTGTGGCTGTCTCGGCTGGCGAAATTTGGCGTCTGGGGGTGGGAGCAGGGGAGGGCGGCAGAGATGCAGAGAGAGCACATCAACACGAGGTTTCGCGGTGGGGCCGGAGCAAACGAAGCGGTTATGTCCAGAACGGCGACTGTTATTCCACTGATGAGAAACCGCAGTGGTGCGATGGAGTCAACTGTTCGACAGAAATTGCCATGGTGGTTGGTGGTTGGGCGGAGATGACAGCGGCCATGCGGCTAAAGTTTATAGTTAAATAAAACTAAACGTCCCCTGACGCGTTTTATCGGCGCCATCGAGCATCCCAAAAATAAACACTCCATGTCAACAAACACCCAAGCTCCTGGATATTCTGAACCGATCGCATGAATATGGAGATTTTTTATTTTGTTTTTTGTTTTGGAACAACTTCCCAAGGCTTCTACTCCATATGCACTATCTATGGATTAAGGCATGTATGTTTATGCAGGGGTTGCGAGGAAGCTCATTCACAAATACTTGAATTTGTTGTTCCTTCATTTACCAAATCTTGTCGCTAAACCATAACTGACTTGCAAGCTCCGACGTTACCGTTCCTTCAATTTGTGGCTGTACCAACAGAAGATTCCATGGACGTTCTATTTTTACAGTTCGGGTTTCCAACAGGCGATTCGTTGTGTCTCCTCTAGATATGGCGCTCCGTTACGATCACCTTTGCTCTGCTATGGGTGATGAATGCGATGCATATATTTTCACCTCCTTGATCCTGGACCTGGCATTCCAGCCAAGAAATCGATTCTATCTCCGACGCTGGCCATGAAAAACCCGATCTACGCCGACTGTATCCGGGCGCATTCAAAAGAGGGAGATTCAGGTTGAAATATATCCCTTCGAATGGAACGACCGGTTTTCTTTTATAAAAAAGGGAACTTTCTTCCTATTGCCTTTTTAGCTCAAGGAATGGTATCTAGATTTTGGAGACGGTGGGCTGGTGCTGGTTGAGAGATTTCAGCAACTAAAAAGTTCCACCTCGCCACCTCGCTGTATCTGTCGTTTGATTTCACCCACACAACCTGAAAGCACCAGAAAATCAGTTCAGAGGAAAGCAAACTCGAAGGGCTCTGGGTGAGTGGCACATTTCAAGTGAGACTGTATTGGCCAAGCGCCCAAACTTAGTAAGGTTGTGAAGAGGCAGCGGTCAAGGGCATGAGTATGGTCACAAGCAGGACAGAAAATGAGTTAGAAATACTAGGCAGAGGAGTACAATAAATGTCTACTATTAAACAAAACTCCCCAAGGACCGGGAGCAACGACAACCTGTTCAAGTTCCATCTAATTCCCCCTGGATGGGCGAGAAGAAATTGACGGTCGAGTTATAGGCTACCACCACAACCCTCTTACATGTCCCATATATTTGACTATTATTATGCGCATACACTACCCCCTGAGTGTTGTCGACGACGAGCTAAATATTCTGGGTGTCAGTGACCTTGATTCAACAAGAGACGGTATTGACCGCACTGTCGCAAACCGAAGCTCCATCCCATGATCTATGGAAGAACATATATATATATATTTATATTCAAGCAGCCAGCCCCCGAAAATCTCCCGCGAGTGATAGGGCGCAGAGAGTGGAACAGAGGCCAAAGCATGGCCGGTTTCAATTCAAGAAGCAAAATTCAAACCATCGACAATATATGATGAGCTGCAGCTGTCCTCTCCTCCAGAGACAGCTTCTTGATATGAACGACGCTCTCATGCAGGGAGGTCTCCGGATTGCAGGCAAGGCAGTTTGAAATATCCCGAAAAGAACAGAAACCATCCCGGCGGCTCCGTAATCTAATTTTCTTCTGCAAGGGACACTTCTAAGGGCCAGCTGGAGCTTGACATTTGCTTGTCATATGGAATCGGATGGCGACGATTACATCGATCGCCTTGCACTATTATTGTTATTGTTGTTACTTTCTTGCATATATCTCAAGGTAACCACTTTCTTCAGCCGACGTCTATGCCAGTTGCTTCAAACATGGAGAGAGTACACATAGGATCAAGTTATCACATCCTGGTCCCCAGTCGTCCTCCCCCGGATTCGCTCAGCAGGTTTCGCCTTTGTATTTTCTTTGCGCATAGCTTCGCGAAGTGCAGACCTGTGCAGATTAACAGCCCGCCATGGACGCCAGTGCCTCCAGTCGTCCTGCTCATATTGCGTATAACATTTCGGGGCAGTCCCTCTGATTTTGACGTGATTGTGTGTTCTTTTACTAGGTTGGTTATCCCCAACGATTCTTCAAATTCGCTATTCAGAGGTGTTCTGGATTGTATAAGGACTTAATCAAGGTGGATTCTCACAGATTTGACATGTGGGCAGGAGAGATTTTGCTTGAAGAACCTGCAAAATTGCTCTTGAATCACCAAGCTTCCTTTGCAGCTTGATGATCTCTTCCTATATTTTTTCCATTCCCTTTCTAAGCGTGCCCTTTTTTGCTAGTCAGCTGAGGTGTTCTCAGATTCCTCAAGTAGAATCTCATTGTCCCTGAGCTTGAGAAAGACTCTCAAGTTCTTTAATCCTTTCTTCCTAGCCATTGACTTCCTTCGGTGGAGAGAAAGATCTCTAGACACTTCTCTGTATTTGCGAGATTGAGCATGGGCACTTGAGAGTTTTTGTCAATGGCCTGCCATGAGACATGAAGAGTCTGATCAGAGTCTTGACCTTGGATGGCTTTTAATACATCTTGGTCAGTAATCGAAGCCGACTTCAATCCCCTACCTATCCTTTCTGTATAAAGTGAAAATGTTTTGGCCACCACTGCTCGTCAAATTCTGCTCTGAAGAGCTTACAATCGCAATACACAATCAGCGTGTTGAAAGACATTCGCCTCGTTCTGAGGATTATGCCATAACCCCAAAGTCAGTGTCGCTCATAAAGCATGCCTTTCCTTCCCGGGGGCGCCGACCCGAAATACCAACGTTTTGACAAATCTCCCCCTTTAGATGCTTTGGCGTATATATATATATATATATACACAAATGAGTTCGCTGCTGAAGATGATATAAGTTCATCGTGAGAGTTAAGGGGCCCTCCACCACCAACATCACCACAAAACTCCACGTCTCGTCACCAATGCAGGCAAGGCAAGTGATTTTAAGGGGTAAAGTCTAAGTATCAAAGGGTAACACTACCCCTCCCAATGATTTGACTTTCCTTGGGATACGTAAAGGATTTTCCCGTGGGGACGTCGAATGGGCGCTAATAACTCCAATGAAGCAGTTATTCGACCACTAGGGCAAAAGAGCTCAATCACCAAAAGCGCCATGGTGGTATAGAGGGTACGAATCACCGAATCCAATCCCTCCAACAGCAGTTGATAAACGTAAGTTCACTAGAATAATCGTGATTAGGTCACGCGACGAGCAACGGGGGAGGGGAGGGGGGAACCATTCGCTCGAAGTTTGTGAGAGGCTATCTGTCGCGATCTTCGCAGCGTAGGGATGCAAAAGAGACGGCTTTATTTTGGGAGGGGCCAACAGTAAAAAAAAAAAAAGGACGCAAGAAAAGGGCTTTCTTGAGATAAGTTGTTAGATGTTAAGAGGAGAAGAAAAGGCGCGGGTAGTTGGGAGAAACCTTTTTCTCTGCTATTCCCTTGTGACCCCCTTAAAAAGACATAGCTATTTATTTATTATCACAGTCCGTAAATGGGTGACATATCTGACCGGCCTTGTTGACGGCAATATACTTGGAAAACAAGGTCACCTTTGCAGTCATATATTTAGTGAGGCAGACCGTGAACGGCGTTCAGCAGCGAGCAGGTTCAGTTGAGACGGTTCAACTAAGACCAGTGTTTGAATTGACCGTGCGCTTGGGGCAAGCCTTGAGTTCTGGTATCCGCGGTACCCAGTACAGGCGAGCTGCGGATACTTCAACAGTCCCTTACGGCTGGGAGGGAAAATAAGCACGAGTCTTCAACTTTAAAACGTACATAAGCTTAAGCATGCAGCATCAAAATAGCAAGCAAGAAAAGAGAGCAACACATTTCCCCAAAAACTAAGTCTAACTATAGAACAACTGGTTGACTACGGAGTAGTTAGTTCGCCATGGACGGGTGACATCATCCCCAAACGGTATGCCAGCCACACCCACTGGTCACCTGTGCGGCCCGTGGATGTGCCCCGTGGGCAAATCCTGGCGGGAATGAAGATGGAAGTTATATATATATCTACAATAATTCCATTTGGTTCCATCACATCTCCTCCATACCGCACATTGCTATGTATTGTTGTGAAGGCACCCACCGGATGGCTACCCAATGGAGAAAATGATAAGGAGGGCGGGAGGCAAAGAAAGGTGTCTGTCTATCTGTCTGTCTTTCGGTCCGGTATCTGATCTCTACCAAGTCAAAGGACCAAAAATAAATATTCCTTGCTTGAGTCTTTTCCTCCGTATCATCCCCCCCCGTCGCTCTCTCTTTCTTCCAACCTCCAAATGTTGCTTTGCTTCTCCCTTGCCTCCTTACCAGGCCGCTTCAGATATACACGGACGACATGGGAGAAGGTATTACAATACTCTCTTTATCCCCTTTCCCCGAATACCCATGCACCCGTGCAGGTACTAACTAGTGCAGTATGTACATACATAGATCTGGTCAAGAAATTGCCGAACCCATGGTTTGGTCGAGTCCACCGGTGCCTCGCGCCTGTTTTGCCTCATTTTCTTCTTTCTTCTACATCAGACCAGTCAGCGCCGAACGCCCTGCTCCCTGCATTTGACCAATCTCCCATCTCTAGCTTCATCATCATTTTCATCCTCATCATAATCTTCTTCTTCTTCTTCTTCTTCATTTTCCTCTTCCTCTGCTTTTGCTTCTTCCCTTCTTCTCTCCCTCTCTTTTTCTTCATTTCCTTTTCTTCACGCGAAGATGGAGACTATGTACCGGATGAACCAGCTCATTCTCTCCCCCGAACAACTACGACTCGGCGGGCCGGTGTCTCAGTCTGGTCCGGAGTAACATCCACCACGGATTAGAGTATATAAAAAAAACTCCAACCCTCCCCTTTTCTCCTCGCGTATGCTTTATGCATCCGTCTATATATATATAGACGGATGGATGGATGGATGAATATGTATATGCATATACATATACATACATACTTCTCTAACTGAAACCCAGCAGCCCATTCTCTTAACTACCATGTATTTCCCTAACAAACCATGGGTAGCCCTTCTTTTCCCTCCGTTATTTACTAACTTATACGCACTCTTTGCTCTCTGGCCAATGGCTATAGCGCTGTCCTCCGGCAGGATCGACAGAATGGGACCGCAATTGAGGCAACGGAGAGGGCACAGTATTAGTTTGTTTTCTTTTTTTTTCTCGATCTCTTTTCTTCCTTTATTGTTCCTCTTTTTCTAACATTTTTTTTGGTCTTCTCTCTGCTAACCTGTACTAACTATGAAACTCTTTGTACAGAGCGAGAAACAAGAAATAACAGTGTTATAAAAGAAAGAAAAAAGACAGCCACACCGACCGACCAACAGACAGACAGACAAGCTTCTGCCTTCTGTCAATTCTTCCCTGTCGACTTTTCAATTCCACCATGTTATCTTCTGAAAAGATTTTTTTTCCTTTTTTTTAGATTCCCTTTATACGTCCCTTTCGTTTTATTTTATTTTCCTCCTCAAAAAATGAATCGCCAATCCCTTTCTAATTTACCTAATATATCCTCGACCATCCTAACAAGGAGAGGGAAAAGACAGCAACACCCTCACTAACATAACGCTCTCACACAGAGAGAGAGGGGGACAGAGAGAGGGACAGAGAGAAATCCCCCCGAAAATATCCCCGAACATCTCTCTCTTTGTGGGCAGTCATCAAATGCACTGCCTGCATGACACTAATCACGGCCGAAGAAGGATTGCAGCAAGCCCCCGGGGATTATTATTAATAATTGCACCCACACCCAGCACTGTTTTTATGACAGAGCGATATTCTTGAAGCTACAGAGAGAGCCGCAGAAGGGATGATGGGCTCCAGGTATAGTAGGTAGTGGGGTGGGAAGAGGGGCCGGGCCGGGGTACCTCAAGCGGGCGCATTTGCAGCAGAGCAGGACTGTCTCTCTAAACCCTAACCGCCGGGACCCTTCTCCTCTTCTCTCCCCTGCTTCCTCACAGAGACGAGAGGCGACAGAATATTACAACTACCATGTTGGATACTGCAGTCAGGCAGTGCCGCCTTCGTATGATGTGAGCGTTGGAGCCGGGTGGTGGGGGGGGGGATACCGATGTAGCCCGTTGCCACCCTCTGGAGAAAGAATATGCATTGATGATGGATTTGGAGGTTTTCCTTTTTCCTAAATCTATTTATTTGATTTTATTTGATTTTATTTTTTTAAAAATATTTCTTCGTTCTTCAGCCTCCAACTAACAGGACAGACAGCACTACTCTGGTGGGTAAGCTTAACTCACCTCCCCCCTAGGCTGACAAGGGCGTGAAACGGTGGGTGTGTTCGAGGCCATGCAGATCATTTCAGCGCGTGTTCGTTCCCCCCTCCTCTCTTCCTTGTCATTCTCGCAGCCTCGAGCAGGAAGCAGCGCGCAGTGACAGACCACATGCAGCGAGACCGGAGCAGGGAGAACAGCGAACAGCGACTCAGAGCAACAGCTGTCCCCCTCATCCTCCTTTTTCTGCTGGTCGGAAGGAGGGGCACAACACACAAGCTCCCACCAGGCGGCCAATGCCATCCGTCGCCCAATACTAATTAATAATGACCACTAACACACAGGGTATCACACACCGGCATTGTCAACCTAACCTGTTCTGCCATCTGTGTTGACTGGGTTATCTGATAATCTCTGTTCCTCCTCCCGCTTGGAGCAAGCTGAACACACTGAACACACCAAGCACACCGAGAGTAGACCCTGAGCAGCCTGAGCACGCTTGCCTGGAGGCCTCAAAGGTGGGAGTGCCAAGTCCGTACTAACCCCGATCCAGCTAGCGGCTGCAGGCGCGGGCCCCAGCCCCGGCCCAACCGGGACTAGCGCATCCATTGCCCGTTTAGTCAGGTTTTTCGCTCGCTGAATTTCGAGAAAGAGTTGAGTTCTGCCAGCCCAGACTTCCTCCTCTGCTTCCTGCTTCTGTCCATGTCCACTGTCCTCCTACCTAACACCTCTCCCGCTTCAACTACTCTCCTCCTCCTCCTCCGTCCTCCGCGATCCATGGCTCACGCTCCCTCCCCGCCGTCTTCCTCCTCCTTTTCCGTTCTGGTCTGATTCTATCTGCCGCCACCGCCCGACCGCCCGACCGCCCTACCGCCCTACCGCCTGCTCCTCCCACTCCTATCTTGCTCCCTCCCGCCGCCTGCCCGGCTCCCCCGTTTCATCTTCCTCTCCTCTCCACGCCATCCTCCCATCTCCTGTCCTTCGACCATCAACACACACACTCTCTCTCTCCCGCGAGGATACTCTCCCTTCTCTCCTTCTTGCCGTCTATCCTCGATTCCGCCTCTTCTTTCAAATGCGCGCCATCTCCTGCCTTCCGTCTCCTCCATTTCCCTTCCTTCTCAACTAGTTAGTCGTCGACGTGGCCTCCTCCAGGTATCTTACGACCGTTCCCTTCCGCCTACAATCTCCTCGATAATTCTTTTCCATCGCGAGTGTGTCCCGTTCATTCGTATATTTTTCGTCACTCGAATCATCGAAAATCCATCGAAAAATTCATGGTTTTCCATCGTTTTTAGCCACCCAAAAAAGTCAATCTTCATTCCTGGGACACATAATAACTTTTTTTTTTCCCTCGATCTCTTTTGCCTCCCCAACCCCCCCGGTCACCCTGAGTGCCCAGCTGGATTTTGTCTTGCTTCTTATCTTCTGATCTCCCTCGATACGTAGACTTGACTTCTCTCATTTCAGTGATTTCAGTGATTTCTGTCTCGTGGTGTAACGGTCCTGGTTGATGACTTGGTTCGTCGATCGGAACCAACACACCAACTGGGAAAATTTGCGCGAGTGGCTTTGGAATCAAAGGACAACATTTTCGCTCCACCACCACCACCTCTTCTTACTCCCCCCCATCAGACTTCCATCACCCACAGTTCCCATCCGATCGAGGGATCGTTGCTTGAGCACCAACATCGTGTTCTGGGGGAGGTACGCTGTCAGATTATGACAGATACCTCCTCTCCCGCAGCCACGCATTCGACAGCCAACCCTGCCCCGGTCGCCGTTCCGCCGCTCCCCTCTCCTGTTGTTCCTTCTCCGGTTCTAAATGGTTCCAATAACGCCGTCGCGCAGCAATCAGGCCAGGATGACGAAGATGAGCCCTATACCATCAAGTGCATATGTACCTTTGAAGACGACGATGGTCACACCGTGTTCTGCGAACGTTGTGAGACTTGGCAACACATCTTATGCTACTACGACGGCGAAGATGTTCCCGAAGTACACAACTGTGCTGATTGCGAACCGAGGCCTCTCGACTCAAAACTTGCCACAGAGCTCCAGAGAAGGCGCAGGGACGAGCAGAGCGATGGCGGTGACCGAAAGAGCAAGCGATCCGGCTCCAAGTCCCATAGGAAGAAGGCTATAGCGGCAAAGGATAACGCCAGTAACAGTAGCACCACCACGACCATCACCACCACGGCCACCACCCTTGTTGCGACCGGTGGTGCTGGCGATCAAACCAACGGCTTCTCCTCCCACGAAAAGGGAGGCCCTCCTCCCGCGAAGAAGTCAAAGACCAGCCATCGCACATCCAACTCTATAACCTCGCTCACGGGCCTTCCTCCTCCACTTGGTTCGGACGGTCGAAAGCGGGCGACGTCAGCGTCAGCGTCAGCCATGAGCCCGACCAAAACCTCCCTCATCCCCAATATCCCCCTCTATTCCCAAGAGTTCCTCCACCTGTACGATCATGACCAGGCGAACGTGGATATCCCTAGCAATCTATTCGATAACCTGAAACTAGCAACCGATCTGTCGTCCTGGGTACAGGATCCTGCCCAGCTTGCCCTTGTTTCCAACGGTCGCTCCGCGAATGAAGTCTTTATGTATTTGGATCGTCCACTCGACCCTTCGCAGTGGCCAGTCCTCTCCAAACAAGTCATGACTGACAACAGCGTTGAATATGACAAACGGCACCCTACATGGCGGTTCCTGACTGTGGAAAACGATGTCCATAAGGATGAGATCATTGGAGAAGTGAAGGGGAAAGTCGGCCATTTCCGCGATTATTGCCTTGACCCGAATAGCCGTTGGCAGGAGCTGCGCCATCCCGAGCCCTTCGTGTTCTTCCACCCTCAGCTTCCCATATATATCGACAGTCGCAAAGAAGGCTCTCAGTTACGCTATGTTCGACGGTCGTGTCGCCCAAATGTCACTATGAAAACCGTCATCACGAATAACATCGAATACCATTTCTGCTTTGTGGCGAACCAGGATATTTCCGCCAAATCGGAAATAACAACCTCTTGGTACCTCGACCCGCAAATGTTTCCCTCCAACAATGGCTTTGTGAAACAGGAAGGGTCCAACGATGGCATCTCTGACGCTGCTGCGATCTCGATAAGCAATGTTCTAGCAAATTTTGGTGGCTGTGCCTGTGACTCTTCGCGAACCTGTCGTCTGGCGAAAATCGACTGTCGACGACCTCCAAAGAGCGCGGAACCTTCCTCGAAACAGGCAAATGGGAGACGGAAAAAGAGCAAGGCTAAAAATACAATATCTCCCGTGAATACTGGCCAAGCCAACAACAGTCGAGCTGCGAGCGAAACCGTTAAGGCCCAAGTGGATGACGATCAAGGGGAGTCTCGGTCAAGGTCTACATCAAATCGCCCGCGAAGTCGAGATCTAACCCCAACAGCGCATAGTCCCGCCGACCCTCTAGGCTCGATGTCTGGAGAACTTTCTGCACGAGAGAAAAGGAAGATTGCGGCAGCCGAGAAGAAATTCGAGCAGCTTGAACATGAGCAGCAACAGCCTCCGAGGAAGAAAAAGCGATCTATTGGTACCTCTGCGGGTACTACTGCTACGACAGGCGTAAGTTCCCGTATTCTCTGTAAAATCGGTAACAACGGACACTCGTTAACCTTTAACTATAAAAACAGGCTTCACAATCGCTCCAAAAACCTCTACGCATAGACACTACAACGGCTGCTCATCGATTTTCTACTTCTCCCCGGAAACGCTCACCTGCGTCTGGTGCCCCAGGCTCAAAGTCACAAACTCAAAAGAAGGTATCGAGATCAAACACACCCATGGTCGGCTCCCCCCTTCGCCGCCCACACTATGTCGACTCGGAAATGCAGACCGAACCAGACGAGAATGATCCGGACTTCATACCACCCAAACCTCCACGGCGAACTAGCTTCGTTCCTTTGAAAACACGGCTTTTTAAACGGTGTCATGAAGACTTACTGCGGCTTCGGCAAATGGCCAACCAAACAAATGCATCGCCAGGATGTATTAACAACAACACCACCACCACCACCACCACCACGCCTTCGATACCAGACGCGCACTCTGCCGTCACCAGCTCTCCTCTGCACACTCGGGAAGATGTCGACATGGAGGACGCAGATCCGCCCATAACGCCACCCAAGACTGCTCAACATGCTATGGTCCCACCGTCACCTGGTACATCAACCGCATTGTCTTCTTTGCATATATCCTCTGACGCTTCACCCAACAAATCACCTCACCCGTTGCCATCAACCGTTGCTCATAATTTCCCGGTGCCGCGTAAACCGCCAGACAGACTACGTAGAGGAGACCTACGAGTTCAATTACGTCCTACACCTCCTTTCACCTCATCACCTCCCAACCCGACGATGACGCCCGTCTCTAGCTATCCCAGTCCGTCAACAAACACCCCAAATTCCTCAACGCCAACCCTCCCAACCCAATCTCCACACATGTTGGCCAAATCTACTCCCACTCCCACAGCTACCACCCCTACAAGCACATACCACTCAACACCTGGATTACCTCCAGCCTCCAGTACCACCGCTCCTAGTCCCGTGAAGAAAAAGCTTAGCCTGGGCGATTATATGAGCCGGCGCGGTACGATGACGTTAACGACGCCGACGACTGAGAAGCCGCAGCCTCCTTTGTTTTCGGCGGGTCAAGGATTATCGACGCCACAGCAGCAGCAGCAGCAGCAGCAGCCACATCAGGGAGGCAATAATGGCCAGACTCAGAATCAAAATCAAGATCAGAGTCCCATGGATAAAGATAAAGACAAGGTTATGGCTTCGGTGGATAGAAAAGGCGGTTTAGGTGGTGGCGGCACGACTCAAGATGTAGTTATGCAGGAAGCGGGGGCGGATACTTCGTCTGCTCCTTCTACTTCTGCTGGCGGTGGTGTCGGTGTCAGTTCCAGTCTACTGGCGTCGCCGACTATGATGACTCCAACTGCCCCTACACCTACTGCGTCGTTGCATGGTGGGAATCATGGTTTTAATAACAATAACGTTGGTGCTACTACTACTCCTAGTGGTGCGATGGGATCAAGGGACCCAAGGCTACAGCATCATTCCCGATAAAGGTTTATGGGGTTTATTTGCTTTATTTTTGTCATGGTTACCTTTTTCTTCTCTCTTCTTGTTCTTAAATAATTCAAATCACCATCATTATTTTTGTTCTTTTATTTTTCTTTATTATTTTATTTTTTTTTTTTAATTCTGTCAGCTTTTTTTCCCTTTTCGTTGTCTGGTTTCTTGAATGGGCTGGGCTTTCTTTGTTTGGGCCGGAGGAGTTTGTTTTCCTTTTTCTTTTTTTTTCTTCTTCTTTTTCTTTCTCGTGCTTGTTTTTTTAGGTAGCTAGCTAGTTATTATTATTCTAGTTGTTGATGTTGAGTTGAGAGGAAAGGTTTTTATCCTTCTTTCTTCTTTCTTTTCCAAAGACAAAAAATATTTTGTCAACTACTTCCACATATTACATACGTATAACATCTCTCCCCTCCGTTCTTCCTCAGCTATCAATCAGATCAGGCTGTTACGAACGAACGAACGAACGTATGTATGTATGTGGTTGCCGTAGCTCTAGCAGCTCCCCGCCTCGTCGCTCTTTTGGTAATCTCTCCTCTTTCTCTCCTTTCATCGAACTCTTCCTTTCCTTGTTCCCTCCGTGGACGACCCGACGACCCGTGGATTGAATATGACAATATACCATGCATAACATAACATACTATACATGTAGGGTAAGTACCAGTAACTGATTGATTTTTTTTATGAGGATGGAAAGGAGAGAGGATCCGGTGAGGGTATGCCAGGGCCTGCTGGTTATCATGTGTGTCTGTGTGTGGCTGTGCTGCACGAGGCGGCGTCCATATATATAATATAATTAATCGGTGGAGAATAACTCGTAGATTAAACGCTGCGAATGATAATAAATGCTCGATATAGTTAGGTATGCATTTATTATTATCATTAACTAGCTAATCAATAGTATTAATTTGAATAGGAAAGACGATTGATGGACGGGCACTTCACCTACTGCGTAAAAATCTACCGTGAGGAGGCATGATCAATAGCACTGTATTAGTACTGGTACACACCCCGGAATACAAACTCACACAATGCAGTGATATAAATCACATTTCTCAGGCCCAGGGCCTCCTCAAATAACCCTAACCCTCAATCCCTAACCCCTAACACTAGCCCCCGGGTGGTGAGCGCGCATCGAGCGTAATGTGATTTGTTTTAGAAAACGTGTGATGGGAGATGGCGTAAAAAAGTTGAGCCTACATTTTAAAAACCATTCAACTTTTGTAAAACCAGGTATTCGGTTGAACCGGAACCTATTGATTGGCTAGTTTTAGTTTATGCCTCATATGACAATATCACATACTACTGGGCAGATCCCCAGCGCCGGCCACATCAATCAAGCAATGTACTGTACATATATAGTTATTATTTGTGTTTAATGTTTCCTCTGCCTTTTTACCGTATGGGGTTAGTTAGGTCCGCCCATGTTCTTCCTATCTCGGTGCATATTATTGATACATTGTTCCCTTCATTCCCTTCACTCCTTTTGTCAAACGGTCAGTCCGTTAAGCCAGCCAGCCAAACCTAAGGAAACAATATGTCCTAATTCTGTAGAGCCGTCGTTTCTTGCCCATAATTGGTCACGCTCGTCGATTATCTTCTCAATGTACTGTCCAGCGGCGCTAAGATGAAGAATAATAGCGATTGACCGATGGAGCGCGAGTAGTTCTGGGGATGGGGGATCGATTGTGTGATTTGGCGAGAGGAGTAGAGTTCGCGTCACTGGGAGTCTGAACTGGCGTGAGGATAAACGGTTGAAAGAACGGATTGTGTAAGTGTGTCTAGAATCAGCCGAGTAGTCATCCATGGATTCAAAATACATGTCGAACCTGCCAAAGAATGAATGAGCTTCAGTTGTCAAGGTAAGTGCATTGCTCGGTCGGTCGACATTCGGGCCCTCAATCAGATGAATGATTCCTGGGTTGAACATGTTGAGTATTGAAAGAGCCGTTTTCTTAGATTCGTTCTACAAGAAGTTAAAATCAAGTCACAAGATTTCAACCTGGAGCATGAATTTTCACATACTAGCTGTGGCTTGCCATCAACGGTTGTTGCTGACATGATAGAATGAGGGATAATATGTGCAACCTCAAGCAATGCAAACTCTTCATGCTCCAAAGGCACGCCATCATCGTCTTTGAAATTTGAAGGGTCCTGCTTCTCTCTCTCTATAGCCTCATCTAGGTTGAACGCCCGTGTAACCACACATCGGTTATGATCCCGAGCCAGGCAATCACGTCTGAGCGTGGATAATCTTGCAGGTGTTCCAACAACATTTTCAATTGGAGGAGCTGATAAACTGGCTGGGGTTGGCTGCGGTGTCTTTGTTCCCACTGCCTTCACTAAATCAACTATGTGAGTAAAGAAAGCATAGGAAAACTGGAAATAAGTGTATGTACAGTACATACTTGGAAGAAAGAAGTTATCAAAAAGATACTCTGCAAAGGAATCCATCATCATTTCTGCCTCCCTCTTCCTCTCTAGTATAGTTTGGGAACTAAAACCGAGAAATTTGGATAGGCCATGTTCAAATGTTGGTTTTTGTCCTTGGCTTTGATCTGGGAGACCATCAAAGTAGGTAAATATCTGTTGTAGAAACACATTTTTTGATCGGCAATGCTCATACGTCAGACGGACCAGGGTGACCCTCTTGTAGGGTTTGCTCCTCTGTATTGGTTCGCAGTGAGCAATGAGTTGGTTGAAGATGCTATCAGCCTGAACCTGCTCAGCTGGAGTCAACGGTGGTGCAGTAAAATCAAGGACTTGCTCTAGCGATGTCCGATGTCGATGATGAGCAGTCGACTCACTACTGGCACCAGGCAGTGGGAAGGAAAAGGATGCCATGGGTTTTCGAGGGCGCTGGCAGAAGCTATTAAGGCGAGCGAGCAACGGTAAGTCCGCTATTATGAGGAGATAATGAGCGGGAGTAACAACCAAACCTCGCAGTGTGATGGGAAGTTGAGGTCGTGATGTTAAGAAGAGGCAAGAAAGCGCAGATTACATAATCCGTGATCCATCTCTGTTGAGTTTCTCAACTCAGCTCCGACACACAGCAACATTGCATATACGCGACTGGATACCCATATACCACTACAATCTACGTTGACCCGAACCGAATTGAAGGCCGGCCACGAAGTTCATATAAATAAAAGCACGCGGATCTCTGGCCAGAACTACAAAGCTGTCGACCTCAGCACACCTCACGCGCCAGGTCGCCGACGACCACATCTACCACAATGGCAACACAACCAACAAATCCCACCATAACTGACCCTCTCCTCTCCCTCCGCGGTGCTCTCTCCTTATCTGTGTCATCATCTGGCCAACCAGTCCTCCTCACCTCCGCTACACCTACAGACACGACTACAGACCTTACAGTGGCTACACATCTCTACCTCCCTGCCATATCACAATGCATCCCGCTCTCAACACCCACCCGCTTCATCTCCGTCGCCGCGGGGAATATCCCCATAGATCTGCGCAGTATATACTTTGCCTGGCTGAAAAAGGATGTGGCGATTCCGGAGTATATTGCGAGTGCGCAGGCGGTTAATGAAGGCATTGAAGAGCGGCGGAAAAGGGACGGGAAGAAAGGGGAGGAGGTGGTGGACAAGGTGCTGAATTTGGTATTTGTGGAAAGGCTGGATCTTATTACGTGGTTGGAAGGCGCTTCAGAGGATAGTGAATACATTCGTCCGTTAGAGGGCGTGGGTGTGGGTGGTTCGGCCGTGGGACAAGTTGGGGCGGGCACTGCGGGTGCGGGTGCGGGTGTTGGTGTCGCTGCGCGCGCGGCGGAGAGTTCGACCAAGGTTGCATCGGGGACTGTTGGGGGGGCATCGGCTGTTTCTGGTGCTGGTATTGGGGGCAGGCCGGTTCGAACTGTTGACCCGCGCTTGCAGGAGATTTATAACGGGGAACGTAAAATGGGAGATCGGAACAGCGTCCTGAGGGGGATCAAGCCTACGGTGGGTTATATTCTCTCTTTCTTTTTTTTCTTCGTTCTATTTTTTTCAAATTGCTTTTAACTCCGGCACTGATAATTCCCCATTCCCATCGCAGGACTTCTCCCATGTGCGAAAAACCGCCGAGATGTTCCTGGGCCGCAATCGCTCGCGCCCAGGCCAACATGCACAAGCAAACATGGCAAAGCCGGGCATGAAAGCCGCATCGACATCTATGCCCAGCGGCGCGTCTCTAATCAAACAGCCCGCCCCGCCCTCCTCTACAAACTCCTCCTCCTCCCGCCCATACCCCATCATCCTCCTTTCCCCCTCCGCCTCCTCCCTCCTCCGAATGTCAAACATCAAATCCTTCCTCGAAGACGGTGTCTATGTGCCACCAGACCACCCCACCCTCGCGACCTCCACAGCCTCCAACCTCCTCCACATCCTCCGCACCCTCCAAACCATCCCCAACCCCTCCTCAAACAGCAGCGGCACAAAGCCGCCCTCCACCTCCTCCACCCCTGGCGCCAGCAATCACGCCCACCACAAACCCACCCGCTTCATCCTCGTCGACAGCCCCGCGGACTTCAGGCCCGATTACTGGAACCGCGTCGTCGCCGTCTTCACCACCGGCCAGACGTGGCAGTTTAAGTCATACAAATGGTCGTCGCCGCCGGAATTGTTCAAGCACGCCACGGGCATTTATGTCGGGTGGAGGGGGGAGGAGGTGCCGCGGGAGGTGAAGGGGTGGGGCCGCGGCGTGAAGAGTTTTGCCATTGATCGTTGGGATGAGAAGAGTGCGAATCTTGCTGCGGGCGCCGGTGCTGGTGCTGGTGCTGGTGCTGGTGCTGGTAATGTGGGAGGTGCTTCTGGTGGTGCTGGCGCTGGCGCTGCGGCTGTTGGGTCTAGTGGGCGCTGGAGGGATAGGGGGGTTGTGGAGGGGATTTGGATGGCGATTGAGGAAGGGATGAGAGTCAGGGGGTGGGGTGGGGGAAAGTGATTCTCCTTTTTTTCGTCTCGTTTCACTGAAGCATTTAATTCGCTTTTTCTAAGATCTTTGTACCATTATACCATGAAATTGTCATAATTCCAACCCTGTCCCGTTGTTGGTTTTCTCACTGGACCCTTCTTTGTTCCTTCCCTCCTACATTTTGTCTTTTTTTTTTCTGCTTTTGTTTCAGGGGTTCATAAATAACCTGTATTAGATAGCTAGACGATAATAAAGCGGATATACAGTCCTTATATACAGTCCGTAGCCTTTTTTCCCCCAACTAACCGCAATCGATGCCATTTTATTCATTAGCAGCTTAAATTATAGATATATATAAAGGGAAAGATGCAATAGAACCAAATCCTGAAGGCATCTTGCATCTTGGACAGGCATTGTAGCTAGCGGTGGAAGTAAGTCATATTCGTATTCACAAACCACCTTTGACTCCGGGTCCATGCTTTGGTAATATGTAACTATATATGATAGTTAGGTAATATAGCGCGAGATGATATGGTATAGTAGTAAGTAGTATGTCAGAAATACGAGAAAATGCGTAGAAAATGGGAAATAAAGTAAATAAATCAATGAACACGGCTGTAAAATCAAAGCCAAAAACAATACATGGTTTAAGCACCGCGCTTCAGAAATGATGCGAGAAGATAAAACGGAGAAGTTGATATCACGATATCTAGCATCGATAATGAATGGATAAAGACATATATAGGTGGAGAAAGGAGAAAAGGATAGGTTTATCAAAATATAAATAGTTTAAGTAGGTAGAAAAAGGAAGAATGAGAGAGAAAACAGAAATTAAATCAACAAAGCCAATATTATATGTAGATGGTGATATCAGATATAATAGCGCAAAATATATAAATAAATAAACAAATAGTAGATGAAACGATGGAGGAAGATAAAAAGCGATATTCATGCCATGCGCAGATGTGACAAAAAGTGACAAAATGACAACCAATGACCATGAAACGATGTGATGATAGAGAAGGGAAAAAGATTCAAAAAGGCATACATTAAAAAAGAATCCCCCGCCCTCCCCAAAAGTATCTTTCACATAGAAAGAAATATATGAGAAAAGAAAAGACGAAAAGAAATGAACTCCCAATATGCTGAATCGATGGGGAAAAAGAAAGGAAGAAATATTGGGGTCAATTATGACTATGACCAACCAAGAAGAGAGAAAATAGAAGATAGACAAAAATGTATGTATATAGAGAGATAGAGATATATATCGTTTTCAAATCAATCATCCGCTGGAGACCAGTTAAAAAAATGGAAATGGCCCAAGACGGGAAGGAGGGGTGGGAAGGAAACGACGCTATGAAAGAAAATTTATTACACGGTGAGATAGAAAGAGAGGAGCGTGAACCATGTGTTTTGGTTTTCTTTTTGTTCTTTTTTCATTTTTTTATTGTTGATTTCTTTGCTTTCATTCATTCGACTCGTTTCGCTTCGTTTCGGTTCTTTTTTCCCGCTTGTTCGCTTTATAGAGTTTTTTTTTTTTTGTCTTGTTGAGACATGGCGATGAATGAGACATCGTAATCTGGAACTTGGACAATAGTACGGGGTGGGCTGGGATTTATTTTATTTTTCTCTTTTCGGGGAACCACTGTATGAACGGTTCTAAAATTGAAAACGGTGGGAAGACGGCTGATTGTTGACCGAAAAAATCCAGGACACCGGATATGGATGCAAACAAGGCGGGAGAGAGGGGAGTTGGCGGGTCTTACAAAATATATCGGTCGATCTTGAAAAAACTTTACGATCTGGTGGACCGGCTCATGGAGCGTTCTGGAATAGGGGCGGCACCCGGCAAGTTCGACTTTCCAGGGATGTTGGGATCGAAATCATGTTCCTGCAAAACGACAGCATATTTTGGATCTCGGACGAATTTTGGGACGGAGTCCTGCATCGAATCAAGTTTTAATTTTACTTAGTCTTTCGGTTACAAGAAAAAGAAAGCCTGAAAGCGAAGGTCGGGAGAGAGAGCAACAGAGCATCCCAGCCCCCCCCAAACAACAACAACAAAAAAAAAAAAGGGTGCTTACGCTTGACATGAGTTTGAAGACGGAAACCTGAGCAAGTTCGAAGAGGCTGACGACTTCAGTCAAGCTTTTGAGCATAGAGGCATCATCTCCAACGGCTCGCGTCATACGGCTGGCGAGGCTATTCCGTAGAGCGTGTTCAATATTGAGTTCACAAGGAGACCCAGGGGCAAGGAAGGCGTTGTATAAGCCTGCAATCTTTGTAAGTTTACTGAAAATGTGTTGATACGCACGAAACCACGAATTGAAAAAAAAAAAAAGTCAAAGTGATGAGAATACTACAGAAATAATAAGAAAACATAACTAAACATTATAAACTCACCATATGCACTAGCAAGAGTTTCTCGAACGGCATCCATCTTCGCAAATGCACCAGCCTTTTCTTGCTGGTGGTAAGTTGTTGTAAACTCGGAAACGTCAAGATAAAAAGACAGGTTCTCCTCGCAAAGGGAATAACGCAGGAATTCCCTGAACAGTAATCGCAACGCAGGATCTTGCAAGATGTTATTCAAACGGGCGTTGTTCGAATCTCGGGGTGCAGCGCGGCCGTCGAAAGTCGTGACCAGCGGCTTTTCTCTCGCGATCCATCCACAGATCCGTTGCCCTCGTTCAGTCAGCGCATAGATAGAATACTTGGTGGGTTGGAAAGCTGCCGCGTCTGGGTTATTTTGGACATAATTCTTGTCCTCAAAGGCAGAGTACGTCAACCCGTGTTTAACAAACAAGGCTGCAATCTCGACTGTTTCTCGACGGTCTATCGTGGTGCAGCAGTCCATCAGCCAATCCACCGCTGCTTTCCCGGTAAAGGAATTCTGAATGACTTTATCTCCGACTTTCCTTTCTTTCGCCATTTTCACGCCGACAAGTCCGTTGGTGTAGTCACTGACGGAGTCCGAATCCGAAGTCGAAGCGGACGACTTGATATTAGGGCCGTCCTGCCCCGCAAACCGACGGAAAATAACCTCGATTGTGGCACGGTCGTGAGATATTTGATCATTAGAATTTTCCCGTTCTAATATAACCAGCTGCATGGTATTTCTGGGAGATTCGAGTACATCCATGATGTGCCTGGCAGTGATGCCGTTTCTCTGGCAAAATCGCTGCAGGATGTGAATTCCCTTCGGGGTCAAGTGAAAAAGCGCGCCCTTGAGGGGGAATTGATTGCTTATCCTTCCATCTACTGGCTCGATGAATCTAGCATCTACAAACCGCTGACATACGGAACGGGCCATTTCTTTCGCCATGGAAAATGTCGTAGTTGTAGTGGTTGTGACAATGCGTGAGGGATCTTTAGGGTCTGGCATACGATTCGATTGTGAGAACTTTAGGGAACCGAGATTGTTGATGGCCTCCTCTGACGTAAAAGTGTGGTCAAATTTTGAGAAATTCCACGATGAGTCTCGAGTTTCAGACTGACTATCAGCGTCGAGAAGAGGTCTTTAAAATCTCTGGTGAACGGCCGATCATTGCTGGTCATTCGCAGCAAGCGCGAAGAAGTTTGGTGCATCTTGCCACTTGACATGGCCGGATCCGAATCGTCTTCAGGTGCAGAAGGGCTGTTGAGCAGCGGTGGATTCCTTTGATTACCTTGAAGAGTATATCGTCGAGGCGCAGTAGGTGGGAAGGTCTGTTGGCTAGGAGATGCTACGGTACTAGGAGTCGTTGGGCGGGAAAGTGTGGTTATGGTGAGGTTGTCAACAGAGCCTCTGCGCAACGAGTGAATTGACAGGCGGAAGTCCTCCGTGTTCACACCGCCAGTACCAGAGCTAGGCCCGCTATCACCGCTTCCTCGACCACCTGCACTACTGTAGCTGTCACTGCTCTGGACGTTGGCTCTATCCTCAAAGACGTTGCAGGAGCTGAACGCAGGAGATGGGGTATTTCGTGCTGGCGGCTTCTGGTAGTTGGTGTGTGACGGGGGATTACGAACAGAGGGGCCTGTTTGTTGCGCGGCAAGGGAAGCTGTGAAGCTATTAAATGCCTGGGAAGTCTTTTCCAAAGCAATTGCAGCGAGAGAGCGGCGACTGGAGCGAGACGCAGAAATGGTAGTTGATGAACGATAGTCAGAGTCGCCTGAAGTTAAATGGATATAGGAGTTGGGAGAAGTGACAAATGTATGATTGGATCCTTCACGGTGCCTGTCGAGAGCAGATAGAGTGCTCATTGAAAGGAGGGTAAAGGACAAAAATGGGGACAAGGAAAGGGGAGGGGAAACCAGTGGTAGTTGTAGCGACGACGGCTTTTGGGTTCAAAGCTGGAGAAGAGGCCAGAAATAAGGCTGGGGGGCCCGGCAGGAATACGGCTTCCACTAACGAGTCAGCCAACCCAAAGTGACAGGAGTTTAAGCGGATAAAAAAGAGAACTGTTTTTTTAGCGGCCCACAGCGCTAAGGAACAGGTTATTTTTTTCACAAAAAGAAAAGTTGGCAAGAAAGGCAAAGCAGGGTAAAGCTGCAAAATAAAATAATCTTAAAAAGAGGGTTATAGGGTATGATGCACTCGGATTGGCACGCCGTTCGGAGGGCACAAGAGGTGGTGGGGCAGAGAAGAGCAGAAATGAGAAGTACGTCGTCCAAAAATGAGGAAATTTGCGGGAGATTGGACCTGAAACACGAGGCTCACCTAAGCTAGCACAGAACAGTGAGGATGGGGATATGGAGCGGGGAGTAAGATCCGTAGGTGCAGTCGACCGAGGTAGGGCAACAGATAATGGATCTTGCGCGATGAATAGAGAATAAAATGATGCAACTGGGTCGCGCCCCGGGATCCAGAAACCGGCAAGGCTTGTGGCCAGTGCAAATCAACGGGTTGAACAATAATAGATATAGATAAGGACATGCAATAATAATGCTGATAATATAACTGAGGATCAATAGCGGAGACTGTCACAATTATAATAATACACCCGTTGACGTTGGTGATGGGTGTGGTATTGCAGTGTCTATCGTCCCCAGACAAGCATGGCGAAATCCAGCAGAAGAGCGTACAGCAGACCAAAGGGTTGTTGTGCCGGCAATCAAGAAGAGTTGTACGGGATTATCTGTTGTGCTTGGTTGAGGATGATATCTGCGCCTTGATATCAGGCTCTTCTTCTTTCGCTTACTTCAGGTGATATGCGGTGATGTACGTGGATATACTATACGTATGCACTCCGTCACGTACGAGCTTGGAAATTAGAATTGATCCCAAGATTGAGCGATGGCGAGGACGGTGGGGAACGGGTTCCAAAGTTGCGGTGATGAACGACCGGGAATCAAAAAAATTCCTAATAATATAGTCAAAAAAATGTGGGGGTTGCCCTGATAATTTTCGTTTCCCCCGATTATAAGAATCACAAGTCCCTCAAAATCAGATACGAAAATAGCAAGATGAAACAAGCAGTCAGGAAGGGGAAAGAAGGAGCAAGAAGAAAGTGTATCTGGGAAAAGGGAAACCCTCGTAGCAAAGTAAGATGCATGCACGCAAACAAAGCCCAATACGCAGAACGATCACCGACAGCGCCGAGCGTTCCCAATAGTCGGCACACAGCGGCACTGAAAAAAACAAAAAAGAAAAAAAAAAGGCAAGCAGCACAGGCGTCACAAACTCACAGCGTCACAGCTGGGCGCCTGCAGATCCTTCGTGGCTTGTAGCGTGGACTTGCCAGGTTGTTGCACGCTACAGATAGCTAGTTTAGCCTGGCTGCACGCTGGCGGTGTCTAGGCGGCCGCTAGTCCGAGACGGCGTGGCCTCAAACTTCAGGCGTTGGCTGCTCGTGGTTAGACCCTGGATGACTTGTGTCCGTCGCAAGGATGTGATTTTGATGAAAAATTTCCCAGCAAATCATGGCGATGTTCTGCAAAAATCAAGTATTAGTGGTTGAAACCCGGAGCCAGCCAGGGACTCGGGGCTCAATTAACCCAAGGCGGCGAACTTCCACCAAGTTTCTGTTCCTTTTTTTCACTCTCTTCTTTTTTTCATTTCCATTCTATCTCCTCCGTAGCGTGGGAGTCGATGTGGGGTCGGCGATATTCTGGCGAGATTCTGATGCGCTAAGCTAGTCGAATGAAGATTTTCTCATCACGAGACGAGTTAAATGTGGAGCGGACGACGACGAAGAAGAAGTATGTCGTCGTTGGAGCTTGTCATTGTCGTCCTCGTCGTGGAGCCATCGGCAGTCCGTCGCAGCCAGCGCATCAGCAGCAACCTCGCTGCGGGCTGTGACTGGGCAGAGCCGCACACGATGCTCCAGGGTCAGAACGTGGCAATCCTGCACTAAACCAGGCTCCACCAGGCAGTTTTCTAGAAAACAGTCCTCGAGTTTATTTACGAATTCCGTCTTGGAAAATCTTTCCTGTTCTTCAGCCGGCATGGGTCACATCGTCAGAGAGGCTTTCCAAGCAACAACCGAAACTCAATATCAAAATACCTTCCCGACAGACTTCAACAACAGACTTCTGGTCCATATCCTCTTCCTGTACCTCCATAGTCCACTTCCACAACAATCCCCGCCACTCCCCGCAACGCTTATTTCTCTCCTCACCGACCGACTTCGACCGATTGGCCCGTCACAAGAATGCCAATGAGTCCACAACACGTGCGCGGCTGGCAAAAAAAAACCCTTTTCGCTTTGGACGATAGCGCGGCTTTTTGCCATATGGGCCCCCTGTTAGCTTACAATGCATGGACTCGTAGCACCCAACTAAGTAACCTAACATCAGTAACTTAACCTAGATAGTCCCCCCAACTCACCAGGCTAACGAACGAATTGACGGGCTAAAGTGACCTTCCACCTGGTCGACTTGCTCAACTACCGTCGAATAATATCCATGGGTTACGGCGGTTGGCCGAAATAAATCCAATCCACCCCTGTCCGCCGTCAGCGCCGCGCCGCGCCGCGTCTTTTGAGGAGGAGAGAGGACAAGATGGAGGAAAATCGACGATTTTCATGAGGTACTAGAACTAAACGAGTCGAGGAAGCGATGAATTGACTTCAAATTCTTTGAACCGAAGTATCTCATGGCGGGCGGTGAAGAGTTTACAGGGGTTGGCTGCGGCAAACGAACGAACCAACCCCCAAACCCAATATCACGAGGCGTGGAAAAAGAAATTCGGGCCCAACTTCCCAAAAGTAGAAGAAGAAGAAGAAAAAAAGTACTCGATCTGGACATGGTTTCAACTCCTTGCCCAAGAAAACAAGGGGTTGCATTCATTGCTTCATTGTTCATTCAAAACACACCGGTACATGAAGCTTAAAACACAGCCCTTCAGGGCTGAAACTGTCCGCCGGTGAAATTGAACGTTATTTTTTTTTTATTTTCCTTCCTTGGAAAAATTTGGTTGAAACTTTCCCCAACTTGGTTGGATCTTCAACCCTTCCCTTCGAACTATACAGATTACAATACGTTTTCATTCATGCATGCATTTATTGATTTTCGCACCACGGAATCGGCATTTCCTCCGCAGACCAGTTCTCGTTATTTTCATTTCTCTTCGAGGAATCATCCCCCCATAGTAGTATATCATTCTGCATAACCATTGCCAGCAGCCCAAAAACTCTCCCTTCCGCTCTCCAGACAGAGGAGGGGTCTGCCTCAAGTAGTACCGAGCTGTTCCTGTTCCTGATGTTATTGTTGAGAACGTATGCATGACTATGTAAGCTGCGGAAGGAATTTAATAACTCAAGCCGAAGCATTCACTCAAACTTCTGAGGCTCCGTTGCTACTGGGCTATCCTAAATGATACAGAAGCTCGTTCTAGATTTTACAAATGGTAGATCAGCTACCAAAAGAGAAAAGAAAAGCAGTGACGAGAAGAGAACATATTATCTTTAAAGAAGGTTTCAAATCTCCTTCGGGTTAATCACTTCACTTCGATACGAGGATTGGCGAGCTTTGCCCAACCGTCCCCCCTCTCCCCTTGGTTGCACTGTACCTTTCTCCAACAGAGCCAAGAAAAGATAATTACCCGCAGAATGTATCGATCAATTGCTCGGCATATCAAGCCATCAAGCAACAGCAAGTGAGCATGGCGTAGTTACATGTCGAACTACGTAATCCTTCATCGCCTTTCGTTTTCGTAATCGGCATTTCCTCACAAAGGGGAAGCTTACCCAATGCTGAAGGCCACCCGCCCTATGAATCATTTAGGCGGTGAGGACACACACACACAGGTACAGGACTGTACGTACATGCATGAGTGGAGTGGAGCCTGTACAGGGCGCGCACACACACACCACACACACATGCAGGCTCCAACGTGAACACAACAGCCTTCATTGTTGATGTGTGTGGGCCGACGACGGCGATCCCTATGAGCTTAATGATGTCGAGCGAAAGGAGATATTGCGCCCGTCCGCGTGGCTAGTCTCCGTGATTACCGATCCTTGCTGTATGGATAAAAAGGCAATATCTTCCAAGACAGTTTAACGAAAGAATGTTGTGAGTGTGTGGGGTTGTCGGGGCTCAAATTTGAGGTTGTTTACTGGGACTTGGCCCCGTGGCATCGCGGCATCATGGCATCATGGCATCATGGCATCATGGCATCATCAATTTATTTTCTCGCCACCTCGCTTTTCTTGACTTGTTAGCGTGTCTTGCGATCCTTCGAGAAGGAATGGAGCCCCGTCGGATGAAGGGGCGGGTCCTCAGAAGGAGCTAGAACTGAGATTGCTCTGAACAAATTGATCGGGGGGCGAGGGCATCATGTGTCCTATCTCGAAGTGGGTCAGTTGAAGTTCTGACATGTAACTTTGTCAGAGAAGGCTTTTTATTATTTATTATTATTATTTTTCTTTTTCTAAAGCGGTATGTAACTCTGCCGAATTACCAACCATTGTTTGATGGGATGGATTGGCGATGGGATTTATTGACGGCTGCCGCAGCCGCATGAGCCCCTTGCAGAAAGCATTCTTCTCCCTCAGGGTTTCACAATTGTCACGACTGAGCGACAGGCTGTCTGAATGACAAACTGCCTTCGAGATGCCGCATACTCCGTGGTGGCAGGGTCGGCTCGGAGACAACTTGGGGCCGACTAGGTTCGATGCTACGACAGAGCATCCAGTAAATTGCAGCGCGGATAAGCCGTGGCTTTTTGTCTCCCCGGAGCAGATTCTATTTTCGTGCCATTGCCGAGAACTGTCGGTCGGCTTTGGGGCTGGGAGGACTGGGAGCCCACGATGCACCCCTGTTCCCCTCCCTGGTCGATTTTGAAGCGAAACCGGGGAGGAAAAGTTGCCCTCTCTTCCAGGCGCCCAGCGATCCTGGTGGAGGATGGCGAGCATGGCCACGCCCTGTCTGTGGTCGTGGACATGGACATGGACACGGACTTGTATGGACGAATGTGCAGGACAAGGTTATTTGGGTGTGGAGATGGTTCGTGTCGAGCCAATAATCGAGACAAATATCAGCTGTGGTAGAAATGGAAAATATGATATTCTGCAGCCATTCGCAGGGATGGTGGTGAAATGTGGGGGTTGCACATCAGCAGCAGGAGTTTCAAGAGCATCATCATTCATGTCTTGACTCGTGAGTGAGCTTCTTTTCCCGAATGGGATGATGACCAGAAATATTACTACAGAATTCTACATCGGCAGTGAAATACATTTTCCAAGGGCGTTGACGGTAATTAATTTCATTGTTATTCTCAACTTGAGCATCATCGACCCAGAGCTATCTCAACAAGACACTCATTCGCTGAGAAACCCCCTTGATCCTGGAACTCGCGTGCAGCACACTCAGATTGCGACTGGTTTGGCTTGGATAGGCGGCCATTTGTGAAGTTTGTGGACGAGACATACTGCCAAAGAGGGAACCGGGGAGCCATTGGACAATATCGACCTTCATTGCCTTTCAACCAAGCCACTTCCAAGACCCTTCCGCTGTCCACAGCCCGTGCCGTTCTGGTTATCTATCCCATGGCCTGGAATGCTGGATTTGGCAACAAGAACAGCGATTATGATGATTATTGCAATCCCAGCCAATACAACCTACCGCCACGTGGAAAGCATGAAAGCCACGTTGCACAGGACATACATGCACGGAGAACCCCGTTCGATGTTTGCTTTGGCTTTCTGTGTTTCTTCTTTGGGCACGGTCTGATTGGAAACAGGAGCAAGGGAAAAAAAAGAAAAAAGAAAAAAAAAAAGCAAACTCAACCTTCTTCTGCATGCAACACGAGTAGGGTTCGATATTTTGCCTTGGTTAAGTGTTGCCATTCGCAGAGAAAAAACAAAAAAACAAAACAAACCTTCTGGATCCTGAGATCTGACCGCCGTTTCGCCCCCGTTTTCTGTTTGCTCTTTTGCAACCTGAACTGGCCTGGGTTTCCCTTTTTTGGCATCTCACTGGAAGCTAGTCAAAAAAAGGAAGAAAATAAGGTCGTGCCCTGCCACACGCTCTAAACATCAGGTTTAGTTGTTTCTTTTTCTTCTCTCCTTGGGCCCTGAGTTCAAGGTTATTTGTCCCTTTCAAGGGCGGCCGCAAGACCGTCGATTACTTGCTATGAGCTTCTTCTCCACCAATTCAGAACTGCATATCCCCCCGTGTGCCGAACAGTTCCAAACTCTCGAGAAAATGACTTTCGCTTGAAAGCAGAACCCTCTCAGAGGTCTCTGGTGGACGAGCACAACCACTGTGGAGTCGAAACCTCCCCATCAAGGTTTGGAGAACTACACAACCAGCCAGCCTTAAGCCGTTCCCACGATGGATGGCCTTCACGCATGGATGTGGCTCCGGACATCCGGAGGAGAGACCCTCCGCGGTTTTCCTTATTTTGCGGGAGAGGGCTGGGCTCATGATTCTTGGAATTTGTAAAAATGCGCTGCCGACAAAACTATCATTGGCAGGAGGAAGAGTATAAATCCATTACCTGTGCACGGTATACGCCCAATTGGAAAGAAGGCGGCAATCCTATATGACCCATCACAATAATGATGGTGGTCGATGATGATACTAGTACTTATCGATATTTCCTGCGCTGGAAGGAAGAGGAGAGGTCAGTGAGCCCCTTTCTCTCAGTAATGCCGAAAATGCAGGGTCCCCCAGGATCCAGCCCAACAATAATCTATGGATGGTTGATTAGCGGCCTTTTCGGGGCATTTTCTCGACACTAACTATCCGACACGCTCCTGCGTTGCAAAAAGGCACAAAAAGCAAAGGGCGGATGTATTTTTACCTCGGTGTATATATAAATCAACCCACGTGGCAACGCCGCATCCCATGCATTCACAATACCTGGCA